ATTTTTTTTTAAAAAAGAAAAAAATTTTTTTTCTTTTATAAAAAGAAAAGTGAGTATTTTTCAGCACTTCCTCGATCCGTTCTGTCGGCGGATGTATTTTAACTAATCTTATAGTGATTAAGCCTTCATTCCACCACCACCTGTTCCCATTAGAATTATTATTTTTTTTTTATATTATAATTTAATATTTTCGATGTCTTTCCATAATCACTTAGTCATATTTAGAAATAAGAACATATGAATATCCTTTTACTTAAATATTAGAAATAGGGTAAACATCTATTAACTTTATCTTCATGACTTTGCATTACTAAGAAATAGTGAAGAGCCTACTTTGATAAATTATATTAAATGTATTAATAAATATAGACTAATTAAGTAGTATGAATGTTGAATATTAGGTATTAAATTTTTATACATTAAATTATATGGAATAATTTTAATAGAAAAATAAAACAAATTTAAGACTCTTATCCTGAATTTTTAATATTTCATAAATTTAAAAATAAAAAATATTTAAAATATGGAAGAGAATGTAGTTATTGGAAATAAATATTAATATTGGTAGAATTAGAGATTAGTATTTGGAACAATTGCAAATATCTTTCAAGGCTAAAATTTATAAACTCAAGAAGCTCTAGCATTTAAAATTTAGTAAAATCTTATTTTATTAATCAAGTAATAATAGAATGTATGGATTAATTGGGGGTTAAGTGCAAATACACAATGTTATAGCAGAAATTGTAAGAAAAGATATTTGTCCATTTATCAGTAAAACTTATGAATGCTTAGAGATATAAGATAATATATGTTTAGTTATGGAATTGTGCGATTAAGGATCTTTAGAGTAACAAATGTATAGAAAAAAGAAGATCCAAGAAAATGAAGCCTTATTCATTTTGTTTTAATTGCTGTAGGCACTTGCTCTATTGGCTAAAAACAATATTGCTCATAGAATTATTAAACCTGAACATATTTTAATTAAGGATGGAGTTTATAAATTGGGAAGCTTTACTTTTGCTAAGTAAAAGCCAACCTATAAAACTAAGCTTGGTACTTTAGCATATATGGCTCCTGAAATTTTTACAAATGATGAATATGATTAAAAAGTAGATATGTGGTCCTTAGGATTGGTTATTCATTAAATGCTTTTTGGAGAACTATACTTCATTGGAAATAACCATAAAGTAATCGAAGAATCTATTTAAACGAAGTAGTATGATTTGGATGATTAAAAATACGCTATTTCGGATGAATTTAAGGTATTGTTGAAATAAATGCTTCAAAAAGATCCTAAATAAGTAACTTATCATATTTTATTGATTTAGAGAATCTCAGCCGAAGATGCACTTCAATAATTTGGGATATTCAACTAATTTCAAAATGACCCTAGATATATTAAAATAATGGATGATGAAAAATAATTGTTGAAATAGTTTGACAAAACTAAGCCATAACAACCTAAACAATATATTTAAATTGAGGAAGAAGAAAGTATAAAATAATAAAAGCAGTTTTAATCTAAGTGATTCAAATTAATACTAAAATTAATACATAAAGGAGAGTAGAGTCAACTTCATAGAATCTTTGATAAAACAATTAGAATTCTATAAGTCTATCAAAACTGAATTTGATTTTACTTTCATTATAGAAAAATGTATAATTTATTTACTTTTACTATTTAATATAAACTCAAAATGAATTGCCTTAGTCTCTGTTTAATGGTCCCTTGATGTAATGTTTTGGTGGCCAATAGATTGGATTATAGTGCGACTTTTGTCTATAGTTTTCTTCAACAAATTGGATGAATATGAAGATGGCAGCAAATAAGGCAACATATATAAATCTTTCGATAAATCTATTGATATATTAATAAAATTACATGCTTAATTTTTGATGTTTGACTAAAACTTTAAATTTCATTATTAAAACCATAGTCAATCCAACAAATGTCATTCCAAGACTAAGGAACAATCCTTCAAACCCAAGTTGTTGTCTGCCACTATTGGTCTTCCATTATAAGCCTCCTCTGTTATTTTGACTAAAGAATGGAACATTATGAATTATGTTATAGACGACTCCAGCCAAACAAGTAATGAAGATGATTATTGATCCTATAAACCACAATTTTGGATTTAGAAACAAGGGTCTTGCTATAATGAATATCAGGCCTCCAAATGTTAAAGCTCCAAGAAGAACACCAATAACAGTAAGAGCTTCTGAGGTTGAGGCCTTATAATCGACCTATCTTCCAGTCCTCTTGTTGATGAATTCGAGGAATTTATGTGCTGTGACTGTACCATCCGTATAGGAAATAGTCCATTTCATGTCTCTTAAATATCTTTCTCTTTCATCTTGTGGCACAAATACTATATGAGGTTATGAGATAAATAAGTTTGGGGCTGAAATGAATCCAAGTTGTTCGAAGACTTGCTTATTTTTATCATTGAATGTCATTGTGGCAAAGAAGACAGCTCTTTTCGATTCACTCTTGTATAACGCTCCTGAATCAGCATAGAATTTGGCTACTTTTTAGTAATGCTCATTCAGATCATTGCACAGTTTGCAGCTGGGAGCAACAAAATAGATAACAATATCATATGGTCGTGGAAATTCCATTGTGTAGTAACTCGAATATGAATATAAAAATGATACAAATATCCAGTTGAATTCAATTCAATTATTCCATCTCTCAATTACATTTCCCTTAATTCATTTGTTTTTTATGTAGCAAGTGGGTCTGCATTAATAAAATTGACCAAGAATAATAAAATTATAATCATTATTGTTTTAATTATTATTTGTTTTAGTTTTAATAATTAGCATTCATTCAATTATCTATCCCCTCTTAAATCTACAAATGTCTATTACACTCCTTTGAAAAGAATATTACTATTTCATTTCAAATATCAACTTTTTGATATCAAATTTATGAAATACCATATGCATTATTATCATTCTCTTCAAAAAGTCTATTAATTTATTCATTTATCTCTATTCCTAAGGTTTTACAATCTCTTAATCTGGATTTCTCTATAAAAACAATTTGTTTACAACTAAATTTGAGCATCCAAGTATTGATCAAAACTAAAATGAGTCACTTAATTGACTTTAATATTCTCTAGTTAATTTGAAGGGTTTTATAGTATGTAGAAATATTCATTGCTATTAAAAAGAGTGATGTCGATTAGAATCATATTTTAATCTAAAATCCTTTTATACTTATATTTTCAATATTTATCATTGTCATACATTCCAAAGGGTGCTATTTATCATCTCTTATGCAATTCTCATTTTGATGGCTGTTGACACAAAAAATACTTAAATTTTTACATTCTTGATATAAATTATCAGAAATGACTCTTAATACTTAATTCAATGAATTGTCATCTACTTATTTTAAAAAACAATGAATAAAATATATTATTAAAATATGAATAACAAGCATAAACAATTAATCATATATTTAATAGTATTTAGGCAATGTCATAGAAGGCTATTTTTTTAAGCAATCTCATTTATTTGGACTTTTATTTTCTTTTTAATTTCAGTTAGAACTTTTTTATTTTCTGATTTAATTATGACTAAATTTATACCTTCGCTTTTGAGACTTATTCTAAGGCGGTTTATCTTTTGATTGCCTCAATTAACCAGGTTAAATCAAGGCATCCCTCATTTGATGTATCAAGAGATTACACTCCATTAATGTTTAGTACCTTCTTCACTTAATAATCATTTTTGTTTAATAATGGTTCTCCCCCAGATAGTTAGTTCTTTGTCTAACATTCGTTTTATTAAGGTTCGCTTTATTCAACTGATAACAATTTCATGTGGAAATTTAAAGTTATTCCCTCCGAATTTTATTTAACTATTTTTCTTTTAGAATTTTCGAATAAATAGTGAGGACAGCATTAATTTTATTTAATTATCTTATCCACCCCCTTATTTTCAAATTTTCGATAATTTAAATCTAAATATAAAAATATTATCTAATGTATATTCCTGGTTCTCTTCATCCTAACTTGATCGTTATTGTTATTATTACCATAGTTATGGGTCTTCTATTTATAACACCAGAAATAAGCACATCAAATATTCAATTAACAGCCTAAAATTTATTAATCTATTTGTTGAAATTCTCTTTGAAACCTGAGCATATCCTGAAATTTTAGTATCATTTTATTAAAGTTCTCAAAGAATCTCACTAGGTTTATCATTCATCAAAATAGAAACCTCTCTTTACTTAGTCATAATATAATTATTCTAATTTACAGGAACTAATAATACTATTCAAATGTTTGTTAGATTATTCGATCCAAGCATATGAATCAATCTTTATTAGACAGAATGACCAAGAATTCATTTCAAAATGTTATAATATAATTATTTTAATTATTTGTTAATGCCATTTTTAATGCCAGAATTTACTACTTTATTGAAAATATTAAATTATTATATTAGAGAAATTGAGAATTAGTTAGATTCTGAGGAAAATCAGTTTTTCTTAAAAATCAACCCTTTTAATGCTGTGTTTTATTTAGTCATTTTGCTTCATTAATCTAATTTTTTGATCATTCATTTTTCAATAATCTATTTATGTATTATGTTCGATGCGAATAAATACAGATACATTTATAGTTATTTAATAGATAAATGATAAATAACATTTAATTCTAAACAGAAAGTTTAGATTAATTTTATTATAATAAAAATTATTTAAATTTTATGAGAAAGAACTGAATAAATAATTATAAATTGTTATTTTTAAACTAAATAATTTTCATAAGCTTTTTAAGACAAATTATTCAAACTCTTAAAGAGAGATAAAACCATCTTTATTAGTATCAGCTGCTTCTAACCAAACTTACACATCTTTATAGGTAGGCTAAGCTAATCCCATAGATCTGTAGGCTTCGGCTATCATTTTTTGTATTTCCTGAACATTTAAATAGCCAGAATTATCAGTATCATATTTCCTAAACACTCTTCTGGCTACATCGATTCTGGGATCTTATGGTTTATTAGCTTATTGTCTTTATTGTTAAGAAAACTGAGGACATAAATATTTGATGCACAATTCTTCTATGTCTTAATAGGTGACTTTGCCATCTCCATTTCTATCCATGACCTTTGAATAACTATCGATATCTCCTCTGGTTGGTTGAAAACTTCGATTAAAGGATTTGTATGCATCCACAATCATAGGTATAGTCTCAGTTGTATCAATGACTCCATTTCTGTCTCTATCATAGGTCTCAAACAGTTTCTTTGCAACCAATTTGGCACTTTCTAAATCACTCATGCTTGCTGATCCAATTCGATAATCCATTAATTCAAAATTAAATAAATAGTTTATTAAATAATCATGGATTAAAACGATAGATATGACAATGAGAAGATTCTAAAGTTGCTGACAGAAGCCAATCAATTCTTTGAGTAGAATAGAGATTACCCTCCCCAACAAATTGGTGAATTTTTGGTTGAATTTTGCAAACTGTTCAAACAATTGGGCAAATTGCTATATTTTGCATTTTCAGATGTCATTGAAAAGGCTTAGGTCATCAAAGATAGAGGGAATGAATACAATGAATAAACTAAGGGAATCTTTGGAGTCATCTAAATAGAGAAGTAGAAAGGATTGATGGAATTAAATGGAGAGAACAATAAAGAGATCTTAAAAAATAAAGTAACACTAACCCATCAATTTATAAATAGACATTGCCTAATTATTAATCAATGGCTAGAACACTGTTGAGAATCATCAGATTCTTTAACTATTTGAAGATCATGTTCCTCGACGTAGATAATAACAGAAATAAAAAATTCTCAGACATCTGTTCTGATGCATACAATGAAGCTTTAGCACCTTACCATACGTAATTAATTCTTAACAATTTGTAGATTCATGGTAAGAAATGCTGCCAAAGCTGCCTGGTTAGCTGCTCCAAGTAGAACCAAAGTCTTTGAAACATTTGTTGGACCAAATCAGACTGATGAAGTAGCTTATGCAGCAATCAAAAGTTTTGTTAATGCTCTTGAACCAATCAGACTCAATTTCTGGGATTATTATAATACAAACAAATTAACGAATCTGCCATGAAAATATCACATACATACAATTAATCATATATTTTTAATTCCACAAAATGTCCGTAATTATTCCCAAACAATAAGTTATATAATATTAAATGGTCCGAATCTTATCCATTAAGGGAAAAACCCTTTATAGAATGCACCTAGACCCTCCTATTTAAATGTCTTGATTGCACAATCCATCAGTCCATTATAAACTTTATGACCAGCATCTTAAGACATGATTCTGGTTTTAATTAAGTCCATAGGTGCAGTTGTAATAGAGAGCATCAATCCTATATACTTGATATCTGAATACCTGTAGCAAACGAGCATACGAACTAAAGACTGAATCCCTCTTTGAATGCAAAATGTTCTTTCAACCACTATTTAGTCTAATCATAAGTGGCCATTTTGGTGCCTGTGAGAATTGCTCCTCTCAGTAAATTTGGCATTGTGCCCTTATACAAACCCAGAATCCCCTCATGATGTAATATTTGTGTAATTTCAGCAAATACTGATTGATGATGGCCAGATATAGATTGCAATCGAATCTTTAAACTGATCAAAATTATTAATAATTTATTACACGTCGCATGGATTTGCAACAATTGCTCCAGTAGACCCAGACATCAAACCTGCGAAAAACTTGACTCCCAAGGAAGTCTTCTCTCCATCATTAGATATCATATGCTTAAATGGCTCATACAATCCAAGTCTCAAAGTTGAATACGTAGCTTCTCTACCTAATGATGCTGATAATCCTTTGTATAATGCACGCATTCCTTCCTCTTAGTATATTACATATGATCCTCTTATGATATTCTTGTATTTTTTAACAGAAGACTATCCTTCTCCTTCCTTCTGCAATCTCACCTTAACTGTATCAACTGGATGAGTAGATCCCCCTGCCGCAATTGAAGCTACTCCTGCCAACAACATTCTTAAAATTGGCTTATTCTCTTCTGGACCAATGGAGTTCATTTTATTTATAGCGAATTAAATAATCAATAATAATCATTATATCTTTTAATTATCTGATGCAAAGAATATTGGCTTTTTGCCAGGAAGTGGAGTTAATTTGTTAGTTTTTAGACTTTTTTTCTTCCCAAATATTTGAGGAGTTGTTAATTATTAGTCAGTTTCAGATATACATAATTTGCTTATTGATAATTTGGTATGGGGTATATTGAAATAGCTACCATGAATAATACTGCTCTATTTCGGAAGGGATGCCGATGAATTTATTATACTTGATCTTATAACTTCACTTTGTCTTTCGTAGGAATCCACACTATTTTTATAATAAAATAGCAAATAGGCATCACTAGTGAGAACTTCTTTTTCCATAATCTCTTTAATTCTTGTGTCATCGAAGTTATACCATTTCTAAGTATCCTTATTTTTACAATTGGATGTATAATGACCTGAATGCAAAGTACCGCTATGGTTTATAACTCCATATAGATCATATGTGGCTTATTCCTATTCTGAATAATTGCTTAGGTCTAAATTATACATTGGAAAGTTGATTAGCCATCTCAGTTTGCAACGATAATTGGCTGTAAATTTAAATCGCTTTAGATGGATCACTAAGATATTCGGCAATTTCCATAGTTTTATCCCTTTTTTGCTTTTCTTAACAGACTTGCATTTAGAACAATGCCATTGATTTGCTTCATCCAACTCCTCCTCTCTCAAATATTCAGATATGCATTATATTAAATCAGCATCCTATTAGATCGGCAGACTTAGATACATAAATGTTTCAAATTTATATGATTTTGTATTACATACCATGCATTACAACATGTTTATGGACTGTCCTTAGAATAAATCCACAATGATTGATCGATTCCTTTTCAAATAATCTGACCATGCCTTATTTGCTTATTATTAATTTGGCTGTTAATCATATGTCTTCTCCTCAATGTATGGTTTATGTTTCACTCTATTCAAGTCTTCATGCAGCATATCTAACAAAAACGCTAACAACTCATGGCTATCTTGTTGACTATTCATAACAAAGAATGGATTCCACAATTGGATCATTGATATCAATTCAATAGGGTTAATGCTCTTCTAATATGACTCTTTCCAAAGAGAACATATCAATCTAGCATAAGCATTTGTGATTTGACCTCTGCTTGATAATGGATTCTCGATATTCAACTCATGATTGTGAAGATTCTATTGAAAATATTCTGTAAGTGGTTATGTATTCGATAGGCATTATATAGCCTTAAATTAAAATCAAAGAATCTACAGCATTAATATAACAAGTGTTTCCTAAATTTTATAACCCTATTAAACCACATGATTTATTTTAAGGTAATCGTTTAAATTTATTTGGAATCTTTGCATAATTAATAGTCAACACAACACTGTTTTCCATATTCAAAGGATGAACTCTTCTTATTGAACTCTCACTCACAGCATCTTTACTTGTACACAAGCCCATTTATTTTATTATAATTATAATATATATATATATACGTTTATTAATGTTTTATTGAAATTTAAATATTCTTAATTATGCATTCTTTTGATTCTAACCTGAATATCAGTTCATAGTTTTATTTCTTATTAAGAATGTAATTGTTAAGGATATTTAAATTTAGTTTATATTTCAAATTAATTATTATTTACCTTAAGTATGACCTCAAGTGAATTTCACTATGAAAATACGTTTTCGAGCAAGGTTATTAACATAGAATACTTGATTAATACAAATACTATAATTCAATTATAAAAAGATTCTGGTTTGTGTTTACCTGATTTATAAGTATTCTATTATCCAAGTTTTTTTATTTTATTCAATATATTTTTACAATACTGTATATATTGAAATAACTTTTATCTATAATAAAAAAAGATGTATGTTAAAATATTAGATTTGCAAATAATAAAAATATTGATGTTTAATGTACATATTCCAACATGATTACTATAAATTTAATACAATTAGAATAGTTGAAACTAATCGTATATAAATATTGGTATATTAATTAATTACTTACAAAGCAAACAATAAAATTAACCTTAGAACTGAAATTTCTAGAAATCTTATTTAGTACCTTCCGAAAATATGATTCATACTTGTATATGAAACAATAAAAACACACTCTTTTACAAGGAGATAAAATATTATTTTGGAATATAACTGAAATCATAATTCATTTATTAATTTTAAATCAACTGCTTTTCTACTTCTATTATACTTACCAACATAGGTCATTAATTAAAATGAAAATGATGGAGGTTTTTCATTTCCTCTTCCATAATGATTCACTTAAGTTTAGGATCTGAAACATGAGCCTAATTTTCTTAAGTCTTCTTTTGTGATTCCTGCTCTTTATAAATCATCCAAATGGACAAATACATCTGAATTATCAGAATCCAAGACAATAAATCCATAGCTTTTCTATTCATCAAAGAATTTCAGTTTTCCTGTTTCTCTGGTTGTTGGAACCTCTAAAATGACAGGTTTATTACTTGGAGTTGTACTACTTTGATTTGTTCTAATAGAACTACTTTGAATATTTCTCTTTTTATTACTTATCTAATCCTGGAGGATTACTTTTCAGATTACTAATCTAGACTTCAGTTGAGTCTTCTTCATGTTACTTCTTTTAAATGTTTTCTAATTCAGATAGGAGCAAATCCTATTGGTCTTTCTTATGTTCCGAGTTCGATCGAATCTTTTTGGTGGATCTAACATCACTGAACACCTTTTCATTCATCCAGATATCCTATTCGATGTTCTTGAATATTTTGGGCACATCAGTCTTCAATCCTATGATGCTGTTTATTTACTAAGAAATATGTTGATTTATAGAATATACTTCATAGATTAATTATTGCACTAATGTGGCATTTTATATGAATTCTTTCGAATACACACAATCGTAATGATTATTATCATCTCTGCATAACTCTATCATTCTTAAATGATGATCGTTGTAAACTCTACACATCAATCTATTATCTTGAATGTAATATAGGTTTATCTTAACACGAAACATCATGGATGTTAATTGTAAATTGATTTAATCGAAACTTGAGAAGCTGGGCTGTTTACAATAATCATTTCTTAAGGCTTAGTTTGTTTTTAAGATTGATAAACTTTGGGGAATGAGCTAATATGCATTTTCCAATTTACATTTAAAGCTATCTACTTTTCCAAATATTGGACCAACATTTAACTAATTTACGCATGCTGTGATGTAGTAAAATAAAGAGCATCTGATATAGCTCTAAATAAAGATTATGATCCAATCGGAATTTATTTCCTCAGCAATCCATTGTCTTATAGAAGCTAATCAATCATATTTATTAATCAAATAATATTTATTTTGCGAATTAATTATAAAAAATTATTCAATTAACTTAAAGCATATTTAAGTCCTTAGAATCTAAAATGTATCCTAAGATACTAACATATCCAAATGAAATTCCACTATATTCAAAATCTTCTTATTAATCAACATCAAAAAACTTTAGTTGAACTGATTTAGCCAATCTCTAAGTAAATTCATTAAAATTTAAAGCAATCTCATAATTATTTGGATTCACAAACTGCAGCCATAATAAGGGTTATAATTATCCTTTGGGTTCAAAAGTGCAATAAAGGTACTCCAGCTACTTTGAGTTGTCAAATTAGCCTTAATCACAAAACTATTATAAAATTGGGATATTTGTTTAAGTAGGAGTATATTGATTTCCATTCGATTTAATCAAACTATATAATTCATCAACTGTTCTTAAATTCTATTTTGTGTTATCCTTTATGTATTGATCTTCACTTGTGATTAACAGGATTGTTTTAATTATCCTATCAGCAAAAGTCCTTCTGCAAATCTTCACTCCTTTAACCAGTGATATGGCTAAAGGCAAACTATCATAAAAAGATAATTGCATACATTTGAAAGTCATCATCTTTTAAATTATAAAGATCTGTAGATGTCATTAAAACAATTTAAAGATTTTTACAATATTAATAAAGATAAAGATATTGTAAGCCATCAAATATATTTTGATCTTCGAAATCTTCTAAATATTGAAAACTTAAAAATAAGTCGAAGATCTTGATCTTTTCAGCACAAACATCTAAAGAATTAGAAGTATAAAATGTTTAGCTTAATTCCATCCCCAAAATTTAGATAAATTTTTTTGTGTATTAAACTAATGCTGATTTTAGATTAATTGAGTCTAAAGCTAGAATTCCTTAAATAAACGAATTCTCCAACCTGGCTAAACTTACCTATTGACTATCTGTATTCATAAATGATTTTCCAATCCAAAATCTTAAACTATTTCCTGTCAAACCCCCATTAGTTTCAATCCCCCAGAATGGAAGCTCTAATATTCTTCCATTCTTTAAGGTTTTCAGAAGATTCATGTATTGATCCTTTGAAAATTTGAGCATCAATTGTCTTGGATAATATGTGCATAATATTAATCTTTGTACTTGTTGATTCTATAATAATTATCTAATTCAAAATTATTGATACGTTAGGTGTTTTGATAATGCTAATTTAGAATATATCTCGCCAACACTCAAAAATTTGAATATTTAAGTAATTACATTGATAGGTAATAATTCCATTATAATTTGATTAATAAAATTTTTATATAAATTTTAAATATTCTACTGCAGACATACCAAGACTATGATTAAATGATGTAAATATAATATAGAGTAATGAACCAAAAAACATACTTATAATTTCTGAAAAAAAATCCTTTAATTTCTACTTATTCAACTTCTTTATTATAAATAAAATCATGTATTTCCATATTTTTCTTTATGGTAATTTTCACAAAAAGTAGACAATTAAAAATTCTATCAAATAAATCAATATAAATATTATATTCAATGTTTCACAATTTTCTCTCTTAACGAAGTTACATTTTTATGGATTTCTTAAAACAAAGGATTAACTGTTCCTTTTTATTATGTCCTGTTTTCATTCAAAGCCTTTTGTTGCAATAGTAGTTCTTCTTTTAAGTTATTGTTTTATCTCTGCAGTCTTTAATTCTCCAAGACTTGGGATGTATATTAAGTTGACAAATCACACAATTACTAAATTAGTATAATGATAATACTTATTCTATCTATTTAATCGAATCTAATAGGATTTACTAAGTATTATTTGATTCTGCTTATTAATTTTCATGAAAAGATGATTAATAGGAAAGCTATGTCTGTTGTTATTATAACTATTCATATCTTTCAATGATATTTAATTTAGAATTGTATTCCTTTCTCAATTCTTTAGAATCCTCCTCATATGCAATAATAAGAGTTGCTTGATCTTTGATTTTTTATTCATATTCATATGCTTACTTTGAAAGGGATACAATTTGATTGTTTAAATTTTAAATTTATTTATCTTTTTCAAAACTTAAATTATTTAGTCTTTCATTTTCTTCGACTACTTTCATAATTTGTGATTCCTATAATATAAGTTAATGGTACCATTTAATCAATAGCATTGACTCTCTCATCTTCTTCACATGCTTATTTATATTTTAATTTCCATTCATTAATTTCTTCACTTTGTTAATCAATAACCCCCTCTAATCTTTCAATTCTTGTTTTCAGACTCAGAAGGTTGTATTAATCAGTTAAACCAGGTGAAAATTGCAGTTAATTCTTTTACTTTTCTATAATAGTAACTAATTCCTATTTCTCTCTAAACAATCTTTAAATCAGTTCATTCAACTTTTTATTTTCTTGAATCGCAAAGGAATTAGAGTAATCTTGGGAACTTGATTCAGTGCAGATTCTTCTTCCAATAGAGTTATTTTCTTTGTTATGTGTGATAATTGGACTATCTGATGTCAAGATATTTTTGGAGCTGCTTCTTCTGAAACTGTTGTCATTGGTTTGGGATGGAATGTTCAATAATTTGAGACCCTTGGCTAGTTACATCTTTTAAGGGGTGGAGGGATCTGGATCACACTTCAATTGATTGTATTGTAGGGGCAATTGCAATTATTGCGTTGAAAGAGACTTACAGGTTAGACTTTTCTGATGGAGGTGCTATTAGATTTTCGCTGGTTATTATTTGTATGTCTATTTTGGTGTATGAATAATATTAAGCATATTTAACAGATTAATTAAATTTATTGTTAAAAGTACAACATAAATATATTTATTGAATGAAAATAAGTAATGTTATTGGAAGTCTTAAGTTAATGAGGAATTATCGAAGTTTTTTAATTTAAATAGTTTGGAGTTATGGGAATTATAAATATTGAAAATATTATATTTTATTTCAAATTACATGGCCTAAAATACAACAAGTGGACCTATGCAAAAGTTTAAAATTGTCTTCTTAGGTAATCAATCAGTTGGAAAGACATCAATAATTAATCGATTTATATTTGACAATTTCACAGGCAATGAATAGGTATTTGGAATTCAAATAATAATAGCCTACTGTTGGCATTGATTTCATTTCTAAGACACTTCAAGTTGATAACAAATCAGTCAGATTGTAATTATGGGATACTGCAGGATAGGAGAGATTCAGATCTCTTATTCCTAGTTATATAAGAGATTCCCAAGCCGCCATTATATGCTACGATATCACAAGTAAGTGCTATTCTCCATAATAAAGACGAGAAATCCTTTTAAGATTTGTAAAAATGGATTGAAGATGTGAAAGATGAAAGAGGAGATGAAGTTTTAATTTATATTTTGGGAAATAAGATAGATCTAGATCAAGAGAGGGTAATTCAAACTGATGTCGGTGAAGCAAAAGCCAAAGTAATAATATTAAATTCAAAGTATAAAGGAATTAGGAGCCTCATTTTCAGAAGTTTCAGCTAAAAGTGCCCACAATGTTTCAGAATTCTTCAAAAAACTATCCTATGATTTACAAGGAAACCCAAACGAATAGCAATAGTAACAGCAACCTTTACCACAAGTAAAGAACCTATTTAATTTAATAGAAGGTTCCATCATAGCAATAATAGCCGAATCAACCCATATAAATAAAACCAAATGAATCAGCAGATGATAAAAAACAAGGAAGCGGATGTTGTTGAACATTAATTTATATAATTTTATTGTTCTGCACAAATATTAACCTATTTATTATTAGAATTATTATGCTATTTTTAATCTATTTTTTCTTAACTTTTGCAATTTAATTTATTGAGCTCCATATCTATCTTCTTAAGTGATTACTATTTCCAATGAAAAGAGAATTCTATTATGTTCTAATAGTTTTAATTGTCATCAACATAAAATGGATTTTCTAGTTGATATTACCATAGTGTGCTATAATTTTGATATGAAATATTGATTGATTGGGTGTATTGAAAAATTTGAAGTTCAGATTGGCAAGCCAAATTAATTAAGGGAATATCTTTACGATAAATTTATATATTAATATATTTTGTTTTTTGTATATATTTAATAAATGAAATATCTCAATAATCTTTTAATATTTGCAAGACATCGTTATAGAAATCATTATTGAGTCTTTGAATATAATTGTCGCAGCAAACATTAACCTCAGCTACATTTCTTGCATCGCTAATGCATGAATTTGCATCAGCTATTTATATATATTATTCGATACTTGTGTAGTATTATGCTCTATTATACACTCTATCTTACAAATCTAACCAATTTTATCTCAAAGAAAGACTAAATTAGAGAGTGAATTTACTTCTTCAATGTGGGTTTACAGGCAGTAGCTACTTTTCTGAAAGCATCTTTAATGAATTCCTTCTTATCTGATGGTATTCTGACATTTTCATATTCTCCAACGAATTTAGTATCATTTCCTTGAAATTCAGCTGTGAGTGCATTGTATTCAGCATCTTTGTTCAATTTCATAATAACATCTTTGGCTGTCATTTTTGAATAAATAATATTTAATTATTATATACATATTCAATGAAAGAGTTTTCATTTTGATTTTTGCTATTTACCTACAGTGTTTGCGAAATCTAAAAATAATAAAAATAAATTAAATTGTCAATTCATTTCCTCTTCATTAACCTTGATTATTTTCTATATATTGCTTAATTAATTTACTTGTAATAGTCCTTTCTGAATGGATTCACTATAATCGATTCTACGGACCCTCACAGACTCAGGATGAACGTTAACTAATATTTTATTTTTTTATAATCCATTCAAATTTGTGCCATTGAATGCAATAGCAATCTTTTCACAATATTCCAAATCCTTAAGAACAATTGTAATGCATCCCACATCATCTATTTCGATTATGTGCTTCTGAGTCTCTCTAATACACTCCTTCTACTCCATCTTCAAAGTATATGCAATAATCTTCTCGATCTAACTAGTACTGATAGTTTTGTCTAACCCTCTTAATATGATTGCAGCAAATTCATCATTCATCTAAGCCAATTAAGCACAACTGAATTTATATCCAAAGGTTGATTTTGATTGCTTCTGATTTTGCTTGCTCATAAATTGATTAGCAACTATTAAGGGTTAATCTGTTTTCAACTGAAATAATAAGCATGGATTTGATTGATAGTATATTAATTTGATCTCTTAAACAAAACCCTTAATAGGCAGCTTATCTACAAATTCCTATACCTTTTGAATGTCAATGTTCTCTTCAATGCTTTTAATTATCAATTTAGATTTTAATCCATCCTTTAACACGGTTGAACACGGAATCTGAGAATATTATGAAATCATAATAATTTGAGAAGCAACTTTATGTAATGATGGATATTATGAAGGTGTAAAAACAATAGACTCAGAATCTGAACTCTCTTGAGCTACAATTTGATAATCATTTGTCCCATAATTTGATTAAAACATTGAGTATTTTATTGATGGAGCCCAACTCTTCCTTTGCACTAAATTCATTTATCGTTGCTTATTATGTTTATAGACCTCAGCAATATTCTTTTTTGGAATCTAATTACTCATTCCATTAATTAAGGTTGTAAATTCTTAAAACATTTATTATAATCTTTATATACAAAATTTGCTATATATTTACCATTAAATAAATGGATCTAATAATTTTGATTCCTAATTTCAAATTACTTATCTCTAAACTTTGCATCCATAGATTAACACTTTATTATCCTAATCTCATATCAATGACAATATAATCAAAATAACTCTGATAGATTATTTAATCTCAATCAACACATTTTTATTAATAAAAGAATCAATATATAAATATATATTAATTTCAATAATAAATTAAACTTATCTATAAAGTATATAATCTTCAAAAAAAATAATTATAAATACAATATTTGGAGTTCTATATATTTCATTATCAACCCACTTTTTTTTGTAAGATACTTTGAATAAAAAATTCAATTTGTAATTGCTCTATATCTTTATCTTCATCATTGGCTGGGATATTAATTGATATCTTGTTTTCATTTAATTAATACTTATCGACTTAGTAATTTACAAATCTCCTCATTTTATGAATTCAAAATAATATATGAATCTATAACTTGAACCAGAATTAGTAGTAACATATTTTCAACTATTAATTTAAAAAAGATAGATTATCATTTTAATATATTTTCTAATATTTTCATGATCACAAGATACCAAAAAATCATGTATTAATTTTTTTGTACTATTTTACTGTTTTAATAATATCTCTTTGTTTCATTTAACCACTTTAATTCTATACACTGTAATTTAATCATAATTACTTGCGTTAGTAAAGGTTTGCCTTTTAGGCTTATTCAAATTGAAAAGATTATTATAAACTTTATAAATAATAAATGTTTTCAAATTCCAACTAAAATTTCCCTTAACAAGAATTTTGCAAACTTCACATTTCTAATCCTTCTATAGGATACAGAATTAGACTGCTTAAGATTTATTGAATTACAATTGATTTATTTTTAGAAATATTTCATATTAGCAAACTTGATTGATACATTTTGCTTATTTACAAAAGTGCTAATTAATAGATTTCTAAGGTAGTCAATTTACTTAAGCTAAATTTGCATCAAACTTTGACATTCAACTCAACTACCATAATTAATTTATTTCTTTCATCCATTATTTTTCTTCAATATACTAGTCCCATTCTAAACTATAAATTATTATGTTAAATATATTATATTATTAGTTTCTCAAGTAAAACACCTCGAAATAGCCTTTCAGATTCATAATAGTATGAGAAATATAATTTATATACTAAATTCTATTTGGTTACATAATCCTTAAATTTTATCATGATATGTCAATTTAGTAAAAAATAAAGAGAAGATAATGAAGATAGATTTAATTTATATCCCTTATGAAGTTGGCATTTAATCAACTATATAGTAGGTTATTGTAAAAAATGAAATTCCAAAATTAATGTTGTAAATTTAAAACTTTTTTATTTTGATGAAGATTTGTTGAGTATTAAATTAAAATCATATTTTAATGTTTAAATGTGTTTCAGAGATTTTAATCATTTAATAATATTTACTTTATACTAATGAATCCATTCTATATTGACCATTAATTACCCCCTCTTAAAAGAGTGAAGGAAAGGTTAGTTGGAGATGCTTTATAAAAGGTAAGCCAATGGAAATCTATTCTTCTTAATGGAATACCCTAATCTGATGGCACTATTATGAGATTAACCCTCAATAAGGCAGCAGAGATAATAGGAATTCCTAAAAAAAGTTTAGAAGATTATAATCAACTATTTAAAAAAGTGAGATTGCTGACTGATGTAAATCAATTTGCAAATGAAAAAATGGGAGTTTTAAGAAACTACTTAAGGAAAAATTCCAAAAGACTCAAAAAAGTATTGAAAACTTAGAAAGTTAAAGAAAATAAATAAAGTAAATAACAAAACAAACAACTCAACAATACTGCTAATCAAATTGCATCTAATATCAAATTAGAGGAAGAATGTAATGAGATTGGATAGTTTTCAATATCATATTAATCAAATTTTTAAAAATAGGATGAAACTTCAATAATTAAATTAGAAGTGGGATATGATTATTTCAATTAATTCGAAAAACATTATGAATCAGATTTAGAAAGCTATCCCTCCCCTTTAGGAGTAAATTTCATATTAAAAAATAAGCAACAAGAGGACCATCAACAATTTGAATAATATTGATTAAAAACAGTTACATTTAGTTATTATATATGGATTCTAAAAACTTTATAATATATTCGTTAAATTTATAATCAAAGAATAGTTTAATAAAACCTAAAATTTTGCATAGTTTTTCAAACATATTAAATTATTATTAATTAATTCACCTAAATGCATTCTTTGCCTAGATTGACAAGTTAGAGCATAAACTGTCATATTAACAATTAATAAGACTGTTTGAGTGGTAGAAGATTTCACCTTGGTGAAAATGTGCTGTATAACATTCATAAGCAAGCTTTATCGGAATATCTAAAGTCTGGAGTAATTGATTAGAAGATAGTACAATTAAATTTATTGAAAATGAGCAAACTAAATAGTTATGATCTCTCAGTATTAAAAGATGTTTATTCATAACCCAATTCAAGTAGACTGGATTAATAATAAGCCAATATTATATTATCTAAAGTAAGTTTAATCAAATAAATATAAGATAAAAACACAAAGGAACCCGAAAAGCATAAATTTTAATCAAAAGAGTTAAAATGAGTTGAGTTAAGAAGAAATCGATTTTATGTCAATTGAGGAATAATTGTACTATTTGTCACTTATAACTTAGAAAACAGTGCTTAAGATCTAAAATAAACACTTCTAAGGTGTTCAATGGAACCTACTTAATAGATCCAACAATAAATGATCTTAAGAAAATAAATTTACACGGAAAGAGATAGTTACATCATCTGTTATCTAAAGAACCATAGAAGAAATTAAATAAAAAAACTTCATTACTACAAAGGCAATCTAGCATCGTTAATCCATTACAATATCGTAAACCATCAATTCAAAGTATGGAAGTGGAAGATGTTACTTAATATATGTCATCCAAAATATTGGAATCTAAAGCTAACGTTGAACAATTAGTTGAGCGACTTAAATAACCAGAAATATCTGAAAAATAAAAGTATTTTTTTTACCTTGTATAAAATTGTGATTGTAAAGCTCTAAATTCTCTGATTTAAGACAAATCCTTTGATAAGTCAATTATTAATGAGCCTGATTAAGTAATTTTTGTGAAAAATAATATTAGAAAGGATTCTGTGCAGTTCATATAGCTATTAAGAAGTAGAATCCATAGTTGCTCAAGCTTCTGTTAAAGAATGGTGCAAGAACAAATATATTAACAAAGAATGGAAAATCATTACAATAGCTCAGTGAACTTTATCAAAATTAAGAAATTATAGAAATCCTTGAAACTTAAAAATATTATAAATGATGTTTTATTAACTAATTAATTAATTCATTCTTATCAAAATATTACGCATTTGTTATTTGGTAATGGTAATGCACATTAAACTAAACCAAAATTGGATTCTTTTGCCTTCTTTGATGATGTTTAAACATTCCATAAATTTAGATTTTTAATTTTATCACACACTAATAATATTATTATTATAATTACTAATAGTAATATGTGCTAAGATTAATTTTGAATCAGATTCATTATCAATACAGAAAGATTCTTTAAAATCTGATAGAGTCAATTTATATTAGCTTTGCTCTTAATAAACTAAGTATTCAAAACTATCATAACCTGCAAGACAGAAGTTTGGATAGTATTATTAATAATTAATTGATTTTAACCAATCCTTTATTGATGGTATTGAGTTTTAATAAAGTTTGAGATTCTCAAGTAGTCCTTTCTTAGTAATTAATCCCATTTCTATAAGTTAATTAGAAATGTATACATTCATCTAGTTTAGCTAATATTCTTCTTTAATATCCCAATCTATCAATGCCATACTTGTTTAATAAGTATTTACACTAATTTGTAGATGGCAATGAGTTTTAGAGACTTACATTGTCGTAAATCTTTAAATCAATGAAATTTTGAAAATAACGCTCCTTTAAACCAATCTCCAATAAAAATGAAGCAATTGGTTGGAATTTAACACTTTATATCGATGATTGAGATTCTTGAGTCGTGATACTATCGTCCAATATTTAACTCATAGAATTATTTAATTTTGCCAAATTGATTGGAATGATAGTATCCATTGACTTAGTTTCATTCAATGAATCATCTACTTAACCACGTTTGTTCTTCATTCTAGATTAAGCTTCTATCAATGCATTTTTGACATCTTCCTTTTGTTATTGCATTTCTTGAATATTTTATTGTAAGTATGATATTTTATCTTGCCATTATTCAATTAAATCGTTGTAACGAGATTCTAACTAATTATGGTTGAATCTATTAGTTGATTTTGAGTCAAAACTGAGTTCTTAATTGATTGACATTCTGTTATAAATTAAAATGAAATAATTATTTCTGAATTATAGGAGGAATAATGAAATGAAAAAAATCACATATCAAGTATTATATCTATAAACTAGTCTTATTAAGATTTAATTTCGGAATGGAGAGACTGTTTTATCAGATGGTTATAGGAAAAATGACAACAAAATAAAAAGAGCAAATCTCAATGTTTTTTTTCCTCTTAGAACTCTTAAGGAAAATATACTTTACTTTCTCCTACTTATTTTATAGGTTTCCTCGTCTTATACCTTATATTTTGTAGGGATTCTTTTGGTCATACAACAATGGCTAGTTGATTTGCATAATCTTATGAAAATTAGAAAAATGGATAAGATGGTAAATAGTTAAGAAGCAAGAGTATTAAAATAATGGGATGAATGCATTATCAATAAGGAGATAATTGAGAAAATCAAGGAGAGATTAACTAAGCAGGATTAGAGTGATTACAATTCAGGAAATAAAAATAAATCATAAGCCGACAAGAATTCATAAGGAAGAATAGTTGAACATGTGTAAAACTAGAAAAAAGGAACTATAATTTGTATTTTTTAAATCTAATTTTAAGCCATTATATCAATCCAGTTATAGAATGTATCTTATAAACAGCAATCGAGCATTAAAAATATCAAAACTGACAATGTTAATAAATATAATCAAATGAGTCCATTAATTGAAAAGGATATTGCCTTAAAATTAAAGTAAGTTTAATTGATGGAAGCTGAACCATTAATAGTTGAGTTTAAAAAGAGAGTTCCTAGTATGTTTTTCAGAGATGCCCTTTCAACCTAATAGAATGCAGTGTTGAATGAAAAGTTGAAAAAAATTGAAAAAGATAAAATGAATTTGATTAAAATTTAAAATGTTGAAAATATAATGATAGGTGATGTGATTTTACTAGAAAGAAATCAAAGAGCACCGTGTGACATACTTGTTTTGCATTGTAATGATGAAAATTTTAGTGTGTAACATTAATTATGTGATTATTCATCCACAACAGTAAGAAAACCTGTGATTTAAAATAGATGTAACATATCAAATTATACTTTAAGCTGATTCTCAAAACTTAGCCTAGTTTAAAAAATCTTTAACAGGTAATATCGTTTGTTAAGAACAGAATTTTAAAATTAAGGGATTCTTTTAATTAAAAAAGGATCCTTAATCAAGAATATTTGGATTTGAGAATTTTATATTTTGTTAAGAAAAATTATTAGCAACGCCTTGGGTATTGGGGATTGTTGTAAAAGTTGGAAATAGTTGTTAATTTTATGCTCGTTTTTAAGGGGAACTTAGATATGAGAACTTTTAATTTCTTCCTCATTACATGGTTATTTTAGTCATCACTATAGTAATATTTTACATAAATTTAAGATTTAAATTATTGTTTACAATTAAAACCATGTATTATAGAATTTTAGATCGATTACTCAAATTATAATTGATAATTGTATATTTTTGATCTTAATGGTTCCTCATTTCTATAAAGTATATTATAAAATTTGTAGCATTGTTCAACTTAAAGGAATAGGCACTATTTATTAAAAATAGATAATGTCTTGTTACATAGATAAATACATTGATAAATAATATCTTACTGTAAGCGTAGATTCATTTATTGAACACTCCTTTTAGCTAAAATGTATTATTCATGACAATAAATTATGTGAATTTGATGAGCCAAGATTTCTTTAATTTTTACTTTAAACTAATGCAAACCCCAGTATGTAGAATGAAGTCTAAAATCCAGAAAAAGATGGTAACTTTTACTTTTCTATTTTTAGAATAAGAAGATTTTTTACAAAGGTCTTAAGTTATAAATTCCTTACTGTAGAGTTAATGTTCAGATGATCTTATGAGTCAAAGAGAATAAAAAATACATCAGATTCCTACATCTGTTCAAGGCAAATTCATCTCTTATGAACAGTCAGAACAAAAAGAGGATTTGAATATCAATAAAATTGGTTAAATTTAGCAGGACTAGGCATCAAAAGAGAAAACTTTTTCTAAAAATCACGAAGCTTATAATGAAACTTTTTAAAGAGCATCTAATCTTTTAGGAATTTCAAAAGGATACCATTCATCAAAAGAACCATTTAAATAAGAAGACTATTAAATAGATGAGTAAGAATTATGTTAGAACATGATGAGAAATGATGAACCAGATGAATTGAATCCATTGTTGCTATAATTAGCTATAAATCACCTTGCTTTTTCTAAGATTTTAATTACTGAAAAAAAAGAATAAAAAGTGAAAAACAAGTTCTTAGGTTTACTAGATTAGAAACAAATAAATCTGGCAAAGGCTATGGGCTATGAATTCATTTGTGTCAATAATGTTTAGTAATTTATTAAATTTATTATTTAGGAACACCTAACATTATATAATTTAAATAAATCAAGAATTCCATTCATTCAAATTAGTCATAACAAAATTGGACATTTAAAGACAAAGGTTGTTTATGCTATTTGAAATGGTTCATTTTTATGGTAACGATAAATAGTTTATTTTATTTTTGAGAGAAGGAAATGTAAAAAAGAATGAAGGCATTGATGACAAAGTATGGAAACATCAATATGATTAACTTCATTACATTTATTATTCGTATTGTTATTTAACCTCAGATAGTGCAAGTTTATTTTTATAATCAGTAGAAAGTAATATACCAGATAACTAATTATATACTCTTATGGAATAAGTATTCAAATTAAATATCATTTTGGGACTCAAATATACTTTGAAACCTGATTGTTAAGATTTCATGAAAAATTTAAGGAAATCTGATTATCAAGTGTTTACATATACTCAAAATTAGGAGATCTATGCTACTTCTATATTGTATTAGTCTGAACTTATACAATAAAATGATTTGGTCTTGCATTTCAATTAATAAAATGAAGAAGACTTGCGTGCTTATTTTAAATAAAGTTTATAAGATTTTTCAAGTAATTTTGCCGATGCAAGCATCAATTCTTCCTAACTCATTTAAGGTCTCGACTCATAAAACCAAATAATATTTGATAAAACGGACCAGAAGCCCCGAACAAAGAAAATAATAGTGATGATGAATAATTAGTCATTGTAGTATATCACAGAGAACCATTATTTTACCAGCAATTTGAAATTAATCCTTAGCTTTACCAAAGTACTATTTCTTTATTAAGCAACACAAGATTAACTAAATATTATCTAAGAAATCTGGTGTACTTCAGCAAAAACAATCAATATATTATATGAAAACTAAAGCTTATTGAGATGCTTCTATGGATGTCAAGTACAAATATTGCAGCTATAATAATTCAGTTTATTTAAAAATCAAAAAATAGAAAAAGTGTAGAAAAATAACTTCTTCTCATAACTCATTATATCTTTATAGCAAAGATTAATATTTGAGAAATGCTACTTCAACGAAATGCAAATCAATTCTAACACCGATGTTATTTTACAAGGTTTCAAAGAGTTGGATAGACTCCTTTTCTTTTAAAGTCCCCTTTTAAAGATATTCTTTAGAGCCTTATATTAACAAACTCTATACAAAACAATAACTTTTGTTTCTTCTTTTACTTTTGTTACTATTATCTATACATCATATACGCTTGACTAGATGGACTATTTAATAGAAATCATATTCTACTTTTACATATACTAATTCATTTTATTTTCCATTTAGCACTATTCATTTTTTGATCAATCAAAAAGATTAAAATACCATAAGGATTAATCTATTTTACTGAAAAAGTATTCATAACACAAAGCATCAATCGAGACTATAATCATAATGATATTAAAACACATTTTGTAAGGTGTGCTTATTTCATGTATTTTTATTTATAAAATGTATGATTTGGAATACTATTTATATATTTTTATGTCTATCAGTATTAGTGATTATTGTTATATGATGATCAATTTGAATATCATAGAAGCTACGATTTTAGCTGGGGTATTTCCAATAATATTTTATTTCTATATACTGTTTGACAACATTCAAAATGATGAATGGAATAAGTCTATAGATACTGAAGATATATTTACTATTATTTTGGGAATATCCTTCCTTTTGATTACAAATCTTATCTTTGATTATGTTTAGAACCATAATATACTCAGTATACCTATAATTAGTGAAGATTTCGTTTCATATTTGCATTACGTCTAAATGATGAAAGCATCTAAATAAAAAAAAACAAAGTTGACTATTTTATAGAATAGAGTCAATGAGCTTTTTGAAAATATTGAATAAGTAGATTTAAGCATTTAAAAATGTATATTATACAATTATATTGATTAGTGCTTTTAAATTAATAAAATAGTTAAAGTAAATTTGGTTAATGGCGTTAATAAATTTTCAAGAAGGCTCAAACCATATTAATGTGGAAGAAGAAGTAAAACATTCAAAGTTTCTAATTGCTTTTTTATCATAACACATTTTTAATTATCATATACTTTTACCATGATAGAACTGACTTTTTCTTGGTTGTCTATTTAATAACCTTTTGTATACAAGCATTATATTTTGCAATTCAACTATTCGTTTAACTACCAACTAATCAATAGGAATATTTAGAATATGCTAAATTCTTTTTATCAACCGCTGCTACTATTTCCATATTGTTTGTCATGAAATCTGTTGATAATATCAACCAAATTTTGACAGTTTAATATTTTATAGTTTACGAATTGTCAATCAAATTCCATCCCATATATGACTTCAGAGTATACATAATAACAGCTGTTGCTACTATTCTTGGATATATTGTTTGGTATATCGTTGAAAGTGATTCAATAATTTCGAACCAGATTGCTGTGATATAATTCATAATTCTATTTTCTGTTTTACAATACTTGGTAAAGAGTTATGTAAATTAATTAAATAATCCTTTTAGTTTATTCAATTAGAGGAGGATCAAGCCTAGAATAAATTGAATTTTATTGAATAAAATAACAAAATTAATGACATATTAGGTATTTTGTTGCCTAAATTCATTCGAGACAGATTAAACGAAAGTAATGATCAATTAAATTGTAATAGCTGACCAATATAATATCCATTAAAATTAAGGTTTGGTAGCAATTGTATTTTGTGATATTTGTAACTTTGATCAAATGGTGACAGAAGAAAAGGATAAAATAATTACATTTTTGGATGACATTTTTAGAACTTTTGATAAATATTGCTAAATTTATGGGGTTCAAAAGATAGAAACAGTTGGAAAGACATATTTAGCATCAGCAGGTCTCAAGGCATGTGAATAAGAATTGACTTATCTATCTTAGGTAGACCCTGTTTAAAGAGCCTTAAATTTGGCTGAACAAATGATGATTTATATCAGATCAAAAATGTAAGTTTCTTTATAAACCTAGGTGGGGATATAAGGGCTAGCAATTAGTTGGTAAAATTGGCATTCATTATGGAGGGGCTATAAGTGGAGTTATAGGATTTCATAAGCCTCAATTTTCACTAATTGGAGATACTGTCAATACGACGAGCAGAATTTGCTCAACTGGGTTGGAGGATGCTATTACATTATCAGAATAAGCTTTTGATTAATTAAAAAATGAAAATATTGAATTTGAAATAAGAAATGTTGAGATGAAAGGTTTGGGCACTAGACCGACTTACATTTTTAAAGGGAAGATTAAACATAAAGCAAAATAATTTTAGTTATAAAGTGATTTGGACTTACAAAGTAAGGATGCTAGAAGCTAATATATGGTGAGGAAGAATCATGAAATTTTTAAGAAGGATCTAAAGAAAAGGAAAACTATTATTACTTTAATAGATACTATGAAGTAAAGGATGGATTCTATGTAAGAATAAGGAACCCAAAATGTATTTGGAATCAAACCAATAGAACCAAATTATTATTAAACTTATGAGGATAAATCTGGGCATTCAATCAAATTGTTATAACAACAAGAATCTGAGGAGAATTACACTTAAAAGTCAGATGCCAAAACAAATACATTCAAAAGATTAGTCACTATATTTTAGAACAAGTTTTAACTTGAAAATTATTAGCCATAAATTGATGAATTAATTGACTATGAACAACTATTGGTAATCATATATAAATTAATTAGAGAATGTCATTTTGTTGAAGAATGAATATACACTAGAACATAATATAATTAAAGAAACCTCCTTTATGTAGTTATTGCAAATATCTTATTATAAAAAATAAATGAGTCAGTTTGTTAGTTATGAATAATATCAAGAGTTCGTCAAGATTCAATCTAAAAATCAAACCGTATAAAATTTAAGAATATATGTTCTTTATTACATTATTAAATCTTTTTGTTAGGTTCAATTTTATGACAATTTCAACTTAGGCTTAATAGGAATGTAATGGTTCTGTTGTTTGCTTAATCTGATGTAATTTATAGTAAATAAAAAACAGTATTTTGGAAAATGGAAGATTTTCATAATACTTTTATTATTTTTTGAAGCTTTACTTAGTGGACTCGTGATAGATCTTGTAGATGATGATTACTTAAAAAACATTCATGTCTATGAAATAATCTTCATCCAATCCTTGTTTTGCAGTATTCAAATATTAAGCTTTTGGATAAAAGTGCAATTTTGTGTTACAATTGCAATTTATTCTACTATTATCCTGGCAATTGATGGAACCTAAATTGTTTCAATATATTTTATCCTAATCAGCTCCATGTATAATATGATATTGATTTTATTGATTGAACAATAATAAGTTAGTTGTTTTAATTAAAAAATTATCTATAAAACATAGCAATAAAAGGAATCGCAATTACTGTAGTATTTATTACCAAAACATATCTTAAATAATTTTTTAGATGACAGAATAAGCAATATTGGTATTTGTGATAAAATTGATGACCTAACAATATTGTTTGCTGATATAGCTGGTTTTACTGAATACTCAAGTAAAGTTAACCCAGAAGAAGTATTGGTTATGCTAAAAAATTTATTCGTCGAATTTGATAGGAAATGTTGTGATTTGAATGTGTATAAATTATATACTATTGGCGACTGCTATGTGGCAATTGGAATGATTGATTACCACAATAGAAATCCTCAATAGGAGGCTAAAAATATTATAGATTTAGCATTTGAAATGATTAAAATTATTACTTAAGTTAGGAAATAAATCAATTTTGAAGGACTTAACATGAGAATAGGAGTACATACAGGGCCTGTATTTGGTGGTGTAATGGGTACAGATATTGTTAGATATGATATTTATGGTCCAGATGTACTAATTGCCAATAAGATGGAATCAAATGGAGTTAAAGGGAATGTACAAGTCAGCTAGTCAACAAAGAAGTATTTGGAGGAACTTTATTCAGATTTATATAATTTTGAATTTAATGTTAATTTAGAATTGAAATCAATAGGACGATAAATAGAGGGATATTTAGTGAAAAAGTATGAAGAAGATCCCGTTAATGAATAAAATATCCCATTTTGAGATTCTGATATTACTATAATTTTTATAATTAAATATTGTATATTATTTTACTCATTTTTTTATTGTTGCTATTGGTATGTATTGCTGAGCTGATATTATTAGGGGACGTTATTAGCCAAACATTGTCGGTCTTTGTACTGTCACAGCTCTTTATTTGAAATATGATGTTACTCTCTAAGGAGACAAAGATGAATTAATCTGAACTGGTTGGATAATGCTTTATTTTTAATTAAGTAGATTTTAAGAGTACATTATTGGTTAATACCTGGTTTAAGGATTAATTAATTTTGGAGTAGCAACTGCTATACCTTAAGTAGGAAATGCATTAGCTTTTATTTATTTTAATTATTATTGTGATTATGTTTGGTGTTGCATAGATAATCTAGGATTCAAAACCTAACTTTAATGGATGGGATTTTCTTAAACTAAAATGTTTTTAGAATTTTAAGGTGTTGATTAATATGGATAATAATTAGGCTGTAATACAGTTGGATGTACTGAATTGATTAATGAAGAATATACTACTTATGGATAAATTTATTAATTTAGAACTGATGTTTATTATATTTATTTTTATGGTTATTTTGGTTGTTATTGTTATTATTATTATTATTATTATTATTATTACTATGGTTATTGTAATGGTTATTATTTTGGTTATGGTTATTTAACTAATTATGGAGATTTTGGTGCTGATTATCTATCATTTGTTATTATTAATGGATTTTATTTATTTCCTAAATATTTTGGTAAAATGTTCTCAAGACCTTCACCAAAATAGGTGATCTTAGCAGAAATTTCAACCTATTATGGGAACTATAAGCCATAATATTTTAACCATTTTTAATCTCTATCCAAATACAATTTCTTAGCAGTTTCTGGTGTATCGCTCTTATCTCCAGGAGCATTTTTGACAGGAGCAAATTCATCTTCCCTTTTTACTTCAATCAACCCAAATTACTCCTTTGGACAGAGAGGAAAGCAATCAAAAAAGAACAGTTCAAATTTCAAAGCATTTATTTAATCTGGTTTAACAATCTATCTCTGATTGATATTATAATAATCATATTTTTTTTAGGCAACATGATAGCTAATTTATAGCGAATGGATTTACTTTGCAGCTAACTTATTACTAGTTTGAGGGTCTTCTATAATTTTATGAGCAAATTCAACAGTGCAAATCATTTACGCTATACCTCCCGCGTCATAGATTAACTCTCCTTCTTCGTTCTTCTTATGTAGATCTTCCTATGTCATTTCACTGTACTCTAATCTAAATTTAAATATTCACCTATTACACATGGTTTTTCATTGATTAGAGCATGAATTCCTACCTTTTCTTCTGCATGGGCCTTTTTCACAAATTTGCTACAAATGGTTAGATTTTTTGATTCTACATATCCAATCCAAATGGGATCACATAATTTACAAAGGGCATTATCCACTGGACATATATGGATGTACTTGATGCCCAAACATTTCATATAATCCAAATAGCCCTGATTGTAGAGACTACTAAAGATTCCTCCGTTTCCTTTTCAATATAATAAGAATATTCTTACCATCAGGTCCTTCAAGAATTGCTGTAGAATTACTCAACATGATTTCTCCATTTATTGATAAAATGGGAAGGGAGTCCTATTGAAAAAAAGTGATTTGATCCGATTGAAGATTAAAGTAATTATTTTCAATGAAAAACTGAGTAGTTTCTTCATGATTAACATCAGAAGTCATGATAAAGAATTGAATGGGCAAACATTATCCTATTCTTGATTGAATCATGTTTTAGAGACTCAAAATTCGTTCACAAAAAATTTGAAATAAAGTCTTATGAGAAGGCAAACCTATGTCAAACATTCCCTTGGCTTTATTAAAACCCAGTCTGGTACCTTAGCCACCAGCCATCATTGCCACGCAAACTTGGTAATTATTAAATTATAAGCATACCCTTTCCTTCCGAAATTAATTTTTCTCCCAATTTTTGGTACTGTTGGAGAGTGTCTTTGGGAGTAGAGGCAACTCGCAATACATTTTTGATAGGATTTAGTTCGCGATTTTCATTAGGCTTTTCTTTATAATGACTATAGACCTAAATTGGGGATTGCAATTTACATCAATAAGATTTCGAATATTTATGGATTCCAACTTTTCTAAGAGCTTCTCTTTATCCTTTTCCTCCAAAGTGCTGAGGTAGTCTAGGAGAAGTTGCTATTTGCATTCTTCATAATCCTACAAGGTTGAGACCTTCTTTCTCATTTGGATATTAATTAATTTATTATATACATAAGTACACATTTGAAGTAGTTTAATAAAATAAGTGGACAACTATCAAAAATCAGTTTGAATCTTGTATGTAAAATGAAAATAATATATATATGTATTGAAATTTAACTTCATATATCCACTCGTCTCAGTATAAATCGATTAAATTTTAATATTGATTATGAGTGAGAAAAAAGTTTCGATTCAGGACTATATAAAAAACAAGGTGAAACCAGTGTTCGATCAATTAATAGCTAGGATAGTCATTGAAAAACCAGAGGACGTGTATTCATGGTCTATTGGTTGGTTACAAAAACAATGTAAAAATATATAGTCATTTTTAAGAAAGTGGAGTATAAGTGCAGTAACATGCTCATCATGATCTCAGTGAAGAAGACGAGGACGAAGAAGAAGTTGTTTTGGAGATAAAACAACAATAAAAGCAACAAACTAGAACAGCAGTTTCTGCTGAAGTTTACGGAGATTACAATAAGAAGGAGGATTTTAAGCCAAGATTTATCCAGAAATCGGAAGCCCAAATTGAAAGGATAAAGAAAAGAATTCTGAATTCATTTATGTTCTAGGCCTTGGATGAAAAGGATCTGAATATTGTATTGGGAGCTATGGATGAGAAGAAATTTTAGTAAGAGTCATCATTAACTTAATGAAGAGTTGGAGACGTAGTAATCAAACAGGGAGATGATGGAAACGAGTTGTATGTCATTGATGAGGGAAGATTGGAATGCTACAAAAAGTTTACAGGATTGGAGGAGGAGAAATTGTTAAAAACCTATATCCCAGGGGAATCCTTTGGAGAGCTGGCCTTATTGTATAATGCTCCAAGAGCAGCCACAATTAAGGCCATTGAGGAAGTCACAACTTTTGCTCTGGATAGAGAGACTTTTAACAACATTGTCAAGTTTTCAGCCATCAAGAAGAGAGAGTAGATGGAAGAAATATTAAGCAAGATTGAACTATTATAATCAATGGATAATTATGAACGGGTTTAACTGTGCGATGTGCTTAAGGAAGAAAAGCATAAGGCAGGAGAAACCATTATTACTGAAGTATTAGTTAAATTAAAATAAAGGGTGAAATTGGAGATCGAATTTACTTGATCATAGAAGGGGAGTTAGAGGCTTATTGGAAAGGATCAAGTGAAAAGGTCTATGATTACAAGCCAGGAGATTACTTTGGAGAATTGGCATTATTGAAGAACACTCCTAGATAAGCAACTGTCACAGCTAAAGTAGATTCACCATATTAATATATAGACTGATGTCGTGTTATTATATTGCGATTTCAACTCATTCAGAAGATTGATGGGTCCCTTAGAGGAAGTGCTCAAGAGAAATGTAGAGAGATATGAAAAATATTTACAGTAATGATTATAATTAGACATATCGATTTATTTATTAATGATTTAAATGGATGTAAAAGAGAAAAAGATGTATAAATTTCCCACATTGTCATAAAGGCAAATGGATTTATTAACAAAACTACTCTCTTAATAAGATCGATAAAATGCTTTACCTATAATTAACGCATTGACTGGCAATAATGGAGCATAGTTAAGAGGTTTAGACACAGCAATTTCTGCGTTAGATAAAAACCATAGAGATATGTTTTTTTAGTATGTGCTTCCAAAAATGGCTAAATATGCTTTGGATATGTTAGAACTATCTCCGAAAAAAGAGTTGTTAATTTCTGAGGGCTCTATTGACTTCACAAGAAAAGAAATTTATCAATTCTTATCATTATCATTCTTTGGATTATTGGTGACACAAGATGAGAAATTCCCAGATACTTACAATTTAGGACATATCCTACAAACGGATGCTGAAAAATCTAAGTGTTACCTTTATTATTTTATTATGGCTAGTCCAGATTTGGAAAACGAGATCATTACAGTAGAAAGGATAGCTTTTAATGCCGATTATCACATTAATCAATTCTTTCCAAATTCTTAAGCTAAAATACTAGAGGATGCATAATTATGGTCAAATTGTGAGAAAAGCCTTTAAACAATTGAATTTGTAGATTAAAAAATAGAAGAATAATAAAATAGTATTCTAGTTGATTTTGCAAATAAATATGTTGGAGGAGGTGTATTGAGTTATGGCTGTGTTTAAGAAGAAATCTTATTCACAATAATGCCAGAAAACATAATAGCAGTATTGTTTTGTAAAGTGTTAGACTTTCATTAAGTAGTGATCGTAAAAAATACTATTAGATATAGTGACTATGAAGGGTATGCAAATAGCTTTCGCTTTGTGTAAAGATAGCCTAAAAACATGAATCAGAATATTCTAGTTTTGGATGCTATCAATTACAAAAATAACCCTGATAAATAATTCCAACAAAATGAAATCATGCGAGAGATAAACAAGGCCTTCATCGGATTCTCATTATCTCAATCGGCAAAGGAAGAGGAGTTCTTATATCCAATATCAACTGGAAAATGGGGTTGTGGAGTCTTTAAAGGGAATACTCAATTGAAAACAATTATTCAATTACTTGCTTTCAGTGCCTCAACGAAGTCTGAGAATTAAAAAAGAAGAATGATATTTTCTACCTTCAAAGATAAGCAATTACAGTTTATCAAGAAAGATGTGGATCACATAATTGGGAAGTACAAAACTGTGGGTAAACTGTTCTCGTAATTAATGAAAGTCACTCCAAAATATGGAGTGTTTGAGTTTTTATTAGGTCAGAAATGAAATGAAGTACAGAATATACATTGATATATAGATTACCACAATATAAATATTATTTGATCTGTTATTAATGTACTAACAAAATGTCATATTGATCATTTTTATTCTTCTTCGTCTTAGCCTACGTTGAAATACTTCAATTAATATGTGGCTTTGTCGAGGGAGTGCACGTACAAATACTCTCTCAAAGTTTCTTATTTCAAATATTTCTTGGTTAAATATTTGAGGTATCTCTTGGAGAATGGGATTGTGGATGTGACTACGACTTTATCTTATTCGGCAGCAACTGTGACATCGTTACCAAGATTTCCTGTCTTTCCTTAAACCTTGATTCTGGATTGAAGATAGCTCACGAATTCATCCAAGTTCAAAACCTATCATAGGGAATTATGCCACTATGAATTACTTTATCTTCCTTTGGTTCTGTGCAATCAATGACGAACTTCAAATTCAAGTTTTTGGCTTTCTATTGATCTTTTCTTCTCAAAATAGGCATACTTAATAAAAGATATTAAATTTATTTAAAAATAACACATTCCTTTTGTAATAAATAATCACTAAAAGTCGAATTCAATTATGGAAGGAATATTGGGTATTCTCTGCATCATATTATTTTTATGCTTCTTATTTTTCTTCAATCTTCTCATTGTTCTACCTTCCTATCCAAGCACTATGTAATTTGGTTCGTCAATGTGAGTTAGTAAATGAATTGCTAGTACTGCAAACGACCCAAAAAAGAATTGTCTTAGCTTCTCTTTTAATGGAGTATCATCAGACTTCTCCTCCTATTCACTTATTGCACTGAATCTAACTGAAAATCTTTTAGGGTTGTTATTCGGAGAATGATAATTAGGAATAGGACTCTAAGCGATCTGAAGTTACTAAGGTTTAGAGTGGGTGGATTTCCTATTCTTATTGCTTAGTTATTCTGTGACATTCTATTATCGGAATCTCTTAATGGATCCTTTGAACATCTCCTGTAAATAGATTGTCAATTGAGGATCGTAAGCCTCATTAATCAAATTTATTGGCAATTAAATTCTTCCGAAATTCTCTACGAAATCATTATAGATTGATTTAGCCTTAACAAATTCCAAAAATATAGTCCACTCTTCCAAAGAATCTTCAGATTCAAAAGCAAACAGAAATATTCTTTTATCTCCTTTTACCTTACCCTTCTTGATCCAATCACTCACACCAACTTGCAGGCAGAATTATTATGAATCATCAGATTTATCAAAAATTGGAGTTATGGTAGTAATCAGTTTTAGCGGCAAGATTCCCGTTTGTTCGATCATACAATTATTTAGATACAAACTAAAGAAATACAATTATATTACATAATTACATCATATTTTCACTATCAATAACACAATATCTGTATTGCCATGAAACCTTCTTATCTGACCTTTTGAAAATGAACCCTTTTTTTAAAGGAGTTTTAACATTGTTATTTGTTTTCAATATCATTTATATCTATTTTACGATTAAAGACTTCTTTGCCTTATGTGAAAATTTGATTATTGCATTTGAACTCTTAATACTAATTTTTTATTCAGCCATTCTCCAATGAAACTCTAACCTCTTAAGTTCTTTGTAATCATCGTATGGTTAAGGTATAATTTATAATGCCTCAGCAACCAAAGAGTGAATTGATCTTCTTTGAGTATAAGTCATACTTTAGTACAGGCATTCTCTCATAAAAGGAGTAACAAATCGATAATAACGATTTTCATTATCATCATGCATGAACTCTATAATATCTTATTATACAAGTTATTTCAATGCCATTAATAACTTATTTTGGTTGATTTATTTGAATGGAATTATTTTGAATAATGTTTAGATGTCGAATATATCTCCAATTACACATGCAAATTTTAAAAGTAATAAACTAACACAAGATAAAGAGTCAATAATAGGACCATTCATCTAATAACAAATTTATGGTATTTCAATCTGTAGCCACTCTTCATGTTGAATTAGTGTTTATAATTATTATGTAGCATAAACAGAATCATTTTCTTTGATAAGATACTTATTATCTAATAATGTTTTAACTAAGTGAATTAAGAGTAAGGGCTATCGACAACTTTTCAAATGCAAGACTTCATGAATTTTTGGATCAGAAAACTTGTCAAACCCAAAGTATAACAACAAGAAGTGTTTTTGCTCTTCAATATTTTTAATTCCTTTCATAATGACTTCATTTGGTGTCACATTGTATAAGTTAATTATTGATTCAACTCCTCTATCATAAACTAACTCTTAGGATCTATTGGGATTTCTAGAATTTCCTTTTCTACTCATTATTGGAATTTCCCAAAATTAATCCCTTGTAACTCCAATGATCAGTATTCTATTAAACTTCTTGATAATCGTCTTTATTAGCTAACAATTTAATTATTTACTTTACATAAAATGATAACTGATCATAATATTACAAATCATCTAGCACTATAATAATGGGAGGGACATCAATTTTATCAGTTGATAAGTCATTTGATTAAACATCATCAGATTCGTCATCCATTTATGAATAAAGTCTCCTCTTCTTATCTGGCAATTACTATTCAAAATAAATTTCAAATAGCTTCACAACTGCTTAACCTATTTATTTCATCTTCTGTTCATCATTTGTACTAGAAGAGGATTAGAAATTTGGAAAATTATTTACATAATCATTTAGCCACTCACTTAAATCCAATAGCTCCTCTAATGCTTTTTATATGACTTGATTTCCATTACTAATAGCTGCTAATAATTCCTATTAATTATAAGTAGTTTTAGACAATGCAATATCATATATTTATTTAATAATCTTCTTGATTCCATTACCTTTAAATACTTTTTCGAAGGAATTTATTGAAGATTCTAAAATCAAAACCTTTGGATTTTCAGTTTTAATTTAGTATTCTAAAATTTTCATTACAAATGTTTTTCCTACACCATAGTTTCCTTTTAATAGAATAAAATCCCTTTCTATATCCATATCTGCCAAAGATATTCTACCATCTCTATCCATCATTAAAAATGTATTAACAAGATGTAGGATTTATTAAGTCTTATCTTTACCACCAACAAGTCCTTTCTAATTAAATCCCATTTTGCTTTGATAATAATGAATTTTCATAATGGATTTTTGTTATGTTATCTAATAAACAGGAATTAATCCAGTCTTTCCTTTCAATTAGACCATTTTAAATAATTCAGAATCAATCTTATGTTCACAATCTTCTGCTGTCCTTTAACACAATAAAATAGATTTATTTTCTTATATTGCTAGTTACATTAACCGAGCAGCTAAATTAACAGCATCTCCTAAAATCGAGTATTCCCTTCTGGATCCACTTGTTCCTACAACCCCTGTGAATACAATTCCAGTTGCAACTCCAATATAGCATTTACAATTTATTAAACTTAATTGCTTTACTAACAACTAAGCTGCTAACAAGGCACGAATAGGATCATCCTAATGCTTTAAAGGAGGCAATCCGAATCCCACTATTAGTGTTGAACCTTTATCATCCATCAATAACTTATTTAGAGATCCTTCATTTATGTAAATGCATTTTTGTACAACTTCTATCACTTTTTAGATGTGTTACAATCTAGAATCAGCATCACTCAAATCTATTCCTAAATTTATAAATAAAGTTGTAATTCTTCTTAATTCACTACTCCATTTTTCCTATTCAATCTCAATATAAGGAATTAGTGCTGCTGGTATAAATGTCATTATCTGTGACTTGTTGATCCCCCCTAATCTATTTTTTATTAATTAAGCTCCAGCTTTCAATTAAACTTTATTATTAATTAATTTTAAAACCATATAAAAGCTAGAATCATTCTATAACCTCTAAAACACAAAAAAGTCAGACACCATATCAAAAACCTCCTATGAAACTATGATTTACCCTCCACTTGTAGCATGATGTTCACTTTTAAATGCCTAAGTCAGAGGATCTCCCGTAGCCAAATATTCACTTCTTCCAAAAACTCCTCCCACATATATTATATTGATGTCTCCTATACCAAATCCAATTTTAACTGAAAGTTTGATATCTTCCAAAATTGTAGTATTGTTCAACTTAGATTAAATATCTAAAGCTGATTGTACTGCTAGTCTACAAATAACTTTCAATTCTTCATGGTTTTCTACAGCACTTTCTTTAATAGAAGGAGGCCAAACCACGATCATGGCATCTAAAATTAGTATATTGCTTACCCCCAGCAAACTTAAAAATATCTCCTCCACTCTTACTTATTGCAGAAACTAGCAATTCCATATAACGATTAATAGCAAATGCTATAAGCTCAGCCCCTTCATTTCCTAATTTTGATAAAGTTTCTGTCAAATTAGTGAATCCAGATATATCAGCGAACATGACTACAGATCTTAAATTTTGCTTTTCTGGAAGTTAAGTTATTTATTATTGATTAGCTAAATATTGGACTACCAATGCTGGAACAAAACCTAGTAAACTCATGTTGTCATTTCTTGTTAGCATAATAATATTATATTAAATTAATTTCTTATTTTCTAATAAATTTGTAAAATTAATTGTTTAGATTATTTGCATGAAGATATTCAACATAGTTAAATTATTATAAGATGCAGTAAGTGAAATTTAAGTTAATATCGCTTAATTTAAAATTATCGCTTGATTAAATAATTCTTGTTAGTAATCCTTAAGACCTCTAGGATTCTTTTAATATCAATTGAAATTTTTTGTATTTTTCACATGCTTTTGTTAAAACTGCTACTTAAATCAAATCAAATTCTCAATTAATTATTTTATTGGGATTTTATCATTCATATATTTAATCTAAGAACATTAATAACAAAATTTTGATAGCTTAGCATTTAATCCTCTTATTATTAATTAAATTAATTATTTGTATGTTTCCTGATTTCCTGAAGCTTGGATTCCAAACATATAAATAAATTATTTTATTCCTACATTTTACAATCAAAATAGCGCTTGAAATTACAATTGAATAAATAAAAAGCCATGTAAAGATGTAAATAGAGACAAAAAATAAGTTGAAACTTCTTAGGAAGATTAATCAATATGAAATATATATTGAGATTAAGACGCATCCATCATAATAAGTATTCTATAAAATTGACTTAAGAATGATAACAAATTAATAAATTTAATTGATTTCAAAAGAAGTCTCATAGAGGTCGATTTGAAAATCAAAAATGTAGTTAATATTATGATTGTTTAATAAGAAAAGTCAGAAATTAAAAAATATTTTTTGGAATGTTTGAATATTGTGGTTTTATATATATATTGATTTATCAACCTTCTCCTTCTTCACCTTCTCCTTCAGCGGTTTCAATACCAACTTCTTCATAATCCTTTTCTAAGGCAGCAAGATCTTCTCTGGCTTCAGAGAATTCTCCTTCTTCCATACCTTCACCGACGTACCAGTGGACGAAGGCTCTCTTGGCATACATAAGATCGAATTTATGATCAAGTCTGGAGAAGACTTCAGCAATGGCAGTTGAGTTGGAGATCATACAAACAGCTCTCATGACCTTGGCCAAATCACCTCCTGGGACGACTGTTGGTGGTTGATAGTTGATTCCGACCTTGAATCCTGTTGGGCACCAGTCGACGAATTAGATGGTTCTCTTTGTCTTGATGGTGGCAATGGCAGCGTTGACATCCTTGGGGACGACATCACCTCTGTAAAGCATGGAGCAAGCCATGTATTTACCATGTCTTGGGTCACACTTAGCCATCATGTTTGCTGGTTCGAAGGCTGAGTTTGTGATTTCAGCAACTGACAATTATTCGTGATAAGCCTTTTCAGCTGAGATGATTGGAGCATATGAGCAAAGCATAAAGTGGATTCTTGGATATGGGACCAAGTTGGTTTAGAACTCAGTGATATCGACATTCAAGGCACCATCGAATCTCAATGAAGCTGTCAATGAAGAGATGACTTAAGCAATCAATCTGTTCAAGTTGGTGTATGTTGGTCTTTCAATATCCAAATTTCTTCTGCAAATATCATAGATGGCTTCGTTATCCAACATGACACAGACATCAGTGTGTTCCAACAATGAGTGGGTTGACAAGATGGAGTTGTATGGTTCAACGACTGCAGTTGAAACTTATGGTGATGGATAGATGGTGAAACCCAACTTAGATTTCTTACCATAATCGACTGACAATCTTTCCAATAGGAGTGATCCCAATCCTGATCCGGTACCTCCTCCGACTGAGTGGAAGACCAAGAAACCTTAGAGACCTGTGCAGTTATCAGCTAACTTTCTGATTCTGTCTAAGCACAAATCGACGATTTCCTTTCCGATGGTGTAGTGACCTCTGGCGAAATTGTTGGCAGCATCTTCCTTTCCTGAGATCAATTATTCTGGGTGGAATAATTATCTGTATGTTCCTGTTCTGACTTCATCAATAACTGTTGGTTCCAAATCCAAGAAGACGGCTCTTGGGACGTGCTTTCCTGCACCAGTTTCTGAGAAAAAGGTGTTGAAGGCATCATCTCCTCCTCCGATAGTCTTGTCTGATGGCATTTGACCATCTGGCTGGATTCCGTGTTCAAGACAGAACAATTCCCAACAGGCATTACCGACTTAAATACCTCCTTATCCGACGTGAATAGAAATGACTTCTCTCATTTTTAAAGTGCTATGTGATGAAAACTCTCTAAAAAAATTATTTGAATTTCAGCAGTTATCACTCACATTTGAATATCCAAAATATCCTTGCACCGGGGTACTTCATATTTGAATTATTTTCTTTTATAATTAATGCAATTAATTATAAAAATATAAGCATGATGAATCATCTGCAATCGAGAAACTTGTAAAATTACTGTGATTTATTGAAAAATCAGCAGGATACACAATTTGGGTGAAGTTAATATGAAAATGGTATTGTTTTAGGATACAAATTTATCGCTTCCATTTAATAGGATAGTATAAATCTATTAATTATCTCATCTCAGTAGATTCGTGGGAAATTGTTTATTATAGAAAATTATTTTTAGAATAATTTCTAATAACTCTGATTCAATTTATAAATTTTTAATGGATAAGAACATTTCTCTCAAAGTTAAAAACTTCTAAACAGTGAATTGGTTGAAAAATAGATTCAGAAATCAAGTGAAGGATAAATATATTTTGAATGAGAAGGAGCTGAAGGAATAAACAATGATGAAAGCTGTCTTTCAAATCAATTGATAGAGATAATTCAAGTTTTTTATTCCCTAAATTTACTTTAGAGTTTCTAGATCGATAAGAGTTGTATGACATGTTCAAACGCTATGGGATTAACATTACAAAAACTAAATTGCGTGAATTTTTCAAGAGAATCGATTAAGATGAAGATGGTAATTGACATTATTTATTTGTCAGACAAACTTAATTGGAACGACTTTCGACAAGCCTTGTAAAACTAAGAAGCTTTATAGAGTAAATTCTCAAATATATGAAGTGTTCGTTGAGCTCATGCGCAAAATCAGAGAGACCTCGGAGAAGTTAGGTAAACCAAATGAGTTCAATTTTGTGCCTTTGAGCTTCCCCAACATGATTTAATACATGAATTATTGTGTTTTGAGGGAAGAGCTCATTCAGAAAATAAAATCGGAACAATTATCAAACCAATAAAAAGTTAAGCAGTGCACAAATCTTTTGTCTTTGGAAGATATCTGCTATAAGAAAGTTTTGGATATGAGAGAAGTAGAAGAAGAGCAACAACAAGATGAAGAAGATCCACTTAAGAAATTTATGAAAAAAAATAATGATCCTCAGCAACTAGCCATTTTGAAGAGATTGTAAGAAAAAGAATAAATGATGCAGCGTTAAGTAAATGCTAATACTATATTTTTGATAGAAAAGAATTAGAAAATTAAGTTCATCGTAATATTACAGGACAGACACAGACTAAACTAATAGATCTATTCGAAAAAGCTATTAGTCAAATAAATAAGAGACTAGCAAAATATATCAATCGGAATTTAAATTAATAGATTAATTTGTAAATGATAATTAATCCTAATTACCATTTAAAATTACTGACAATAAAAATAATTTAAATATACAACAGGCATTGTAGATAACAGAAAGATTGAATTTAAATAATACCGATTCTCCTTACAAGTACTAAGCAAATCACTTGAAATAAGTATCATGCACTACCAGTACAAGGAGAGGCGACCATTTTACAAATTAATATCTTATTGTAATTTTACTATTAATTTAAGAATTCTAAATCGCCTTTCCTAACCTCTCAGATATCAAAACTTCGTTCTCCTTAAAGAATTAGAGTAATATCCTAGATAGATTTGAAAAAAAGTGATTCAAAAAATAAAATTTGATTTTTTATTATTTCAGCATATTAATCTACATAAGTTAAATAGATTAATTTATAAGAATATAATAAAAAGGTGATCTAATAAATATTCTTAATGTAAATAGAAATCAATCTATTTCTGCCATTTCTTTTGAAAGCTCCTTATAATGTTTAAGGGTTGTCTTTAATTTAAGGTTATACTTTTCTAATTCAACGATTTAGGCTTTTAATTTTCTAATCAATTCTTCATAATCAATTATAGATTATTTCTAGGATTCAATCACTTAAATTAATTTAACATTCTCCCCCTCCTTAGTCTTTACTTCAGTTATCAACAACGTAATTCTTTCTTCTAATTATATAATCAAGACCTTTTGTTCCCCATTGTGATGATTTAATTCTTAAACTCTCTTTTACAACTGAGCAAGTTCTGATTCCAAACTGCTATTCTTTTTTTCTAATTCATTCTACTTTTCCATGTAAGTTGTTAATTATATTGTTAGAGATTAATTTTTAGCGACATGTTCAGCTCTATCTGATTCAAATTAATTTATCTTGGCTAAATGTTCAGAGATTTCAATTTTTTATGTTTCACTCAAAGATTTGAATTCTAAAACCTTTTTTTCAAGTGTTATGATTAGAAGTTCCAATTCTTAAACTTTGGTTAGATGTATTTAAATGGTCACTTAATGGGTCTCTTCCAGTTTGATTATCTGGTGTCTAAGTTCATCAATAACTTTATTTTTCTCTTAAACTAAAGTGGAGTTCGTTCTTTCTTGTTCAAATTAGATGAGAATTAATCTATGCTACTCTTAAAAACTATTATGATCATTGGTCAGCTAAGCAAATCTTTATTTCAATTAATCTAATTCACTAGTAGTAATTTGATGAGTTTCCCTTAATGAACTATGTTCCTATGTTAAAATTGTCCACTTAGTCTTATAATCATCCAATTCAATAATTATCAATCGATGTTTATCATTTATTAATTGATGTTATTACATTAGCTACTATAGTTATTCTTTTAATGTGGAAGCCTCAATTTACCCTTATGCTTATCGATCAAGATTTTCTTTCAATTCCTATTAAACCTTAGCTAATTATAATTCATTTTCTTCCAATTATTTTAATAGATTTTAAATTCTCTCGTTCATCAATATATTTGACTCTCTTAAAGCAGTAATCTGTAAATTCTTTTCTTATACCACCTTTAAATATTCAGAAATTTATTGATCTTTCTCGATTATGTTTTATTGCAATTTTTCATTTATTTACAATGCTTCATCTAATTATTTTGAAATAAATATTTATGAATTTTTTAATTCAGCCAATTATTGTTAGATCGTCAATATTATTTACTCCTTCAAGCCTAATTCTTCAGCTAATTGAAGCTTCTCCTTTTTAATAGGCTCTAATTCCAAACATCTTAAATCATACCTTTACTGAAGCAATTATAATTATTCTGTCTATTAAATAATCACTAACTCATGATTTTATAATTTCTTTTTGATTTCTATATTTTCTGATGAGTACTTTTCATGCTCTCTTTTCGCAGCTTCTGCTTGTATTAATCTTACTTCTAAATTTCCTATGATCCTCAACTTATCTTAATTTAATTATTGTAATGCAATGTACTCCTTATTTAGTTGATTGACTTGTAATTCTAATTAGAAAATCTTCTATCGATCAGCATCCAATAGCTAAGTCAATTCTTACTCAGTCTGTCTGGATTATAAAGAAATATTGATTTAATAGTTCTTATCAATTTGAGAAGCTGTCATTGAATTTTCAGCTTATTAAGTAGATAAGAGTTTAAGATCAGAAACTTATTATTAAAGTTCTTTATTTTATAAGATCTGAGCATTCAGTTATGCATATATTTCTGAATTTGACTTTTATAAATTATTTATTATATTCTAATTGTCTTCCTAAATTTTATCCTAATATTTCTTCTATTCATGTAAAGCCTAGATTTCCAAATCATATAATGCAATCTTTTTCCTTAATGATTCATTTGCATCTAAAAGTTACTTATCTGCATCCTGATTGATTACTTATAATGGCTAGTTTTGAAGTTCCTTAACTTACAATTGTAATTCAGTGACCAATTTGTGCTTTGTCATTAAGAGTTCTTCAATTTGTTCAATGTATTTTTTTAAGGTTTCCTTTTCTTCATCAACTTGTGGTTATTAAGCAATTTAGACAGTCTTTCTTCTTAAGTTCTGGAACTCATCAGATTGAGTCACTGAATATTTGAGCATATCATCATCTTATTCATTTCTTTATTATTCATTTTAATCCTTGATAAATTCAACCTTAATTTAATGAGTATCCTTATTCTGTTCCAAAGGTCTAGAAACGATAACACTTTGTGACATACCCTGTGGGTGAGATATAAATATAATTAATTTGGTTTGAACATAGTTCTTTTCAATTACTCCAGAAGACACCCCTTTCATAATTTATCCTTCAATTTCCTCAAATTATTGATTGAATTGTTTGATTTCATCGAAAGTTGCATAGAAGGAAGATGCCAAACACTTTAAATAGTTGTCGTATCCCACAGTGGGATTAAGGAGAACTTGATTCAAAAAGAAAAAGCTGGTCTGTAGAAGAAAGAAGTTAATACCAAATGGCTAAAGGTATCTAGATATTCTGTTTCTCACAAAAGGTTTGGCGAGTGTCACTTCACTTTGTTTAAGTTTAAAGGCCTACTCCAAAACCTAAGCTACCTTCTCAGTTTCATGAAGATAATCATAAGGTGTCTTTTTCAATTGAGATGGGTAAGTGTTGAATGGGATTATATTCGAATAAAGCACAGTCAGTAATGCATATGTGGATGCTTCAGAGGAGAAACAAAGTAAGAATAAAGTAATGAGTATTTAATCTGAAGTGTAGCCAATATCTGGATATTGGAGTAAAAGAGAGCCTAAAACTTTACTGATTTTCTAAGTCAACAATTCATGTTCGTTGTCTTTGATTAGATAGGTGATGAATTCTCTAAGGGAGAAATTGAGATTGAGCCATAATTCAATCATGACTGAGTTCAACTCTGACTTCATTTTCTAATAATCACTATTTTCTGGATTAGAGGTAATTCCTTTTAATGCTTTTTCGTATTCCTGTGTATTTAATATATCTTTACTTGATTGGCATGTTCTACAGTCAAACCTGATGCCTTTAGCCATTCGACAGCAAAAGTGTTAGTACCGAAAACAATCTTTTATTGTTCAATGAATCTTTTGATCCAATCACTTTCATCTTTGCAAGAATTACAAATTCTTCTAGGTCTCTTACTTGGACCTGTTTCTGTTATATAAATAATCTTGTGTTCTGAACATTGTTTACAAACAGCACGACGACATCTAAAATTGTAGGAATCATTCAAACCTTTTGCACTAATGCTCAGGTTTCAACAGCCCAAATTCCTTTTGACACAACTAACATCTTTTGAATTTCCCTCTTGCTTCAGAGATCAGAACTGTCTTGATATGTGCTTGGGTTAATGATTTTCTTTGAGACATTATTAAAGATTTTAATTTCTATAAAGTTTAACATATGAAATCTGAATTTATATTTTTCTGAGCAATTCGAATTTAGTATGTCCATATTCTATCAAGAATATTTGGGAGATCACTTCTTTTTAATCCTCTTTTGGAATGCAATCTATAGACTTTATTTTATCACAAGAATTATATAAAAAATAATTAATACATTTTTAAATCTTTAATTTAAAATGGTCAAGATGAACGTTCTAAATGATTGCCTTCGTTCAATTGTGAATGCTGAAAGGTACACTTTATTGTTTTATTCGAAAAGATAAGGAAGAAAATAAGTGTTAATCAGACCAACATCCAAATTAGTTGTGAAATTCTTATAAGTCATGTAGAGACACGGATATATTGGAGAGTTTGAAATTGTCGACGATCACAGAAGTGGCAAAATTGTCGTTGAACTCTTGGGTACCAATTGTCAGTTATGAAAAGGTCGCATTAATAAATGTGGAGTCATTTCACCTCGTTATGATGTTACTCTAGGTGAATTCGAGAGATGGGCTAACAATATTTTGCCAGCCAGACAATTTGGATGCGTTGTCTTAACTACTAATGTTGGCATTCTTACTCACGAGGAAGCTAGATAAAGACACATTGGAGGAAAAATCCTTGGTTTCTTTTATTGAGTTCAATACAAAGTACATTCATACACATACAATATAAATAACCTAATCATCATTATATATTCATTCTAACAAAATTGTAATATCGGTTTTCATATTTTATATATATCGAATAAGTTAATAATCACTTTAATTGTGCCCCATTTGAACCTGTTAATCTCGTTGAACCACTCTTCACCTTCTTCTTGAATAACTTCTCCTCCTCATCCAATTTGTCATCATCCACTCCTTGAGCATAAACCATCTGATCCATGTCTGCCATCTCCATTATGTCATTCACTTTCTCCTTGAAATATTGGTGCTAATAATATAAGGTACTCGTTAATTGCTGATCTTAATAGCTCTCCCAATAAGCAGTAGTCTTCCTTTCCAAACAACTGTCCTTTCTCACTTTGTACACAATGTCGTTCCCTTCGATTTGCATTAAAGAAAAAGGGAAAATGCTTTTAGAATTCACTTATTGCTGAGGATTCTATATCTTATAAATGGGAAAAGAATCCGATAACACTTAATCAAAGGTTAATTGGTATTTTCTTGCTTCTAAGTACAGAGTTGCCAAGAATCTGGCTACACTCTCCATCTTCTCATCTGGTGGTTCTTAGGGAATGACAGGGATTTAAGGCTATTATTATGGTTGAATGGGTTATGGGATTACTGGGGGTACAATGACAGGTGGTTTTTCTTCGAATTTCAGTTTTTCTGTAATTAGATCTTCGATTTATTTTTCAAATCTGAGTATCTAATCCTCCTTTCGCTATTTCTCTTTTTTTTGTTATTCATTCAACTCTCTCCATTACAGAATTTCTTTTGAAATGTTATCAAACATCTCATCTGCTCTTTCTACGATGTTAATCGAACACTTATCTAAACATTCTCTAACAAAACAGTCTTTAGGCCATAATCTAATTTCAGCATTATTATCCTTCTCTTTTTTAGAAGACTCGAAGAATTCTTTGATGAATTTGCAAAAGCTCAATCTCCTCTCAATTTCCATTGCTTTTTCTCTCTGAATACTCTAATCTATTATATTTGAGACAGTCAAAAGATCCTTTTTCAACAACACTATCTTCTAACCCAAATTTTCCATCTCATTCACTCCTCTTGTGTTTTAGGCATTACCTCTACGTAATTTCATGGTTCTGTCCATGGGTTGAGTTCTGGGACGGAAAGCCAAATGGGGATTACTATCCTCATAATATGGATGCATTAGGAATCTTGTTAGTGAGCGAGAGTAGTGTTGTCTCTGCTTCTTAAAATATGTGTATAGTTATTCCTGGAGAGTTATAGCTTATTGATTTATTGATCTTGGCAAAGTGGGTTTCAGTTTCAGAAAGTCACTAAAATCTATTTCCACATCTTTGCCACTCTTGGCGTCAAGGAGTGCAAGGTACAATTCAAAGTCTTCGATAGTGATGGGCGTTTGCAGCTTCTCATTGATGGTCTAGAGGAAATGAACATCTTCGTCAGTCAATTCGTATGTCGTAGCATCCGGATACACAGGTTCCTTATAGAGTATGTAATCTTCACGGCATCTTGACGGAAGTTGGGATTTGAGTTAGGGCTCTTCAAATTATTTAGGTCTAAATAATAATGAGTATAATATAAAAATAAATAAGGCGGGGTATGGAGGAGCAAGGAAGAGATTTCACATTTGAGAGAGGTGAATTCTATTCTCTTGGACTCCTCTTTTGGTAATTAAACAGATATATGTAATTTACTTCTCTTTTAAGAGTTAATCAGGAGTAATGATTTATTCCGTGTTTTTAATGTCTGCTTCCTGCCCTTCAGCATTGTTGAATGCATCCAAAGAGCTAACTGTGAGCACTGGCTTTGATGCATCGATCTGTCTTGGTCTTTATTTCATTTTCTGAGCTGCTACCAATCGATTAATAATTAAAGAAACTTGAATAATATGGGAAGATACTATCCCATGCAAAAGAAAAACAATACAAAATCAAACTAATAACACGAGAAAAACTCCTCCTTATAATATCTCTGCTTCTCCAATCTCTTCTCCTTCAACCTCCCCATCTCCTCAATCCAGCTCTGAGAATTGAATGCTCTGGTCTCTCTTTGTCCCTCTCTCCCATTCTCTTTCTGCTTATTCATCATTTCCTGCGTGTTTTCATTATAATTATTAATGAACTAAATTGGAATTGTTGATAAATTAGATGATTCCTTCAAAAAATTCAACTCCCGCATTCTCGAAGTTGATCAAGGTCGCATCAAATATTATTCAAAGCCACCTCCAGATTTTCAATCTGAAAATCCAAAACTTAACGACAAACCTAAAGCTGGGTTAAATTTAAATCCTATTGTACATTAGACTACTCTTCAGCAGCATCCTAGATATCATTGAAAATGACCCTAGAATCAGCAATGATTTGTAGCCCAGAGTCATCGCCTTCACTTTTTATTCTAATCAAGTGCTCAAAGGCAATGAACTCAATAAACCAGAACCTGCCCTTCCAAAACCAAAACAACCATTATAAACTTGGATTTTTCTATTCAGAGACATTGAGTCTAAGGAAAGATGGTGTGAGATCTTTGCCATGAATTTGCAGAGACAAGAGGCTCCCACTGCTTCTGTTAAGCAATTTGTAGAAAATCAATTGAAATAATTAGAAAAACTAAGGTACTTCTTTTTTTTGATCTCCCCTTTTTAGTCCAGATCAGATCAAGGAACAAAATCCAATTGAAAGTGTCGATGAAGAGGAGAAGCTCAAAAATGAGGCAAAGGTTCGATCTGGGAAAGTTAAATAATTTAGAACGAATTTGAAATTGTAAGAAATTGACAGGAAAAATAAAGAAGAAGAAATTAACAGATAAAGAAAGCAATAATTTGAAGAAGAATAAAAAAGACTCAATCTCCAAAGGGAAGAGGAAGAGAAGAAGAGAAGGGAAGAGGAACAACGAAATTTGAGAAGAGAATAGGAAAGATAAATGAAGTTGAGAATATCAACAGCCTGGGAATTCAGATATTATCAAGCTTTGGAGGACTGTATTGAATCATGCGATAATTTTGACAACAGCATGAAAGCTGGTCTCAGATTGATCAAATATCTTGAGACTTTCAAAGAACAAGCATTCATCTCAGTCAAACAATTAATTTGCGATCTTTTGGATAAAAAAATCACAGTTGTCAACTAAAATCAGAGTGTCAACTTAATCGAGGAAGACAATCAAAAGAAAGTATTGCTTCATATATCATTCTAAGACTATATTCTCTAAGCCTAAGAAGAAGTAATAAAACAACGAAGAAAATAATTATATTGGGTAGTTCCAGGATTGCTTTTATGGCACCTTCTAATTTAAAAGTAATAACATGCTGATCTATATTGCAACATCTGAAACTGTTGAGAGAACTCTTCTAATACCAAATAAATCAGTGATGATTCAAAGTCTAAATCTAAATTTATTAGAATTACCATTCTGGTATGGAATAGTGCATTCAAATTGCAAAAAACGATAATTGTCAGATGAATTCAAAGCCTTAAATTATTTGAATGACATCTGTTTCTCCCAAAGATCTGTGAATAAATATTTCAAACTCAAAGTTCCATTATCATGTCAAATTGAGTATCTAGGATTTAAAGCCTTGGTCCTAGCATGTCCTCCTTCTCCTCTGGATGATTCATCTTTAATTTACGGTGTCCCAAATGGTGAAAATTATTACAAGGCATCATAAAAACTAGAACTTGAAATTGAAGCCTTGGGTAGAAGCTTAGCGATCAAGCCTCATTGTTTCATGTGGAAAATCGAAAGATTTGATCCAAAGAAAATACAATTAGATACCAAAAGATCTGTCATCCAATTATCTGTAAATACTCAAATACACAGTGGTAACATTGCTGAATTTGAACAATTAAAAGCCTAGATTAAAATTTATGCAGACTAAGAATCAGAACAAGAAGTTAAACGACAAGGCTTGTTTTATTTACTTAGAGTAAAGGAAATACTACCTTATGTCATTGAAGAGCACTACTCAGAACTGGTGGAATAATCTAATAAGACAATTCCTGCAAATCACAACTTTGATCATTTACTTTAAAATTATGAATTCAGGAGAGCCAGACCAGAATTTCTGTCAGTGTATTATGATACAGGTGTCAGTGGTTAATTGAGAGCATAGTAAAGTAACATCCAAAACAGAAAGGTCTATAATCCTGATGCATATGACACCATTGAGGAATCAAATGACATAGCAATTGATCAAATGGCTTTAGCAGAGATGAGCAAAAACTTCATTAGAGGTTATATCCAAGAATTCGTGAATAAAATTGATCAATTAGAAATATGTCCTATTGATAGTTATACGTTAAGAGAAAGCTTTAGACTTTTTGGTATTAACATGAGATTCCTTAATCTGGTGGCATTATAAACTAAGTATATATTCATGATATCAAATATAAGAATCCCCCATGTTCAATAGTTATGCGAAGTGGAAATGATGGCTAGATCAATTAAAAACATATTTAATTAATAATTCACAGAGTTTTTGTAGACAATTACAGAGGATTAAATCCCATTTAAGCCCTTTGATCCTAAGAAAATCATCAGGGACCCCTTTTCGGATTAAGAAGAATTGGAATCGAAGAGACCCTTCCCAAAAAAGTAATCCATAATGTTACCACGCACGATTATTTAAGAAAGAGAAACCATGTCAGAATTCATAGAGATGCAATACAAAGAGTAATTGGCAGACTTATTAAATTTACTGTTTTCTAAGAGCAATGTGTTTTATGAATAAATTCTCTTTAAATAAGTGTTATTTGACTTCAATTATGATTTGAATTTGAAATTAAAAGGGATTTGTCCAGGTAGTTTGTTGAGTGCTTTACAGTATAATTTAAAATTCGAATCTAAATTTGAACCCAAAGACATAATTTTTGGAACTCCTTATGCATAATTAGATGAGAGTGTCATAAACAAATTTAATTTGAAATAGTACTTACATTAAAAAACTTACTAGCAATTATATAAAACATCTATCATCCCAGCATCATCTCAAATGACTCCATTGACTACTCCTCCCACTAAAGGAGCTCATTCGATAAAGTAAATGAATAAATAGGTGTTCTTTGATTCCTCCTCCATAATTCAGTTGAGATTCGATGTTCAAAGTTTCTCTATGTTAGAAGTTGAGATCTGTAAACTGGTGAATAAATTTAATATCTTCAAACTATAGTAAAACTACCAATTGGCCATAAAAGTTCTTCATATGTAAATTAAATTTTGACAAAATCAGACGCCTAAACCTTCTTGAAGGACTCGAACATTCCAGCAACATAGCTTAAGCCAGAACCATGGTGTTGACAGACCTAGCAGAATTGCATTTCAAATAGAAGCAGTATTAACAAACAATGGTTCGATTAGCAGAGGCCTTGAAACACTTGAATCCCAACATTTACCTTGACAGCGAGAATCTTCTTAATCAACTTTCCAATATGAATTAGAGATGGATTCCCAAGGTGGGGATGATTCGACCATTGATGTTGTTATTAGAGATAGTAACTGAATTATACTAGGATTACGTATTCATAGTATTCGACTTGTTGATATTTAATTTGGAGTTTTGTTTAGGTTCCCAGCATCATTACTATGCTAAGGTCTTCAATATCATGGGTACATTTTTTAAGAATAGAGGATAAATAGAGGACATGCTCTAAATGAATACTATGTAGATAATATGTCTAATCAAAACCATTGGTCATCAGCATCAATTGACTGCTGATGCATACATTGAAATCGGAGAGCAAAAGCAAAGTCCTGAATAACAAATCCTCTTTTACGAAAAAGCCTTTTACATTTTTGAAACTCTCTACACAGACAATAGTCTATAGACAGCATATGTGGCTTGCAAATTAACCAAGGGTTACACTGACTGTGGTAAAATTAATGAGGCCTTGAAGATTAGTTAATTGGCTTGCAAAATCCTAAAAACTAAAGCATAAGATAATTTGGCATATCTACTAGAATTGAGTTATTATAGAGCTTATAACTTTTATAAGAATTAATAAAAAGAATAGGCTCGAAAAGAATGCGAAGAGTACTTTAATGTCTTACAATTATATTGGGATTAAATATAGGCTTATGATCAGCAGGATCAAAGTCATTCGGATATAAGCAATATTAATCGGGACTTATAGTCTTTTCCAATATAATTGATTGAGATGACTCGCAAGACTTTGATCACTTTTACTGAGATATTCTTGGCAGAAGCCTCAAAAGAGCATAGAAATTTCTTATATTAGATGTTTGATTTGATTATAGAGAATCATGCCAGATCTAATTTATTGGAGCAATTCGATTCCCAATTTAATGTTCAATTCATTCATGTTTTAAAGAAAATTAAAACTTTGGGCAGTTTATAGGCTTATTTTGAATGGTCCTTAATTTAATTTGTAGATAAGACTGGAGGTGATACAAATTGGTTAACTTTCAATTTTAAAGTTTAAAACTACGAATAGTTAAAAGAACCATATGAAAATTATGAATGCATAGTTGTCACACTAGGAAGAAAGGTGTTGGCATAGATTTTTGAAAAGATTATGATAAACAATCCATGAGTAGTTGAATATGTATAAAATTTCAATTTCATTTCAATTTCTATTTTATTGAATTTATTAAGTGCATATTTTTCGAGATTAAATATACTAGTATGAATGGGTAGGGTAATGATAATTGGATTTTTCTGAAATCTCAGATTTAATGCAATTGTGTGTTAATGTTGTGAAGGCAAAAAAGCATTGAGATTATGGGTAGTTAAGAATGGATTCAACGAGATTTGGAGGAACAATGTAAGAGATGTAGAGATAATGAGTGAAATTATGATAAAGTTGATTGAATTAATTTATTTAATGGGGGAGAAAAGAATTGACAAATATCTGTTCAATCCTAAAGATCTTATTGGGGAAGGTTCGTATGCTTAAGTGTATAGGGGGAGAGATGAAAAGACAGGAGTGAAGGTAGCGATAAAAGTGTTGAACAAATCTGTCATAAATGCGTAATTTTAGATTGATCGAAATTTAGAGACGATTATTTAAGGGAAGGATTGATCTCAGAGATAAAAGTAATGTAGAAATTGAAGAGTCCAAACATAGTATAATTAATGGATGTAATGGAAACCAATAATAATTATTATATAATTCAAGAATATTGCGATAGTGGAGATTTGGACAAATTGATTGAGAAGTAATTGTAATTTAGTATCATTAGTTATGCGGCTTAAAAGAAAACTATGCCTGAGAAAGATGCAGTCAAATTTATGATTGACATTTTGAATGGATTCATTTAACTAATTAAAAATGGTATTATTCATCGAGATTTGAAACCAGCCAACATATTAATCGACAAAGGAGTACAACTATCATTAATATACTAGACCTTCAAATTAGCAGATTTTGGATTTGCAAAATGTGTAGACAATTTTAAAAAGGATATGTTAGCATCATTGGTAGGAACACCATTATATATGTCACCACAAATCTTGGATAATAAAAAATACACATCCAAGACTGACATTTGGAGTATTGCCTTTATCTTTTATGAAGCACTGTTCGGTAAAAGTAAGTATCCTCTTTTCTATAAACCAATTAGCACCTTGGACTGCTAGATCACCTCAAGAACTCTTGAAAAATATTAGAAATTAACCTTTGCAGTTCAAAGGACCTCAGATTTCCAAAGAAGCCTAAGAATTTTTAATAGGGTGTTTGCAAGCTGAGGAAAAGGATAGATTATCTTGGGATGAGATCTATCGTCATCCTTTATTTAAAGGACATTTTACTGATTTTATCAAAAATGTAAGTATCTTGGAGGACAAAGCCACTTATTTGATTAATGACATAAGATAGATGATTATCAAAGATTAGATTGATATTGGAGAATTGTTCGCTGAACTTGACATGACTAAGGACAAAGCTTTAAATGTTAATGAGTTGGGGAAATTCTTGCAAAGAGTAGATAAAGATCTTACTCGAGAGGAGATAGAGTATATCTTCAATAAATTTGATGACGATGGAAATAATCTAATAGAGTTCAATGAGTTCAAAAAGTGGCTGGAAGAAAATGATGTAAATATGTTATTTAGATTTGTTAATAGTGTAGAATGACAGCTTCTGAAGTAAGCAGAACTAAAAAGAAGGTTAGCATTCTTATGAAACCGCAACAAGATATTTAAGCAGGATCACTAGACGATAGAGCAAGGTCAGTCATTGAAAAATTGAAGGTGTCTATTGTCAAATTCAATATCAATCTCTTGGATTTGTTTAATAAGGTAATAATTCTCTTATCGTTCTAGTATGATAAATCAGCCAATCATGAATTAGATGCTTAGGAGTTAGGCAAACTATTAAAGAGAATTGATCAAACTGTCACAGATGAAGAAGCCAAGGCCATCTTTACCTTCTTTGATCACAATAAAGATGGATCTGTTTCATTTAATGAGTTCGAGTTTGTCTTGAAAGAATGCTTAGTTAAATAAAAAATCAAATAGTGAAAATGATATATTTACATATCGTTAAAAATATTAAAATATATTCTTTAATATATCACACAATTCCCAACAAAGAATTATAAATCTTCATAACTATTATAATTGCTTTATTCAATGGATTAATAACATATGGTCTTAATCCTCTTGCCAATGTAAACCATCCAATAGTCTTTCTCAATTTTGCCTTATAGCCTTTATCATTCTCTGCCATTTTCAAATGATGTTCATACGATGTCCTGGGAATCCCTTCTTCACCTAAGAAATTCTTTATCAAAATATCGAAATCTAAATATATTTGAATTTTATACTCTCTCTGAAGGATTTCTCTTCTATTTCTGTAATCAAAGGGGCATCAATCTGAAATTCTCTCATTAAACAGATTGGAGATAAAATAGAAAATACTATTCCTAATTTAGGAAAACTAAAATAGATATTTAAAAAATATGATAAGATGACTGAATAACCTATTAGATATCCTATATAGATGTGTAAATAATAGGGTAAATGATCCTAATAGGGAATCTTCAATGAAATATATCCAGTTGTTATATATACTGCATAAAGTAAATAATCAACGTGTTTAATTATAAACGAGATTATTGTATTTTCTGGTAAAATTACAACCAAAATATCAAATAAGGAGGTTTGTAGCAATAATAAAAAACTGAAGAGTAAAGCTTACAAGGTTAATTTAATTTGATCAATTATAGTAGAGAATCCTACATTGTTGTCTCTTTTTAAATTGTATATTAAAAATTGCCTATTCTATTTCACATTTGTCTCATATTAAATGGATGTTTAAGTAATCTTTCCAACATAGACTAATTGTCTGACATTGTTCTCAAGGTACAAGACTACGGATACGATTTGAAACGACCATAAAAATATTTTAGGAATCGACATTAGTCCTAATAAATATACAATCAAGTCGATTATAAACACGATGGCTAATTTTTTGCCCGCAAATTCTATAGCTTGTCTTAAATATTTTTAAATTTCCATGCAATGCTTTTCTTATTAATCAAAAGCATATCTTCGAAGTCCTTTCATGAATTAAATGCTATCAAATAATCCATAAAGGAATAGTATTGATTATGTTTTTAAATATTGCATCTAAAAATAATACTAGATTTTTATTATTCATTTATTTTCTATAATTTTTTTTTATATAAACTTTAATCTAGTTATATTAATACTAATTAAATGTAACAATATGTCATCATCATCTCATTTAATTTTACCAGTTAACTAATTTCTATATTGTGCCCTATGATTAATTAATGGAAATTGCAATGAATTAACTATAAAAATTATGAATAAGCAATAATAATGGAAAGGTTCAACTTGGCTTAGTGCGTTTTATATTGAAAACGAAAAAGATTTATTATAATTTAAAACCAGGATGAAATATTATAAAATGATTAACAATATATTATCTAAATTGTTTATATTAATACTTAATATAAATAATTAACGAAATGAGTCAATAAACAGCAAAAAACTTAAGAGATTTGCTTATAAAATAATAACTTAATAGCAAGATTAAATTTAAAGGAGAACCTGCCAATAAAATTTAACCTACTAGAAAATAATCAGGTAATTGGGATAAAAAAGTGGATATCTCCTAATGCTATTGCAATTAAAAGAATTGTAATATATGCATAAAGAAAAGGGTTGTAATTAATGCCTCACCTTTGCTTAAAGTCAAAGTTAGCACCAAAAACTAACCATGTGAGAGTGATAGTAGAAGAGAGATCAAAGTGGGCAACTCAGTTTCAGCACATCAATCACCTAATCGTGAAAAGCAGTATCAGATGCAATAAATGTTTTTACAAAAATAACTTTAAAGCCAATTACATTAGATATAGGAATCACGTCCATAATCAAGACAAATGCCAAAAGAGTAGGCCAAGAAGCCTCAATTTTATCATAACATGGACAATTTTTTGAATAGTTACTATTAAAAAAGCAATCTAAGCAATTCATAGTTATATGAAAACAGTTACAATGTTAAATCAAAAGTAATCCCAAAACGAGTAGAATCCAAAAGTCATGTATTGAGTAACACACAAACTTCATTTAAATTGAAATTGAATTAATAAGGACCTAAATTTTCAGCTGTATCTTATTGAATTTTTATATTAGATCATCAATTCTGGATTAGTTGAGTCAGCACCAAATTCTCCAAACAATCATGAAAATTCAAATAAAAGCAAATTAACCCCCAATGATTCTATCTCGAAAAGCAAAATTAATTAAAATGACTCGAAATCAAGTGAGTTAAGAAGAAAGTCCACTGGGGAGATCTCAGACAAAACTCAAATCCTCAGTTTAAAGATAGATGAATAGGTGAATCGAACTCATTTTAAGTTTCTCTATGTAATTGGCAAGGGTGGATTTGGGAGAGTTTGGAGAGTAGAAATGAAGAAGAACAAGAAGTTGTTTGCCTTAAAAGAAATGTCAAAGGCTAAAGTAATATAGAAGAGAAGTGTAAATTCAGTGTTAAATGAGAAATATCTATTAGAGCATTTGCATCATCCTTTTTTGGTGAACATGTGGTATGCATTTTAAGATAGGGAAAATCTGTTCTTGATTATAGATTTATTGACAGGTGGTGATCTGAGATTTCATCTAGGAAAGATGAGAAGGTTTAGTGAAGCTTAAACCAGTAAAGAATATTTATAACAATAGAATTTTTTGTTGCTTGTATCTTGTTGGCTTTAACTTATTTGCATTAAAACGGGATTATACACAGAGATTTTAAAACCAGAAAACTTGGTCTTAGACTAGGATGGATATATGAGATTAACTGATTTAGGCATAGCCAGAATGAATAAAGGAAACAATGCTGGAGATACATCAGGAACACCAGGGTACATGGCACCAGAAGTAATGTGTAGAATGGACCATTCAGTGGTGGCTGATTATTATGCACTAGGAGTAATAACATATGAATTGATGCTTGGAAGAAGACCTTATAATGGTAGAACCAGGCAAGATATCAGAGAGTAAATTCTAGCTAAGTAGGTTCAGGTAAAAAAGGAGGAGTTGCCTTTAGGATGGAGTGAGAGTTCTCTCGACTTTGTTAATTAGGTATTAGCATTTAAATGATATTGTTAGTTAATATTGAGAAAGCCGGAAAGAAGACTTGGTAGTAATGGGATTGAGGAGATATTGCATCATTCTTGGTTGAAAGGGTATCCTTGGGATGATTTACTGAAAAAGAAAATTCAAGCTCTTTATGTTCCAGGAGTATTTGATCTTAATTGAAAGTTAGGCTGTGGATGATAATTTCGATTTTTAGAATCAGATCTCAGAGGAAACTTAATTGAATGATGACTAGTAATTGGAGAATCAGGTTCTGTTGAGGAGGGATACTGTGTAATGTAAGAAAATTAGTAAGATGTAGCTTTGTTCGATGGGTACAATTTTGATGTTGAATTAAAAAACATTCAACATTAATAAACTTAAAAGAATCATTCTTAAAGGAAATCACAACCGGTTTCTCCAGAGAAAAGAGCATGACTTTGAAAATTTATTAATAAAAAGTGATAGTCAACTTTTGTTTAATTTAAATATAGATAAGTCATCTAAGATTTCTTCTTCATAGAGCTTTTAGGACATTTGTTTTTTGAGATTCTCGTATTTTTCATCTAATTCTCCGTATTTGATGAGTAGATCATCAATATAATAGTTTTTTTAGTCGATGCTTTGTAATAAGTCCTCGCATTTCTTCTGCAATAATCGAATGACTTCTTGATTATGAACAAGTTTTTCTTATTCGAATAGTTTTGTCTTAAGCAGTTGGATTTCCTATAGGCTTGACTAAGACTCATACCCTTAGGTATTTGTTGTGGATCTCTTTGATATCTTTTTCAATGCGAGCCTTGAGAGTAGTCTCAAATTGCTTGTTAAAGTCATTAATGATAATTAGATTATTGGAAGTAAGTTCTTCCACTTCGTTTTTCTTTTCATTGTACAACAATACTAATTGTTGGTTCTCTGATTTTAAGGAAGCAACCAATTAATTGAGTTGTCTGAGTTCTTAGTCATAGTTTTGTTTGATAGACAATTAATCTTCCAATTATTATTTAAAATGAATCAAACTGATTTGACAATCTGAAATGAATTGCCTAGACATTATTGATAAGAGTACTTCATTTCATTGATTTATGAATGTTGACTTTCAATAATCTTGTCATTATTCTTAACATTTGCATTTGAATATTCTGAAGTCCTCATGTTAGTTATAGATTTGAGGCTACAGTGTTGAATGAATGTTAGTCTGTTTGACAGTGGAATACCTGTGATCATCTCGAGTGAAGGTTGCAGTGGAGTGAGATTGAGTTCGCAATGGAGATTTAGTCATAATTCGTTAAATTGACATGATAATAATAAATTCCAAGTGTCTCTATAGAATACTAAAATAATTGTATTTAAACAAATCATCCTAATGTGAAAATATTAATAATTATTTTTTTAAGTTTAGGAATGGATCCAAAGTAAGTGTTATAACTTATACAATTCTAGGAAGTAGCCTTAGCCAAATTAACCTAGTTAACCCAACTAACCCAACCAACCAAACCAATAGGGATAATCAGAAAAAAAGGATGTTTCTACTGCTATTTTGGACAGAAAGAAAGCACCCAACAGATTAATAGCAGAAGAAGCCCTCTAAGATGATAATACAGTTATTCAATTATCTTAAGCCAAAATGACTGAATTGAAATTGTTTAAGGGTGCACCAGTATTGTTGAAGGGAAAAAAGAGAAAGGAGACAGTGGCAGTTCCAATCCCAGATAAGTTGGATAATGAAAAGATCAGACTGAATAAGGTCATCAGAAAAAATTTACGCATTAAATTAGGAGATGTTGTGACCATCAAACCATTGGATCAAGTATTATAAAATTCAAAATTTAAATAGGTTCCAACTTTAACCAAAGTCCATGTACTCCCCTTTGATGATTCAATCGAAGGTATTAAGGGTGATTTAGCATAAACCTACTTGATCCCTTATTTCAAAGATGCTTACAGACCTGTGAAGAAAGGTGATTACTTTATTTGCAGAGGAGGATTCAAGGCAGTCGAATTCAAGATTATTGCAACTGAACCTGGAGAAAATCGGTATCGTAGGACCAACAACCACATTGTTTACTGAAGGTGAGCCAGTAAAAAGAGAAGACGAAGAGAAATTGGATGAAGTAGGCTATGATGATGTTGGTGGATGTCGTAAATAAATGGCACAAATCAGAGAAATGATTGAATTGCCATTAAGACATCCATAATTATTCAAAACTCTTGGAGTCAAACCACCAAGAGGAGTCTTATTATATGGTCCTCCAGGATCTGGAAAGACTTTGATTGCTAGAGCTGTTGCAAATGAGACGGGAGCATTCTTCTTTTTGATTAATGGTCCTGAAATTATGAGTAAGATGGCAGGAGAAGCAGAAGGAAATCTTAGAAAGGCATTTGAAGAAGCAGAAAAGAACAGTCCTGCTATTATCTTCATTGATGAAATTGATTCTATTGCACCAAAAAGAGAAAAGGTCAGTGGTGAAGTTGAAAGAAGAGTTGTCTCTCAATTGTTAACACTTATGGACGGTTTGAAGGGAAGAGGTTAAGTCATTGTCATTGGAGCAACCAATAGACCCAACTCTATTGATCCAGCATTGAGAAGATTTGGTAGATTCGATAGAGAAATCGATATCGGAGTACCTGATGAAGTAGGTAGAATGGAAATCTTGAGAATCCATACTAAAAATATGAAATTGGCTGAAGATGTTGATCTTGCTGCCATTGCCAAAGATACTCATGGTTTTGTTGGAGCTGATATGGCTGCTCTTTGTACAGAAAGTGCATTGTAATGTATCAGAGAGAAGATGGATGTCATCGATTTGGAAGATGAAAAATTAGATGCTGCTGTATTAGAAGCCATGGCTGTCACACAAGAACATTTCAAATTCGCTATGGGATAGGTTAATCCATCATCTTTAAGAGAAACTGTAGTTGAAGTACCTAATGTTAAATGGGAGGACATTGGTGGTTTAGAAGAAGTCAAGAAATAGTTACAAGAAATGATCTTATTCCCAATTGAACATCCTGAAAAATTCCACAAATTTGGTATGTAACCATCCAAAGGTGTTCTGTTCTATGGACCACCAGGATGTGGTAAAACATTGTTGGCTAAAGCAGTTGCTAGTGAATGCTCAGCCAATTTCATTTCAATCAAAGGACCTGAACTATTGACTATGTGGTTTGGTGAGTCAGAATCAAATGTCAGAGAAGTCTTTGACAAGGCCAGATAAGCATCTCCCTGTGTCTTATTCTTTGATGAATTAGATTCAATTGCAGTCTAAAGAGGTAGCAGTGCCGGTGATGCTGGTGGTGCTGGTGACAGAGTTATCAATCAATTGTTGACTGAAATGGACGGTATCAGTGCTAAGAAGAGTGTATTCTTTATTGGAGCTACCAACAGACCTGAAATCTTGGATGAAGCCATCATTAGACCTGGTAGATTAGATTAATTGATCTACATTCCATTACCAGATGAACCATCCAGACTTAATGTGTTTTAAGCCAATCTTAGAAAAACTCCAGTTGCTAACAATGTCGATCTTGCCTATCTTGCCAAAATCACTGACGGATTCTCAGGTGCTGATATCACTGAAATCTGTTAAAGAGCTGCCAAAGCTGCTGTCAGAGATGTATCTATTCACCATTAATTAATAGGCTATCGAAGCAGAAGCTAGGTAAAAGTAAGCACTCTAAATGGCTCCAAATAAGGCATCTTAACTCATCAAAGCTGATCCAGTCCCAGATCTCAATCGTAAGCACTTTGAGGAAGCTCTTAGACATGCTAGAAAATCAGTTACCAATATTGTATACATTTAAATCTAAACATTTAGGACTTGCAAAAGTTTGAAGACTTCAGAAAGAAATTTGATCCATCATTCAACAAAGGAAGTAACCAAGGTGGATTTGCTTTCAAATGGCCTGAAGCTGGAGGCTAATAATTTGGAAGAAGTTAACAAAGTAAAATCTAAGAGGAAGATGATCTTTATGGAAATTGATTAAGATATATATATTATATTAATAAAATCGTAAATTCGTTTAATAATAATATTTTTATAATACAAATATCTGCTTAAATAATTATAATACAAATGCATTGATAAAATCACTTCTTAACAACTGCCTTCTTCTTTGCTAAAGATATTAATCGCTCACTTTAGTACCTTCCTTTTTTTATTCCTCCTCATATTTCTTCTGATGATCCAATGCTTATTGCTTCAATTATTCAATAGCCAAACGTAAGGCAGTTATCTACGCTTACTTCAATTTATCAGCCTCCTCCAATTAAACTAATTATTGTAAATATGGTTTGAGCATCTCTTTGGCCTCGTGTTCTGATTGATCCATTCTAATTTATATTAATATATATTTATAATTAACAATATTAAGATATAATTAAAACAGAAATCAATTTCTCTTTCGTTATTTTGAATTCTTTTAATTGTTCATTGCTTAGATAGATTTTAAACTCCAATAACCTCCTCCAAAAATAGCAACAATCAGCACTAGGAAAAAAGCATAATGGAAATAATTGGGTTTTGATAACAAGGAAGACTCTTAGGACTATTCCTTCCATGCGTTCTACCACTCTGTTTCAACCTTCTGAGTCTATTGATAGGATTATTTAAGTTTGTTTTTCTTGTCCATTTCACCTAAATCCTTTTCCAATTTCTTAATTATCTTCAATAAAGCCTCCTCTTCCTTTGTTAGAGTTACATCCATCCCAATGAATTGTTTGTAATTAAAGTCCTTCACCACTTCCTTGTATGCCAAACTGGATAAGATCTAACTCATAATCGAGATCATTTACCTCGCTATTCACATCAATTACTTAGACACAAGACAAAATCATTTACATTTGGATCTTGTGAAATATTGAGGTTTTGTTTCCGTTTTCAACGCTCTCGATAATTTGAGTCATACTCTCCTTCTCATTATTGATATCCTTAATTGTCTTTATCCAACAAGCTCCAATTTTCCTTGAAAGACTTTTGATATCATATAAGCTAATACATCTCTTCCTCAGTCTCTTCCTGGGCAAAAGTCGAAACCACTAAAAACAATAGAATTTATAGCATCAACGTGTACTAATTATATTTTAATTAATGATTAAGTGTATTGCTATGCCAAAGTTTAAAACGAATTTAATGTGTTAATATATATATATATCATTCATCTAACAAATTATTAAACTCTTAATCTGAAAGCACTTTATCCTTAGATTTGGCTCTGAGTAAATCAATTTCAACTAATTTCTTTTTCTCCTTTTGCTTGGCTTCCTCGATTTATTACAACACCTTATCGAGTTCCTTCTGTCTTGCCTAATACTGAGATTTAGAAATCGCCCCTGTTCTTCCCTTTGATGACTCAATATCATCAACTGGATTGTATGGTGCATCAACTTTTGGTTGAAAATCAATCGAATACCTGTATCCAATATAAAAACTTGCCCCAGCAAACCCAATCAACAACAATATTTCAAATAATATAGCCATACGTGTGTATGAAAATAATAATAATATAATATAAACAAAATTTTTTCAATAATTAATAGTTTTTTAGAGTACATTATCTTTATACAACAAATGAGGTCCAATCTTCTTCCCATTCCTGTATTCCCCCTCTTCGTAGATATGATCATTATGATAAAATTGTCCCTTTCCATGATAGGTGTCATTACAAAACTCTCCTTAGTACTTCAGTTCCAATTCCTCGTTCTCCTTCTTTACATAGTACTTCCCCACTCCACTTCTCACCGATTTCTTCCAAAATCCAATATATAACCATCTTTCTTTCACATTCCATCTCTTTCCTTCCCCATGTAATAGTCCATAAATCATCAACCCAGAGTGTTCTTCATATATTTAAAATTAACTATTCCTTACTTCATCATACCATGTCATTTTACATTAACCATGTTTAATATCATAATCAGTATTGTAAGACCCAATATATTTCTACAAACGACTTTCATTATTTAACTCCAATGCTATTCCATAAATAAACTTTCCTTTCTCGAAAATACCTTCATATATTGCCCCTTTTAGCCTTTTCATCATGATCCCAAATCCATGTGCTTAGTTATTTTAAGTATAACCTCCATATTCAAATTATTGATTTTCTATTTTCTTCCTATTGTTTTGATAATCAGATAACACTCTATATTCTATTGGAATTTCAAAATTTGGCTAAGAAAATCTTTTCCATTTTTGGAATTTCTTGATTCTTGGATTAGTTGACCAAATTTCAAAATCCTTTAGATTTTCTAAACATTTCTAAAAATTATATTTATCAGTGTATCCACTCTTTGAATTCGGAGGAGATTTGGTTGATACTCTATTAAACAATTATTATTATGATTCGAAATCTTACATCAAAAATGGTGCTATTTCATCTGTTACTGAAGACTGTCGCAAGGGATTCACAATAGTTAATCCATTATTCTGTTTCTTACCTTCGATCTTTTAACTTGTTTCAAAACCATTAAAATTAATCAATGACCTAGTAAGCACCATCTCTTACGCCTTTTTAAACCCATTCACAACTTTTTATTATTGTTAATATTATTAATTCAAATATCCCTTTTAAATTTTCAATTCTAAATTTATCATCTACTACACTATATTACAATACTAGATTTATTGAGGGTAGGAGAGATCCTCAAAATCTTATTTTGACAGAAAATTATTTTAATTAGGTTAGAGTATAAAATTTTAGAATTTCTAATTCACATGATTCTCTTCATTATTCTCCCTCTCTTAAATCTAAACTAATTTTTTCTTAGCTTTTATTACATTTTGTAAACATATTTCTATTTCACCTTAAGAAGGATCATTATCTTTTTGTGTCTGATCACTATTTTCTAATATGTTTTATAGGTTAAGGATATACCTATCTAATTATTATTCATTCATCTAATTCAATTCTTCTTAATTCAACAATATTAATTCCTATTCTCTTGTATAATTTAATTTCTCTTTTATATTTTAAATTTATTCAATTGTTTGTAATTGTTTATCTATTTCCTCTTCGTTGTCCTATTTACTGTGCTTCTTTTTCAATAACAACTCTTAGTATTTGAATAATTATTGACTATTTAATAGTTTTAGTACTTCTATCTTTAATAGATTATCAGTTTGGTAATTATCCAGCTTTTTTGAATCATTATCAAAAATCTCAGACGCTTCACCAGGTTAATCCTTAACTAATTATAATACTTTATTAGGTCCATTACAATTCTCGTCTTGATTTAGGGAATTATTCTAATCTTATTGTAGTTTTGCTATTTAGATGATTTAAGGACAATCGCCGTTGGATGATTATGAATTGCTATTTACTTGCTCCATAATATAAATTTCATTTTATTGGTTCTTTACAATTTGAGAGCTTTCTTCATTCAATTAAAGAGGATTCTAAATTTATATAAGTTCTTGATTATTAAAATCTTTTTTCTCATTGTAATCTTTCAAAATTGATATTTATTGACTCTCTTTCATTTCTATCAAATTTAAATCATTTATAAAATGATTTTATCCCGTGTTTGTGTTTTCCCTTTGCTTTCTAGAAGTACATAAATCAAAATCTTAAATTTGAGTTGCAGTTTAAAATTGAGGATCTTTATTAAATTCAATTATGGATTAACTCATCTAATCTTTTTGACTATTTTATTCTTCAAACGGAAAGTCTTATTGATATAATATTAGGTTTGTTTAAAATACTTAGTTTAGTTCCTATTAATTTTTGGGAATTTGAATTTAGTGAAAAGAGTTTGAGTTTTGAGTTTTAACAATTTAAGGAGAATTAGAATTGTTAATGATTTCTATCACATGTGATAATTTGGGTAATTCCTCTGCTTTAGGTTCCACTTTTTTAATTATTTATGTTGATTAATTCAGAGGAATAATATTTATCTACCTTTGTTATTGATCAACTTAGAATTTAGGACTGTAACTAGATTCATTATTTTTATATGTTTCTAACTCTTGAACATTGCTGATATTCTTAATGACAGTTTATTAAACAGGAAACTAATATTGAGTTTATCCTAAAACTATAGGGGATTTAGATGACTTCTAATCGACTATTTGGTTTAAAGTGTATTGTTTTTTTTGATTATTCAATAGATGGGATACAGTTTTTATCTAATCCTTTTTTTGCACTTATTCTTTGTCATCAGTCAATACTTAAAGTTAAGATGGCTTTTATTGATCATAATTTTGTGCTTTAATTTATTTCTATTTGTTTTAATCCTTAATATGATTGTCATCATTTAATTGAGTAAGTAAGAGGGTTTAATCGTTGTTATTGAAAGAGCTTAATGAAACATGGTTTACTTTGATTAGTTTTTATTCTTCAAATGATGAACTCTCATAATCACATAATTATTTCAGAATACCATTTCCAAATTATTCTTCTTCATTGTTCTTTGGAGAGAAGATTTAAATTGAATTTTCATCCAAAAAATATGACTTGCAATCATTGACTGGTTCTTTAACTTAATTTAATTCTTGCTGTTTTTTGATTTCATACTACTAAGGTTTGGCATTTGTTTTATTTTATTTAGTCTGATCATTTTTTTATGCATCCTAATCATTAACTTATTATAATTATGTTAATTAAGCTTAAGATAGATAATAGTAATCAAGTTTAGTATTAATTTGTATTTGCCTTTTTAATTATAAATTGAGAATGTTGTAATCCTCTTTCATAATTTATTTATGTTGCTTATTCTCAGTATCACTTCTAGGAATCTACTTTTTTAACTGTTCAAGACAAGTCAAAGCAGATATTTTCCCAAATGACAATTACTTAATTATCTCTGTTATTACCCTAAAATAAGGATTAGTTGCTTGCTTTCTGATTTCTTAATCAAATTTAGCTATATCATATCCATAGAAACTTTTGATATCATCTGGTATTTAAGTTTGAAATGACAATAGTTACAATAAGATGATGCTGATACTCCAATTATCATTTCTCTTAAGAATCACCTTTTTGTATTGTTCATTCTAAAATATTTATGCCCATTCATTCTCTTGAAAATCTATATTATCTTAAGTGAGGATCTCCATAATCTCAGGAGAACTATAAAAAAGTGTTTCATTCTATTTCTGCCTTTCTTCAGAATTTGCACTCTATTTTGTATAATGATTGTAATGTGTTCTTGCACTTCCAAAATCAGTTAAGTATGTCTTATTGTCAATCAATATAAAATTATTAAGTTTAATATTTCTATGCTAAATATCTGATAATTCCAAAATAGATGCAATCTCAATTAGTTATTCTGCTATTTATAACTTCTGCTATTCGCTTATCATAGAAGTATTAAGAAAACTATTTAGAGACTTTGCATTAGACTTACAATTATATGTAATGTAAACTATCACCGAAACTGATTGAATTTCAGCTGCCCAATCAATAATATGTAAGATATGATTAGGAAATTGATGACTCAAATTAACCTAATATTCTATTTCTAGTTTTAAGTTTTATTTCCAAATATTCCAATTACTTTTCACTGAAAAACTTATAGTCTTTATTAGATTTCCATCTTTTGTAGTCTTAATATTCGGATATAACCTACTCAAATCAATCAATTTTAAAGGAAAATACTTTTCTTTAAACTCTCGGAATTCTATTTACATTAATAATTATTTCTAATTTTATTTGCACTTCACTTACAGCAAAATTGGCATCAATTTTTCTATTTGAAAAAAACCTTTGTTATTGTGAAAAAAGACACTGACATACTAATTTATGGTAAAAGCAGATGCCAATTCTCATAATAATGATGTTAAATTCAAGTTCTATTGAATTGTTACTGATTTATAGTATTATCAAGAAGAGAATAGAAAATTGATACTCATGCTATGACAACCATTATTATTCTATTGTAATTTTGATGGAAATATATGTTGAAGAGGAGAGGGGAAAAATAAATGAGAAGGAATATCTAATCATTCTTTTGAATTATTATTATTTGATTTAATTATAAATATATATTACAGTTAATGAATAAGACTAGGGATTGGAATATTGTTGATGATGAATTAAATAGGAAATTGAAACAGTTATAAGAGGTGAAATCATCGCTTGATGATCAATCTACGGAATTATTACTTCAAAATAAGGATTAAAATTAAGGTACTTGAATGTCTTATTCAAAATTAGAATATAATAATGACATCAATTACTACAAGGAGTTCTGGAGATATTATATTCTGAATGAAATGACTATAAAAAAAGTGAATGAATTGCATTCTTAAAATTAAAAATTGCATGAATTAATAACTGAAATCGATGTAATGTATTAGTAAAATGGCATAGAAATTACAACAAGAGTTGCATCAAGCTCTAAGTTATCGTCACAAAAAGAAAAACAGACGAACTTCTTAAGAAATAGAGAAATCATTCGTCTGTCCGTATGAGAAATGTAATAAGTAATATGGAAGTGATGTTTCTTTGAACTTGCACATCAAATTAAAGCATGATGGAGGGAACAAAACAGACCGAGAAAAATTTGCTGTAAAAATCTCTTATATTTTGATTTAATCTAGAAAATGATTATCGAAGCCTAATAAAATGGTGAAACAGTCACTGATTTGAATATCAACATCAAATTTCCTCCAGGATACTTGGATGTACAATTTATTTAATTGTAGTAATTCAAAACTCAATTTATGTTAAGTTAATAAAATTAGTTAAACTCAGAAAGGAAATCAATCGAACAAGATTGACTTCACCATTGAATTAAATATAATATAATTTTTGTTTTTGCTAATCACCATTATTTCACTCTAAATGTTCCGAAGTGTGGAGGCCATTTTACTTTTATAAATTAATATTAAAATATAATATGAATTTAGGAATAGATTAAATAATCCCTAATTTGTACAGTACCATAGGGAATTCTATTTAATCGACTATTCTAGACGACTGCGTATTGGAGTTTCAAAAATATTTGGAGAAAGTATTTCCAAGTTATTTTTAAGACTCCTAAGCAAAGAAATTGGTTTTTAAAGACCAAATGACTACCAATATGATAAGTATGTCTTTGTTATGTGATCATAGCTTCACTGTTGGTATTGACAAACCAGTCAAATTTTATGAAACCTTATGAAAAAGAAATGACTACTTAGACTCTTAATAAATTATATAAAATTGTAGAAGAAATATCACAGCACGAGAAAATTCGAATTTTGATTAATTAAACTATATTAAATATAGAACGAGATACCAATCGAATATTATAGGATTTATAAGATTTATTTTAATTACTATTCTCTTCGAAATCTTGTGGTAAAATGATACTATTATAATAATTTGATTAATACGTAAGAAAATTACAACATTATACATTTTTTTGGGAAAATCTAATTTTATTAGAAAACTAGCAAGCAACCATCAAAATTTAAAAGGATTCATTAATAAGGGAAACTGATCTACTCAATAAAATAGAACAATGGAAAATAACTATCATACAAGAAAAAACTCAAATTTCATCATCCAAACCCTCCTCACTCATTTTAGACCAAAAGAAACTCATTTAAACGTAATCCGTCTAATAAAAAAATATCCTTAAGGCTTTGCAACAATATTCTGGATTAGGCCTTTAAAAGAATTAATTACAATCGATTGCCCTATTTGAAGATCTAGCCAAATAGGACTATCCCATAGCCAAAGCTATATTGGGTTAATTAATTTTGGAAGGCCAATTTTGTGAATAAGATTATGATAAAGTAACAATATCAAGACTATTTATATAGGCTTATCAATACTTTTCAGAGAGTGCTGACCAAAATTGTCCAATCGGCATTTATTTTATGGCAAAACTAATATTAGTAACCATATTCTTAAAATTAATTTAAGGAAGGAAAAGTCTAAAATAAAGTATTTGGAGAAGCCTAAAAATCAACCAGTAAATTCGATAATCCAAGAAATCCTAGGGATGATGAGTGCCAATTTGCAATTTCAATGCTTAAAATAGCGTCTGATTCAGGACATGTTGAATCACAGATTTATTTGGGAGACTTATATTGTTATGGACATAAATTAGATGATTGTATAAACAATTAAATATTTCAAGTTATTTTGGAAAGTGATTACTCATAATCTGAGATCTATCTCAAGCATGCTAGAAAACAGGAAAATGTAGAAGCCAAATATAAATTAGCTAAACTCTATTAAAAGATGTACAAAATATCCATTTACAAAGTATTTTAACCTTAATATTTGAAAGAATAGGATATAATTTGTTTATCAATTGTTATTGGAGGCTAAAAATAATGATTACTTGCCTGCCTATTATGATTTGGCCAAAATCTTGATTGAAGGTATTAAGGATGAAGTGCAGCCAAATCAAATGATGGCGGAATTGATTTTGGAACAAGGGGCAATGAAGGGTAATATAGACTGTGCTAGGCTAATGTTAGAAAGAAAATATAATAATTTAGTTATTAATAGAATCAACATACCAGTATTTCTGCAATTATTGGATTCTTATGATTAAATATAGCATAAAGCTGAGAATCTAACATTTTATTATAGAGGTAAAATAGCACAGAGTGAAAATAATAATTAATTTGCTACCTAATTATTTAAGTAAATTATAGGGCTTATCAATAATTAGTTTAGGGGCTAATTTGGGTTGTTCTAAGTGCAAATTGGAGTTGAGTTTATGTTCGAAAAAAGATTAAATAAAAAAGAAAGAGGGAGAGAAACCAGAAATATTTTAGGCCAACCTTGGCTTTTTGTAATTGGTTAAGTAAAGTGATTGGAAATCAAGGTTCAGAAAGTAAAGTTAATTTTCAAATCCATTTAATGCCTCATAAATTGAAAATGATCAATCAACATTGTAAGTTAAAAACAATTAATTTGTAGCTAAGCTAGAATGACATCTAGTATAATAAAAACTATAGATATAAATGATGGAGAAGATAAGAGATAAAGAGTGATCTCAGATTATACTGGGTTTACAAAGTAATAAGTTTCAGACTAAAGTATATTGTTGTCGAATTTGAGAGCTAAACCAAACGATCAAGCCCAAATTAATTCAAATAATTAGATTCAGGAATAATAGTAAAGAAAATCATCATAATGTACAAAAAAAGAAAAACCGAGGTTTTTGAGACACTTATCTTAGCATGCTATTCATTCATAATCTTAAAATGTATTAAATATTTAAAATGAATGAGAATAGTTTGTATTTATTTAAATCTCTTTTTTATATAATACAAAAATATCTAATAAAATATAAATCAAATAAATTCAATTATTTAATAGATATTCATATATATATGTAATTTCAACTATGAATGCATTTTCAAAGTGTTAAAATCTTCTCACCTTTTTTGTAAATTCTGTCTTGTGATTGCTAATTTTAAAGGCCTAAGATCTCATTCATTTCTTCTTCTGATAATCTAACTTTGTTGTAAATAGATGTGAATTTTTGTTTCTGTTTATCTGATTTAATTACTGGTTTAACAGAAGATTATTTCTTTTTCTTAAATTCCTCATCTTTTTTAATTTCCAATATTTACTTTCTCTTTCTGGTTGTAATTACATAAGTCTTAAGATTAGGAGGTTCATCTACAATCTAGATTACCTTATTGCTATCATCATCCATCTTTTCTGGGTTTTATATTTATTTTGATTCTTAATTCTATGTATCTTTGTTAGTTCCATGTTTTTTAGATTTGAGTTGTTTAGAAGGATCAGCTTATTCACCTTTAACTTTGATTTCCCGATTATTTTGTTTTTTATCTGATTTCTTAGTTTGTTTTTATTGATTAGATTCCTTTTCTTCCTCTTAAATATAACTCTTCTATCTGAGTATATTCTCTATATTTGAAGTGGAACTCTCCTTTATTGATTAAGGACTTTTAGCTTTCTTCTTTTTTGATTGTTTAAATTTAGCTGTGCACTTAATGTTTTGTTATTCATATTAAGAACAATAGTGATACGAACATTTTATGGGTTCTTCAGAGGATAAGAGAAGTTATAAAATGTTGACATTGTATTAACATTGGACTTAATAGTTTTTGTCACATTTCAAGCAAAGGACTTTTTGTTAGATATGATAACAAAATATAAATATTTCCTCTTTGCATTCAACACAAAAGCAATGTTTTCTCATTAAATAATTAATATCCAATGTATAAATCTTCTTCTTTTGTATCAATTCTCTTATTACTTTTTGCTCTTAATTTATGAATTCTAGTAGATAAATTCTCAATTGTTCATTCTAGTTATGGATATATATATCCAAAAATAGGTTTTTGAGAGGGAACTCGGGTTTGATTTAGTATTTGATATTGATCTATTATCTTTTCATCATTTATTGATAAGAATATGAATTCATAGCCAAGTAACTCCAACCAGTGGTGATTGTAGTAGATAAGCATTCCATTTAATAGAAGGCTCCGGCCCCTAAAATTACGAGGTCTCCAGGTTTTTAAATGAATCTCTTATAAGGGATGCCGTGTTTCTTTAAGCATTCTCTTTACAAATAGCATTCTCCTTGTTATAGAATAAATTGTTTTTCATTTTAGAATAAGTTTTCAATATGTTCCGGGTCAATAACAATCCATAAACAGTCTCCAGGTCCATGATTCAAGTTGATTCGATTGACTGCTCCAGGTTCTTGCTTTGCTCCTTACCAACTTCCTGGAGTCATGATGTTAATTTGGAGTTCATTAACATTTTTGATCTTTGTTCTTAAGTAACTCAAACCATCCTCCTTTAAAAAGCATTAAGGGATGTATTCATATAATTTAAAGGACTCTTCCTCCCAACTCTCAATCTGTAGATCAAACAAGGAGAGTAATTTGTTTGGATTATATTACTTGTTCCTGAAAAAGAAATCTATTGGATCATGTAAGTAATCCAGGTATTTTGACAGGGTCATTGAGAAATATGACTTTTCTGTGTTGTCTTGGGCTGCTTTGAGTTGTTGAGTCAACATAACTGATTCTGAACCATGATTATGTCTTATATTTTATAATTTAAAGTATCCTCTATTTAATTGGTCTAAGACTTCCCGAGGGATTTCCCACAAAAATACAGGTTGATCAACCCAATCTGATATTGGTTAATGAAATTTATTGAGATGGTCTTTGATTCTCTATGGTTAAGTTCTGTTGTAGGAATCTAGGTAGGAATCGAGGAGCCCTTTGAATTTGAATGGATTGGCTTATTCTTCAATTGGTTATATCAAGTTCTCGCTTTTGATTTCTTCTAGAAGTTCTTGCTCTTAAGGGGTTGGGGAATAGTGAAGATTAACAAATTCTGCAAAAAGGTTCATGTTTTTATTTAAATTAGTTTTGTAAATAATTTCCAAGGCGATATTAAAATAAATATAATAAAAAAATGAACTCTTAAATTTAGTCAAATCCCAGAGAAGAATCATTCCTTCAAATGCTCCATTATTCAATTTGCCCATTAATGAAAGTAAAGAATCCAATTTAATTAGAGAAACAGTTTCACTTATTGGATTATTATCATTGATCTTCTTCATTACTTCATTTCCTTAACATACCAACAAACCTAGATGTTTACTCTCCGACCACATCAAAAAGTCTTGTTTAATTTTGGTCAATTGTACCCCATTTACACAAAGTCAGAATTCTGGAGATTGTTATTGAGTCTAGAACAACACAAAAACGAAACTCACTTGTTCTTCTCGCTGCTCTTTAAAATGCATTTTTTTTCATTCATTGAACATAATATAGGATTTAGAAACACAATCCTGATTTACTTTATGAGTGGGATCTCCTCAACTCTATTTTAAGCCATCGTTAGTTAACAAGTTGGGTACTTAAATGTCATTGATTATTATAGAGTCTGTGGTTCCTTCCATATTGGGGCAATCGGCTACGCTTTATATTTGCAACAACAAATGTTATGTAAATATACAATACTATAAACAAGAAAAGTGTTCTGCACAACAATAATTATAATTTTATTTTGATCTTCAAGGGAGTCAAGATTACGGTCTCACCCTAATTAAAGTAGTTATTGTGTTATCTATCATGTATATAACAAGTCTTAAGTTTCATGGGATTTTAATGGTTGGATCTCTCTTATTTGGCACCTAATGTATGATATTGGGATAATACTTTTCATATGAGCAAAAAAAGCAGCAATAATTGCAATTAACTAATAGCACTAAATAAACCCAATTAACTAAATACATTTATTTAAGTGGATCTATTGCTATCATCGTTATAGAAGTGATTGTATTTTTTCAATTAAAAAATCATATCGAAATTTGATATTTTAATATAAAACACTCATCATAATTTACTCTATATATGATTGTATAATCTATATCATTTAATAACAATTGAGATTAAATATAGGTTTTGCAAATTCTAGGTATTCCTCATATGTTTTAATCTCAATTTGAAATATATTAAATTATTCTTATAAAAGACCGTAATATATACATTTACTAGGATTATAATTTGAGATTAAGATAAATTACATACATTATATAAATGAGTGGTTTGATTAGAACCTTATTTTAATTAATAAAAAGCTTTTAATGCAAAAAATTGGATAAAACTTTGAATTAAAAAAAAAGCTAGGTTCTGGTGCTTTCGGAGATATCTACCTGGGAGTGAACACAAAAAATAACATTGAAGTAGCTATAAAATTAGAGCCCATCTCTTCTTAATGTCCTTAGTTGAGATATGAACACGAAATTTATAAAAGATTATTGGCAGATAATTCAAGTATTGATAGAGGCATACCTCATGTCTATTACACATCAGAGGAAGGCGGCTATACTTTTATGGTCATGGATCTATTAGGGTCATCCTTAGAAGAAATATTTGTGTCAAAGAAAAAAAAGTTTTCTTTAAAAACAGTTGTGATGATTGGATTACAATTTTTGGAGAGAATCGAATTCATTCATTCTAAAGGCATCATACATAGAGATATCAAGCCTGATAACTTTTTGATTGGGAAGACCAATAAATAAAATAAAATATACATCTTAGACTTTGGATTGGCAAAACGATTCATTAAAGAGAATGGACACATTCCTTATAGAGAATCGAAGACATTGACTGGAACAGCTAGATATTGCAGCTTAAACACTCATTTGGGTGTAGGTAATGTGTTTTAGTAAATATTCATTAGAGTAAAGTAGAAGAGACGATATTGAATGTATGGCATATGTATTATTTTATTTTCTCAAATCGACTTTGCCTTGGTAAAATATGAGAGCAAAAAATAAGAGAGAAAAGTAATTTATCCTTATCATTTTTCAAGATATGAAAGAATTATGGAGAAGAAGATGACCACAACATATGATGAATTATGCAAAGGAGTCCCCAAAGAATTTGGTTTAATATTAAAACACGCTAGAAATTTAGAATTTGAGGAAGAACCTAATTATAAATATTTGAGAGGCTTGCTCGATACTATTTGTTAATAGGAAAGAATAACTGTTGATAATTAGTTTGATTGGTGTAAATGAGTTTTTATTAAAAATAATTTTTATTATTAATTTTTGTTTGTTATAACTCATATTTGCTTAACATGCGTTCACCTTCACTATTTTCACCATAGAAGCAATCTAGATATGAAAAATCAAATAGTTCAACTGGATTTGCTACCTTCTAAGCCACTAATTAAATGAACACAAAACAATTGGCTGATTACAGAAGGGATGTTAGAACAAATGTCTCATCAAGAGAACCCTTTGCTTAACCTCAAGAAAAGTCCTCTTCTTTATTTGCCTCTTGGAGCAAAGCTGAGAGAGTCGTATTGTATTTATCTATGTTAACATCGTTATAGAGACTAATAGAAAGTCAGTAGGAAATCACCAAAAAAGTCAAAACTACTTGGAGGTTTAAATTATGAAGAAATCTTTACTTCTAAAGGACCGTAAACAAAACATAATAAAGACAAAGTTGAATAGTTGTTTAAGAGATCACCAAGAAATGATTACTTCGATAATTCATTTACATCATTTCCTAAACCTGCTAGATAGAATACTCTTGGATCAGGATATAAAGATTCCCCTCAAAAATCAAAAGAAAAACTAGAAAGATTCAAAAACTGGGACAATCGTCTAGATGTCTAATTGATTCTCTAAAATAAGTCAATCACAAATAAAATTTCTTCAACTGGAGACAAACCAGGCTTTTATAAATATGTCAATGAAACTTAAAAAGGATTGTTTGATAACAATCAATCTAATTTTCTTTATTCTAAAAGTAACAAGAATACTCTATTTGATAATAAATAATCCTTCTCCTTTAAGGATACATTCAATCCTCCTAAATAACAAACTTTTCAAAGAAATCACTCTCCTCAATTATCAAATAGATATGTGGAGAAGTTCCCCTTAACAGATATTGTAAGGATGACATCCCATTTCCAATCTCTATCAACTTAAGAAGTTACTTCAATCCCAAGAGGGTATTAAATCAATAACTTTATTTAGATACATATCCGAGCTAAATAATTTGGCTGATATTTTATAAAGAGTTGTCAAAAGATCAAACAATATTAGTTGAGATATAATTTTATATTTACTGCATAATTACATTAATATATGAATATAATAGCTAATTTTAAAGCCAAAAATGTATGGTTAATCAACTCATAGAACATAGTTCTCATTTAATAATTAGGATTATCAAATTAACAGATCTAATACTAGAAGTATAATTAAATGAATGTTTTTATATATTGCTTAATTTAGACATATGAATATTAAAGATTTTGATATTTCGATTAATTTTAATATAACTTATTTTTTCTGTATGGTTTGCATAAATCAAAAATTTAGACAGATATCATTAAATTAAAGGTGAAAACAACTAGATTCATAACAAATATTCAGAATTGAAGTTGATCCACCCTATTACTATTGAAATATGAATTGGGATTAAAATTAAATTGAGATGGCAATATTTATACTAATTAGGGTTGAAATATATATGAAACAAAATAATTATAACAATTTTTATATTAGATAAAATAATCATTAAATAAATTTTCTAATAAAGTGATAATGTGAACCAAGACTCATTCAATTATTTATGATTAACGAATTCTTAGATTTCTGTCAAAAAAATGATGGACATGAAAGAAATAGACTACTGCCAACAAGGAAAAAATGGAAGGAAGTCGAAGACGAGTTGCTATTAAAAGCAATAAGAAAATATGGAACTCAATGGACTAAAATCCAAGATGAGATTCCATCTAAGGACTCAAGGCAATGTTAAGCAAGATGGAAAATACTCAAGCATGTAATATAATTGAATAGTATATATAGAAAGAAGAAACCCTAATGAGATTAGAAGCCTTAGCAAGAGAAGACTTTTCTGATAAAGATAACCACTTACAAAAGATGAAAAAATAAATGAAATAAAGAAAAGAAATACCCAGAAGATATAATCCTAAATTTGATTACAACGAAGACTCCTCTAGCGAATCAATGCATTTACAATAATTTTAAGAAGTGTTAGCTAAATAACCAAATAAATTGTTACAAATTCAATAACAACAACAGCAGTAACAGCAGAAGAGAGAACAATACTAGAAATAAGTGTAAAATCAATACTAGAATGTCTGGAATGCCATGGATGATAAAATGCTTTGGATAGCATATAAAATATATAAAGGAGCATGGAATCAAATCACTCCCAGATTCCAAGAGAAGAACCCACAGAGCTGCATAGACAGATATTAATATGTAAACATTATTATGATTTAATAGTTATTGTAATAGAAGAAAATAAAGTTATAGGAAGATACTTCATCAGTGGATGTGATATCATCTCCGAATGATATAGATAGTTCATAAGATGGATCAGAACAATTTGATATCTCAGCCAGTGAAGATGAGGATTCAACAGATTTATAGCGGTCTGATTGCAAAACATTACAAACAAAATAACAATAGTACAAAGGAGCTTACACAGTATAGCAATGTCATACCAACATCGAAAGAATTTTGAAATCCTTTTCCAATCATAATTTAGATACTCTGCCAGGCATAAGAGAATCCATAGTCAAACTTATATTAACTGATTGACAAATATTGTTTTATACATCATATCTCAACAAAATTAGATAAAACTTCTTATTGTTAATCGATAAAGGGTTAAGGAATAGATCCTTTACAATTTTATAATTTATTATACATCTCACTTAATGAAGTATTTAAATAATAGAGATTTAGTCTAGTTGCATTACCTAGCCATCTATTAATATTCTAATTCATTATATATAAAGTATATTTGTACATCTTGATATCCTTCGTAAATCATATTACACAATATTATTCATTGAATCTTAAATTGAGGAGAACATAAATCTAAATAGGAAAGAGAAGTTCAATTGTTTATGCAATTAATAACTCATATAAACCTTTGGTAATTAACTACCAAGTATGATCATTCATTTATATTCAATACGATTTCTTAATAATTATTAATTTATATATATAATATTATATGATATTTCATCATTCATTATAATTAATTAATACCAAATATCCATTCAAATTATAGGTTTTAATAATATTATTGAATATTATTAAAAACAATGAATGATAATGTAATATGCAATACGCTTTATTTTCTCTAAAAATGCTAGCTTCTTTTAAGTCAAGTAGAAGGTCATTAAGAATGGATCAATGAAATAAATTAGTGTCAGAAGGAATTAGAACTCCATAAAGCCAATCACCCTCTCTATGAACAATGCCTGATCTTCATTACTGACAAGATCATACACCCATTTTTGTAAGACCTAGACATTCTGTTTAATTGTCAAGATGTCGTTAAGGAAATAAAAAAATATGAATTGAATTTTAACTACGTAATCAAGAGGCTATCATTGGTAATGTGAGTGTCTATAGATTAGATAAGAGAGTTCATCCCAAATGTGGTGAAGGTGCCTTTGGACGATTTATTTTGTAAAGGCTTAAACTGATGAGGAATGGATTTAATTAAATCGACATATAGAATATGTTAATGTATGATGAAAATTTAAAATAAGTTAGATGATCCACTATCGTTGTCTAAATAATTCGATCAGTTTTATGATTATATAGCTCTGGGAGCAGCCTACTGTACGTTGGGTACAAAGTACTCAAATTCATTGATAAGTTTGATTGTTCAGAATGTGGGAGGGGCTGTTATGTTAGTCAAGAAATAGACAGCAAGAGATATCAAGACCAAGGAAATCACAAATCCATCACTCTCATTTGTTAAGGGTTTATGGAGTATTCAAAACAACTCAGCATTTTTCAAGAATTTTATGAAACTGACTAATTGTAAGGTGAAATCGCACTTTAAAATTCATGTGCCCTTTTTGTTCGAAGACTAACAATTTAAATACCATCATGACAATAATACCTATGTTTAAGAGAAGTTTAAGGGCTTCAAAATGGTAGATGATCTATTCAATAAACTTTAAGCCAATGAGTTATCATTGAAATAAAAATAATAAAAAATAAAAGTGAGGATTATTTCAGCAAATAAAGTAATTTTAAACAAAAAAGTCGATTATTCCTAATTGGTTTAGAAAGTTGTCGAAGTAAGTTCAGAGCATTATTAAATAAGCTCTGTTATTTAATAGAACAATAAGAATGCTAATATCAAAAAGGTAGTCCTACATATTCATGGTGGAGGATGGGTAGCCATGTCTTCATTTAGTCATCAATCTTATACAAGGAAATGGGCAAATTATTTAGGAGATGATACTATAATATTCTCAATTGATTATAGATTGGCTCCTGAATATAGATACCCATATGCTTTGGAGGATGTATGGCAATTATACTTATGGATCATCAATTTCAGTCAGTTCTATCTTAACATCACAGTCGATTAAATAATTTTAGCAGGAGACTCTGCAGGTGGTAATATGGCTTTGGGTGTTTGTTTCAGAGCAATCAAATATGGGGTCAGAATTCCTGATGGATTGTTGATGGCTTATCCAGCTGTCAATTTGGATTTTACTTAATTCAACCCTTACTTATTATAAGGCTTGATTGATTAAGTGGCTCCAGCTACAGTGTTAAAATTAGCATTACATGAGTACTTGAAGGATACAAATGCAACACCTAATGTTGATCCCTACTTAAGTCCATTGATAGCTGAGGATTCATTTTTACAACAGTAATTACTAGTATAATAATATTAGCTTACCTAAAATGACAATCATGTGTGGTGAATTGGATAGTCTCACTGGAGATACTATAAAATTTGTAAATAGATTAAGAAAGTTGAATAAGTAATTTAGGATGATCATATATAATGGGATAAATCATGGATTTTTGAATTTTGAAGTGCCTATCTTTGCAGTGCCTGCTATAAAACCATTAATCGAAAGTAGCTGTGATTTATTAAAGCAGTTGTTTAATTAATGATAAATTATAATCAAAAAGTTCCACAGCAAGTGTCAGTAGTGTCTTTATTCTATTTAATTGGAACAGCTAAAACATTTGGTTGTGCAAATTCTTGTGTTTTTTTCTCAGACTTAATATCATCTATTTCATATCTTTAGCCTGGTATCTCATCTTCCACATTTAGTTATTTGGATTCATATATTTCTAATTATCAGTTTTTCACATACTCCTAATTAATTATTCAAAGCATTCTTTCACTTGTGTTCCTTCCTTTGCTGAGGTTTCATTATATAACATGTTGTATTATTAACAGATTTGCTCTACTTCTTCTACAGAAACACATCGATTCTGAGGATTGTCTTGCAACAAATCTAGTTTATTCCCTATCAACATTATCATAATCTTATCATCTGTATGTTGTAAGATCTGGAACTCAATTGGTTAAAATTACTTCTTAACGCCAACTCAAAACATTATCAAATGAATTCTTGTCACATAAGTCATAAAACAACAGAGCTCCCTCGGATTTGCGATAATGGGCTGTTGTAATAGCTTTGTATTTTTCAGCTCCAGCTGTATCCCAAATCACAGATTTTACTATCTTGTCCACATCTGCAAGTAATATGGATTAGGCTGCGTATTCAACTCCTATTGTAGGTAGTGATTATTTTTTTATAACATTTTTGGTTAATCTAATTTGAATTTAAATTCCTACCGAATCAAAAAACTAGTCTTCCCCACACTTGAATCCCCAACCAAAATAACTAAGAAAAATCGAATAATATACTTTTATACAACTCGTCATATTGTGCTTTGGGCTCTGTCATATTAATAAATTTATAATAATAAAATAATTGATCAATTTATTAAACTAAACTTGTCCATCATTTCAATAAATTCGTTGTAATCGATCTCCCCATCCCCATTCTTATCAGCTTCCTTTATCATATCATCCCAATATTTTTCATCTATGATTTTTTCACTTTCTATAAAATAATGAACAATAATATCATACTTCCTAACACAGTCTGCAACTCATGTTTGTCTATCTTTCCACTTCCATCCAAATCCAACATCTTAAATGCCTAGTAGTATAATTTCTCCTCCTTCATATATAAAGATTTCTCCATAGTTGCTGCTAAGAACTCTAATAATTATATTTTGCACTTAAATACCTGTATAATTAATGGTTCCATTTCCATCAGTGTCGATGCTCTTTATGATATTTCCTAATTCCTTTGCTTAAACATCGCTCATCCCAATTAATCCTTCCCTTAGTTCATCAATGGTAAGCACTCCATCTCCATTCTTATCCAATTATTTGAATAATCTATTTAAATGCATTTTGATACTTTCCTAAATCAGCAATTTCCTATTCATTCAATTAAGAAGCAATGAATGTTAGAGCCACCTTTTTAAGTTTATTACTGCCATTAAAGTTTTTCAATTGACCGAAGTTTAGTTTCAATTCTACAATTTATGAATTAGTTTTTTTACATTTCGTATTTTTGCTGCCATCCTTCATCCATTTGTGTTAGATCACTTGTGATGCCTTATATCTCTTTTCTGGAGTTGTTATCATATGAGATATCAAGTCTTTAGCTGATTCGCTGACTGATTTCAACTCAGGTATTTCAAATGTGTATTCTCCCTTTTGAACTGCATCCAAAATCTCAGGATCACTGTCACCATAAAAGGGAGGCACTCCAGACAATAAGATGTAGAGGATCACACCTGCACTCCAAATATCACACGATTCATCATAGCTCCCTTTCAATACTTCAGGAGATATATAATAGGGGGTTCCTGCCTTTGTCTTCATTGTAACCTTTTGACTCCCAGAGGCCTTTTAGCTAATTGGGTCTTCAAATAATGTGCTCAATCCAAAATCAATTACTTTAATGGGCGAATCATCAGCCTTGGTCAAAAACAAGAAGTTTTCTGGTTTGAGATCTCTATGACATATCCCATTTGTATGACAATAGTTAAGTGCCTAGAGTTTATGAATCAAAATCTCACTTGCATTATTTGCAGAAAGATTTCATGGGCTTCGGCTTCACTGAAGTATCCTTTGTCCATAATTCGATCAAACAATTCTCCTCCTTCACATAATCTTTATAATTCATAGAATATCATACTCCATCACCAAATACACATTTCTTTGATCCTCAAAAGTCTCATATAATTTTATGATATTTGGGTGATCTAATTATCTCAATATGTCAATCTCTTTTTTGAAACGATCAGGGTTTTTAACTTTGCTTTTTGGGATCACTTTCACTGCTCTCTAATTCTTTGTACCCTTCAGCGTAGCCTTTACCACACTCCCATAAGTTCCTGATCCGATCACCTTTTTTAAATTGATATCATAAAATTATTCAATTTTTCCCTCATGTGTCATAATAAACCATTGTTTTCTCAGAAAGACATCTTGATCCATGATATGTTTATTATTTTTTGATTTATTTATTTAATTATTAATTAAAACATATATATATCTATTTATTATATCCATCTTTTTGTAAGATATTTCATCTCCTTTTCTTCAAAAAATACTTGAATAAATTGACTAAAAGAGAACACTGAAATCTCAATTACATTAATTTTACATGGGAATCTTAATGTGATTACTTAATTTTATTTATTTAACATCTATAATACTGATAATAAATTTGACACTATGTACTATTAAGACATTTGAGTACTTTGAACATCACTGAAACTTTATTTATTTTCAAGTTATTTAAAAGATATTAAAAAAATACATTCATAACTCTTTTAGAAGAGTTACTTTTATTCATATATCAATATGAATAGGAATTTTGAAAGACTCCTTTTTGGACTCTTTCTTAACTAAAATTAAAATGAAGAAATTCTTTTCTCCACTCTAAACAACAAAATTGAGAAACACAAGATGGTTATGGATTGTAGTATATGATTAAATTTAAAATTAATTAATCATAGCTTTCTAAGTATTTCCTTTATTTGAACCACTCTTCTATTATTTTATGATCCATAGACAATAGATGGGTCATACTTTGGTTTTTGAATGGAAAATATTGTTGTAAATTAACCTTTATGTTTTACAGTTGACACACTTTATTTAGATTATTTGTATTCGTAATCAACAATTTAAGCAATTGAGAGTTTCATCTTATCCTCATATTCTCTATAATTTTTGCAGAGTTCTGCTTTCGAGTTAACTGATTTGATCCTTGTTCTTAGATTAAACTTTCTTTCTCGTATGGCTTAACCCACAATGGATTTTTCTTATTCAGATAATTCGCACTTGGGCAGATCTCTTTCGATTTTATTGTAATCTAAGACAGTTTTAACCCTCTTTCTTTAATACATAATTTTTATTATTATATAAACTAACCAATCTCAATATATTTCAGTTGATAAATTCTTGTGGTATAAATTATATAATAATAAAATATGTTGGAAGTAAGAGTAGCTAAAATATGTTGATAAAAAATATAAGAAAAGACCTATCATTCTGGTGAGAAATACTTTCAAAAGTCTTGATCCCAGTCAACCTATTAAGTGCAAATCATTTCTGGGCTAGTATCTCTTTTGATCATGTCTAGAAATGGCATATGTTCATAGGCCATTTACTATAATTTCGGAATGTATGGTGGTTTTATCAGCGAAGCCTCTAAATCTTCCTTTATTTATAATGATCCAAGATTACCCACTAGAAGCCATCGAACCAAGGATGCACTTTCAAGGCATCATAAGACCCTCCCAATCTCAATTCAGGTGTCCGATTCATCAATTGATCCATTAATTTGATAGCCTTGAAATCCTTCAAGATTTGGGGATACTCCAATTTCCCATTTAAAATGGCTTCCTCTATAATAAATCTAGATAAGAGAATAAAATACGGGTCGTCTTCTTCATCTCCACCAAATGGCACTTCTCCACACATAAGTTCATAGAAGCAAATCCCTAAGGACCAAAGATCGGTTGAAAAACTGTAACCCTTACCCTTCAAGATATCCGGAGACATGTAATGGGGAGTCCCAACAACTGTATAAGTTTTGGAGGCCTTTGACTTTAAGACCTTGGCAGTACCCATATCAATCAATTTGATGTAACCATTTTCCATAACTATAAAATTTTCTGGTTTGACATCTCTATAAATAATATTTTGGGAATGCATTTTCTCTAAGATGGTTATCATTTAAGCAATATAAAACTAGGTTTCATAGGAATTCAATAGTCCAATTTCCCTAATCACATGAAACAATTCCTTCCCCTGAATGTACTCTGTTAATAAGTATATGTAATTCTAATCCTTAAACGATCTACGAAAACACACTAAATTCGAATGATGAAGCAATTCTAACACATATTTCTCGTTTTTGATATGTCTCTCTGTATTGTTTGCAATGACATTGACTTTAGGGACACATTTCATGACATGCATACTTTATTAGGGTATATCCTTAACTAGATAAGCATTTCCAAAGGTTCCTTCCCCTAGTAATTTTAATCCGATGAAATCTTCTAAGGTAAGCAAGGAGTAATTGCTTTATCTTTTTTCGATTGAGCTCGAAATATAATTAAAGCGATCCTTGTTTTTCTTAACAACAATTTCCAATTTCCCACCTATGCATTCAAAGAATTAATGATAGGAAAGTTCTGACAATGTAGTTTTTCTCGTAGTTTTAATGTCATTATTTATTTTTCTCTTTTGCTCATCCATTTATAAATATTTATCTCCAAAGAGTTAACCATTGTTATATAATTGACCTTCAAATTCCAATTGTCCATCAAGGATAATAATCAATTTATCCACCAATTAATTGATTTTAAAGATGTAATCATTACTCTCATATGTTTTGATCTTGAAATTTGAAACAATCTTTTAGATTTGCATTTTAGTTAAATCCCTTAATTATGGGTGTTTTTCAAATGCCCATTTCTGCATATTGGTGTAAATAATTAACTATGTGACTAAATAATACTAATACTGTACCTGAATCTTCTCTCCCAAGATAGTTGTAATGTCCTCTCTACTTAAAGATAAGAGATTGACATCTGAATCGTGTGCTTTGACTGTTGCCCCTCTTACGCAATTCCCAAATAGAGCTTATTCACCAAAAGACTCTCCTTGATTCATTTGCCTTAAGATTTGTCCTTACTTGATCACTTGAACAGTTCCTTTCTAAATGATATAAAATGAATTTGCCATATCACCCTCATTTACTATAGATTCTCCTTACTTGAATTTTAATGTGATTAAGACATTTGCAATGCTATCTCTCTATTCTTCAGTCATGAAATCTATGATGACCGACAATTTTACCAAAGAATTTTACTTAAATGAGAAATTCTCTATTGGTTTCATAAGCCTTTTGCTAGATATCTTCAACTGCCTTTCTAAACTTATTCCTCTCTAAAACCCAAAATCCGCAATCTCCAATTGCACACACAGAAGCTGAACGGGGAGCATGATACATCAAAGCCAATTCTCCGAAAAATTCAGATGGCTTCAATATCCTCTTTTTCTCCCCATTTATTATTATCTAACATTAGCCTCGTTCTTCATAAATTATCAAATCTACCAATTATGAAAAATAATGTTGCCTTCTCCCCCTGCTTAAATATGAACTCCTAATCTTTCGTTGTAACATAATACATTTCCTCTATCAGTTTTGCTCTGAATTACCATTATCATTACTTGTCATTATTATCCATTTGAGCAAACATAAAATGATTGCCAAATGCATTCAAAATCATTTGAAAGTCAAAGGGACTTTTCTCTTTTTGTTATTTACTTACATTCTCATGAGTTTGTTCCTCAGCTACCTCTATTTTGGCTTAACGCTTCCTCTCTCCTCTCCGCAGCTATTATAGTTCCGATATTTATCTACTTCCACCACTGAATTAGACAAGGATTGATTAGGCTTAATCAATTATGACGGAAGCATTTACTCAATTGCAATTTCGGTTTATGCTGATTGGTTGTTACTTATACAAACTCCCATTTTATAAATAATTATTAAACAATTTTTTCATATTTATAGAATCACTCACATAAGAAATCTATCATTTTCCGTCATTCACTAAATATTACCACTTCAATATTTAATACCCAAATAGCATTACTTTTTAATTAACTTATACAATCTAGTTAAATTATCAATTTTCGTTATGACAACTAATCAAACGAATCTTAAGTGTCATTTTGATTAACAAAGCACAGATCAAAAATAAATTGGGTTCTATCATACATGATAGAGCATATTATTTTATTCAAATAAATTAATTAATTAAAATACTGTAATTTAGAATATTCCAATTTATCAAAACAATATTTTTCCATCATATATAATAACAATTTATGATGCAATATATATATGATATATATTCAATCTGATAAGTCAGACACTCTCCTCTGATGCTTCCCTTTTGGTATTTCCTATTTTTGTATGATTTCCCTCATTCTTTCCATAAACATCCCAAACACTTCAAGCACCACCTTCAAGATATAATTAGTGGGGCATTCGTCATTTTCATCGGTATAAAGACCTCCATAATCTACATAAATCGGTATCTTTTTTGAACTATATACGATGTCATCATCTGATTGATTCTTGACAAATCGATATGGTAATCCAATCAGATAGAAGTAATACATATTAATAATTTTATCCTCTTTCTCTATTTTGGATGGCTTCTTTAGATAATGAACCTTGTCATTGAAAAATAATTAGACATCAAATTTATTATTACACCCCAATGTACCGTTAGATTTGCATTCCATATTGTCTTATATGAATGAAGCCAAGATATCCTCTATTGCATATCGTCTACCACATCTGGGACATTTGGCATCCAAATAAAATTTGTAATCTGATTGTCTATTACTCAAAGATCTGCTACTAGGATTGGTAGTTTATTGAATGACTTGTTGAGCCTTCTTCTATTTTTTATGGTTTTGTAAAGTCTAAAAATAATATTGATATATTTAAATCTATTTCTGATAGCCCAATAGTCTCATCTACTATATAAATTACAATGCCAAATCATTCATTTGATAATGAGCACAAGCAATCATAGCATACTTGAAGATATCGGAATCAATATACAAATTATTCTATTTCATTTCCTTTAAGAGATGAATACTGTATTTAACCAAATCCTTAAGGTCTATCTTACCTTCTTCTATCCTATAGACCAAGAATCTAAACCACTGTTTGTAGATGTGAGCCAACTCAAATCTGAGGATATCTATTTAGGTCTTCGGAAACAGATAAACAGAAAATGGATTTTCATGTTTCAGGAATTCTAATCTGGGTTTTGAAAAGAATTAGTCGTTGAGTTTGAGAGGGAATGTACAATATTAAAAGTGTTTATCCTTCTTAAAGCCCTCGTCGTTGGGTTTCAAATAATCTTTGAAAATCTATACTGGGAGAGTGAAATGATCGCCCTTAGGATTTTTAAGACAATCATCAAAATACTCTAATTAACTATCATTTTGTGAGAGTTACATCCTCACTTGGATAAAAAATGTAAATAGCCTAGTCTCCATAAAGGGTTCCAAAAATTGCTTGATCCTTTATTTGCTTTTGACAAACAACTTCTCTTTGAAAACTTACTTATCAATAAACTTCTTGTAGTCTTGTAATAAGAAAATATTGAATCTTAAGAACACTTCTCTTACTTGATATTGATCAATCATTTCTAACTCATCTTCTCTGGGCATAGGGAAAGCATCACCAATTGTCTCTATTAGTCCTGGATTGTAGTATTTGTCAAATTCCTTTAGTTTTAAAACAAACTTATCAAAAATATCTTCAGGAACATCAATTGTTTGACTCTGCTTGATATTATTTGAATCCAAGAAGACTTGAATAGCGTCTGGATACTTTTCAGCTTGTTTTTTGTTAATCCCAATTAAGTAAGGAAGGGGAGCTTCAAGATATTATTCTAGATCTTCGGGTAAATTAGAGATCAAAATGTGGGTGAATTCAAAAGGGTATAGGAGAGTCAACAAGGCTTCAATGACCAATGAACTGATTACAGGTTTGGAACTGATGAGCTAGATTTTCTTCTCATAAAGTAAAGCGAAATATAACAAGACAATGTTCTTTTTGTTTAAGACTGCAAATAGACATTGAAAGGCTTGATTTGAGCATAATGGAAAACAGTTTGATTAAAAGAAGAATATCTGTTTGGCCCCATTATAAATATAAGTTTCAGCTGGATCCTGAGGAAGAACAATTTCATCAACTATATTACAAATGTATCTTTCTAAAGGTAAAACATTTTTAGCAATATAAATTTAATATAAATTTTTAAGCAATTCCAATGATTATTCTGAATAGCAATAATTGGATGATAACACAATAGCCATTTCATGAAAACCTTTCAAATTTTATTCACAAAATATTAATGCAGTACAATAAGTTCGTTCTCCAGTTTCTGATGTCAAAATGTAGTGATTGTATTTTGGGAATTAGTTATTCCTATATAGGGATATGCCATTGGGAAAGCAAAACATAGCCAATTCTGGTTTATCGTTATTTTGGGGGTATGAGTCAGTGATTTCAAATTGGTATTTGGCTGAGTGGTATGTATTGGCCAATGAATAGGCTAGGTAGGAATTCTGTATGGATTGGGGCAACTTGTAAAATCCCTCTGGGGGAAGCTGGTTCTTGGATATGAGGATGAGATCACTCCAAGGATCTTGCATTGGATCGGTTTTATAGCAGAGTATTAAGGCTGTCTTATGATTGGATGAGTAGCCAAAGACTTTGGAGAGATCGTAAGTGAAATCTAGATTGCCATTTTGGTAATGCCATTTGGAATCATCTTCTTGGATAGTGCAGATGTGGAGATCGTGAGTCAACTTTAACTTTGAATCGTGAAGGTCAAGATAATAGAATGACAAGTCTGTGATTGGAGGTTTAGCAGAATCCTTCTCGATCTTTAAGAGCATTTAATCATTGATTCTTAAATGATGGGTTTTCTTTTTACATTCATGTGTGCCTACAATGACTGTGATGTTGGTGATGTATTCTTTGTCCACTTGAATGGATTCCAATTGTTGGGTCAAATTGGAAGGAGCGATGATTGAGAACTGATTGTATATGCGTTGATAAAGAATGTTCATTAATTATATTTTATTGGTTGCGTTGTTAAAATAATAGTGGTTGGCTTGATATGAGCCTTAATTAAACAAACTAATAACAGAAGTCATTCTAAATGTCGGAGTTCTTCCACAAGTTATATATCCAAACTATCTACACTAGCCAGTGATTCGAATCTCTTCCTGGTGAATTAAGTTAAGGTTTCAGCCTTATTGATTTATTGATGCTCAGTCTTTAAAATAGACAACCTCTCTTTCAATTTCATAATTTTTGTTCTTCTGCATTTTTTCAAGGAGGCTTGGAGTTCAGCATTATTTCTCTCCTTCTTGAATTTACGCTAGGGGAATAATCAATGAATAGAAGTACCTTTAGTTGGGTTCTGGTTCTGTCATTGAACAAATAATTGATCATGTAGAAATCAGTTCCAAATAGTTGGAGACTTCTAAAAAATTTCTTGGTGTCTTCTTAACTCCAATTCTTAAATTTATTGATCTTCTCCTTCTTAACAGTCTTTTGATTCTGCCGCTGCTTCTATTTGGTTAGTTGAGATAGTTGTTGTTGGATGATGAGGTCTGTTGTGCTTTGATCTTAAAATGTAGTATGTGACAAGGAATCACTTTTTATTTCTTTCATGTTTAAGATTTAATTATTAAAAAATGATTTTGAATATATATATATATTATCATTCAGGCAACATAACCTTGTCATCCTCCACCTAGAATTTTTCATCCACACCCTAGAATTTATCATCCACAACATTGGCCTAATTGATGTGGATGTTGTCAAGTTCCAATTCTTCATAATCCCTATTACTGACCATCATGTTCTAATCAGAATGGGACTATTCTGCTAGTCCCTTCTTGCTGGGACTCCACAAGTATTATTGATAATAGATGTACAAATTTAATATACTTATGGAAATAAGCACTTCCGTTCCAGTGAGATTATAGATTTCAAAAGATCCAGATAAAATGAACAATCCCAAACACATCATAAAAAATATGTTGAACAATCCAATCAGCTTATATCGCCACAGTCTAGTCTCATAACATTTACAAAACTGAATCAGGTATTTTAGTAAATACACAAAAATAGCAAACGAAAATAAGAATGAGAGCACCTTAAATGCCATGTAGGCTCTGTGATGGAAGTCATCAAAACTAGTAGTGGGGTCTTTGGTATATTGAATCACCAAGATTGAATAAGAGACCACAAAAAACAGCCATAAAAGACCACAAACCAAAACCTTAGGTTTAGTGAGCGAAGCGCTGTTTTTACTTCCATTCTCAACCACAATTCTGTGATAGAGTACAAGCCAATAAAGGAAGAGACAACAGATGAAATTACTGAAGAATATGACTCCGATCACAGCAGTGACTCTGTTTGGAGCCAATAAAGTAGCCGCATAGAGAGGGTCATTAAACCAAGGCAAAAGAAAACTTAAAACTACCACAAACTTTTGTTCAATGACCCAATTATGCATAGCCAATTGTTTGATTCTGTATCCAAAAAGTGCTAGTGTGAGTACTGAAAATGCAAAAAAGGTATATCTCACTGCCAAGACTGAATCTGAGTAACTTGGATCAACAGTTACTCCTTCTAAGACTATTTTGGCTTAACTTGTCATATTAATTTATCTGAAATCGATAACAAAGAGGTAGTCGTGATAATCTAGAATTGGAACGTATACCAAAACATTCCAATCGCAAATTTAAGCATCATAGTCGCCTTAATAATTCTGTTGAGGAGGAGGAGGTGGAGGATTATTGCCACCTCTTTATAATAATCTATTTCCACTAGGTCGATTATTTTCTTGATTTTCTTGAAAATCTTCATTTTCTACCTCACTTTCATCATAATTTGTTTAACAATTAGATGTTATTGAGTGATCTTTACTTGTTATGAGATTCTCCGTTAGATTCCCTGTTTTTTGTTGATCTTAGGTTAATCCAAATAACGTAGCTGTATAATTGATGTAGGAGATTTAAAATCCTTGAGGAGTAGAAAAACTGAATTGCCCATAGATTATTAAAAATTGATTCTTTTAACCCAATTTTCTAATAACTGTATAGTTGGTCCCACTTTGATTGCAACTATTAGAATCTAATTTAAAATTTACAATAATTATTTGTTCTCTTCAAACCAAGATTCTTATCCCAAAGGGGGTTCGCCTTTTTATAAGCAAGGATATTCCATCTATACATATTTAGTTGAGTCTGGCATAAAGACAGATGTCAACACAAAAATAGTAACCAGAACAAAAAATAAGCACCAATGAATGCACACGTGTTTTTTCGTCTCTATATCAGCATTAACCTTAGTCAAGATGATCTGTTCTTCCTATTACACTGGCTGCCCAGTAACTATGGGTACATTTTAGAGATTGGGAATATTGTTGTCTTAAATTTCCATTTTATTTAATTAATATTTAAATATTCTTCATATAGTCATACTAATCTGCTTTTTCTCATGAATTTGATTTTTTACCTTCTCTGCATCTTACTATTCTACTGCTCTATCAATTAATGATAGAACTTAAGGAACTTTTACTGTTCTAATCGTATATCCAATTCTACTGACTAATCATAATAAAAGTTTTGAAACATGGTGGTCCCCTAAACATTTCTATCTAGCAATCTCCTAATAAGATCTAAATCCCCATCCTTATATTCTTTTGATAGAGCTGGAGGTTTGAACACATCTGGTTAGAAGGGGGGATTCACTTTTCTGTAAAGGAACTTTATTAAATCGACACTTTCAAACCATTTATGATCCAATATCTCCAGTAACCCTCCCTAATGTCCAATCCTACTCTTTTGATCCTTATCCAATAATCTCACAATCAAATCCTTGATTTCATTACTCAAAGTGTTATTTTTTGGGAACTCAACTTCCTTTAAAATTATATTCTCATAGATTTTATTGATGTCTTCAGAATAGAAGGGAGGTTGTCCCACCACCAATTCATATAATAGGACACCTAAACAATAATGATCCAATTATTAATTATGTCCCTAATTAGTTAGCATTTCTGGAGCCATGTACTCAGGACTTCCACAAAAACTATAAGCATATTCATTTCTTGTGGGCTTTGCAAGTCCAAAGTCAGCAATTTGAATATGACCTGTAATATCGATTAATATGTTTTCTGGTTTAATGTCTCTATATATGATATCCAACTGATGCAAATATATTAATCCCAATATAAATTCTATAATGTAGAATCTTGCTTGAGTTTCAGTAAACACGTGATATTTTTATAAGTAATAGAGCAGATCACCTCCTGCACAGAATTCAGTGATGAATATTAGATGGTTTGGACATTCTAGAGCATATTCTAATTTATTAAGAAAAGGATGTTGAGTCACAGCTAGAATGTTGCGTTCATTCTCAATTATATCTATATAATGTATTATGTACTTTCAATCTTTTTCTCAATAATTATTTTCTTGTCTATTATTTTCATCGCATAGAATCGACTTGACTATTTCTTTTTAACCAAATACACTCTTGAAAATCCACCCACTCCGATGCATTTTATAAATATAAAGTCTCTCAATCCTGTCTTAGATTTCAATGCCAATAACCCTGGCACTCCTTAAACAGTGATGATACGTCCTTGGAATACACTTAAATTTTAATTTGGTAATTGCAGATAATAATCGATGGCCAAATTTGAGTTGGTTGTCACTACTGCACTTATTGTTGGAACTATTTTGCGAGCTTATTGTAACAAATGATCAGTAGTTGCTCTAATCTTAAACAAGTTTATCATACTCATAAGCAAATAAGAAATTATGAAGCTTTTCTTCATGCGAGAAGATTATCTGAATTTTAGATTTATTTTATAACTCATCCATCTAACTCTCTGAAGTTTTTTAGATTGCTTTCGGGGATATACTTTATTCTTCCTTATTAAATATAATTTAAACATGTTTTTATTCGTAAAGAGAAATTGCTATGATTAGATGATTTGTCTAGTTTCTTCATTGAAGGACTCTATTGAAATCTTTTTTTTGAGGTATTTCTATAATTCACAATTGATTGAAGCGCTTTTTGTTTTTTTTAAATCATTCAATTAATTATATTTTATAATCACAATCATTCTTATTCAAGCAGTATATTTTTTTCAGAATATATAGTAGCCCTTCCTTTGAAGATGGAACCTTATATCTTGAACTCTGTTCATTTAATTTTACTTACATAGTTACTGACAAATTCTAATTGCTTTATTTAAGTATTCACTATGTTTGAACAATAGATTATTATTTTTAATTAGATATCATTGAGTAAAGTATAGAAGGATCTCAAACTGTTGTTTCCTATTATACTCCTTTTCTATATCTCGAAAATTTAATTATTTTTCTAACAACATGATTAGAATAACTATCCTATTCAATGAACTCAAATGAACTTTGCAATATAATTTAAAGAATCCTCTAAATATCATTAAATGGAACATTCTTGTTTATTCTAAACTATAATTTATAATGTGTCCCTTAAATTGTTTTGAATTCTCTAATTTTATCGTGTGTCTTTATTTAATTCTGACTTTCAAAATTAGATGTTAATTTTTATTCAAAGTTATTTAGCATAAACATCCTCTATTATAAAATATGACATGTGGATGATTTGAATTCTCAATTTCTACTCTTTTTAATTCTTCTTCTAATAAAGATTGCCATTTCAGTTAAAGGATAGTTATTTTCAACTTTATTATGAAAATACAAGTCAGAAATATTGGTTATATTGATTTTGAGGGAATTTTCAATCTCAATAATTTTTATGTAAATTAAAAAAATTTAAGAAATCAATTGCTAGTGTTGTGTGTATAGAAACAATATCAAATTATTATTCAAAGGGGAAAAAGGTTTACTAAGAAAAGTGGTTATTTCCTTATATGAAAGATATCCAGCTCAAGCTGCACCAATCATCTAACAACCAATTAAACTCAAATAACCTACTTTAGAATAGATGTTTTCCCGCCAAAAATAGGCAAAAGAAGAAACTAAAGAGGTTATTGATAAAAAACCTCTCGAAATGGAAGTTTATATAAAAGTCTTCTGCAATGGAGAGGAATTACTTTGCTTCAACTTAGACGAAAGCATAAATTTATCTAAATCTGAAGTGAGATAATAAACACTCAATTTATAATTTGCAGATAAAATTCTCTCTCTTTATGAATGTCCTAATGAAATACTGGAATAATTTAGATCTGTATTGATTTGTATCTATAGATTACATTATCCTTAGAATTATAAAATGATAAAAAACAACTAATTAATCACCGAAAGAACACTTAAAATCTCCCAACAAAAGAGGTCTAGCAATCACAACCTGAAATCCCCCCTAAAGATACACAAGAGAAAAGAGAATTAAACGTAATCTAAAGACTGAAATTACAGAGGAAATTATTAGCTTCGTAATAATAGCAATTATAATAATAATAATAAAGCGAATAGATCTAAAAGTAAATAATAAAGACCAAATCATAAGAACCTGCTATTCCAATTAAATAATTAAATATTAAATTCTAGTTACCCTTGTTCATTTGGACCCAAGTATTGTCATATATAGATTCTCTGTAATTGTTGGGATTGAGATTGATAAACAAATAGTTTGAATAATCGATTAATAACTTAATTCGTAAATTATCATATAAACATGTTGGAGAGATCCCCTATGAAATTTTGTGTAGTTCTTTGATCAAATTTTCAAAATTGAAACACCTAAGTTTTGGATCCTTGAAGAATATCAAGCCTACTCAATTACAAGATGTCAGAATAAGTTCAATCTCACTTCTACTAACTTTAGATTTAAAAGATTATCATGCTTTGACTGATAAATTGTGTTCTAAATTTATTTTGTAATGTGTCAACTTAAAAACCTTAGTGTTACCTTACAACTCTAAAATTACAAGTGATACTATAACACTAATTTCTTAAAAACTTACCAATCTCGAAAGGCTAAAATTAGTAGAGAAGGATAAGGGTCAATTAAATGAAGAAATTGCCTTTACATCATATTTATCAATCTTTTAATTAAAATAACTTCATTACATTAGAATTCCATTTTTACAAGTAGATTTCTTTTTGAAATATTGTTAACAGAACGAAACTAATCCCATTAATTCTATAAAATAGAAAATTAAAATTGGAACAATCATATTTTCTATATTAAACTCAAATCAAATAACCCAATTTCTAAATTTCCTTTAAATCAATAATGACATCATTAAGTTATCCATAGGGGAATTATAAATGAAAAATTTAACTCCCTTAAAACATACTGTTTTATTTGATGAGAGAATATTTTAACAATTGAAAGGTAATTAATAATATTATACAAAAGGAATATTTAAATTCAGTTTTGGAGGATTTGTTGACGATGAGTACTGCAGATAACTTTGTACCCATAATCCAGATATTAAGTAGCTAAAAATAAGATCAAAAATGATTACAGATGATGGTTTAAAAGTAATTTAATTAATATAAATAGAATATATTCTTAAAATGTAAATCAATCGAAAAAATTGATGTCGCATTTTGTTCTATGATTTGCGGTACTGGATTTGAATATCTGACCGATAAATCACTTACTTTAGAGTATCCAAAAATATTTATAGTTGTATCTCTGGATGATTACAATTTGCAATGTTTGGAAGAGTTATTACAAAGAAAATCGTATGATTGCAAACCTACTAATAGAAAAAAATTAAAGAAGTATTGATTTTCTATAAATTATTTGGATTTACAATAAAATGCCATCTTAATAATACCCTAAAATTGATCATTTCAAATGTTGTTTGATCTTAAATTTTATAATCATTCCATTATAGGCTTATTTAAAAGAACACTTTAGTTTTAGAGTGTAAGTAGAATGTCTTATTATTTATTTATGATTTGGCATTAATAGACAAAGTTTATTTTACTATAGAATATACGTTTTTAGCTTATTAAATTAGATTTTTATTATTTTAAATTTTTACGAATGAATATTTAAATTTTGTCATTTGTAATCATTTTTATCAAAAATTCTACTCATTAATAATAATCTTTAATTATATTACTTGATATCATTCCAATTGATTATACATCAAATTTTTAAGACGATTTGATTATTAGGAATAAACAAAAGTTTATTTATTATTTAATACATGATAAAAAAGCTTTTTTGTATTCCTAAGTGGAAATTGGTTGCTGGAGCTTCATTTGCGCTGCTTGGTCAACATATATATGATTGCATGTATAATACAGAAATCGAAGTCTTCTATTAGAACACAGAGAATAACAAACATCTGCTATCAAAATGTCCAAATATCACAGTAATGAAAAATAACAAAGATAGGGGCATTTTAATCCAAGTATTTGGAGTACGAATAATATCTTTGGGTTAACCTATGTTACTTTAGTTGAACATCAAATGGTGCCCTTACAACAACGAGAAATGGTGACATTGAAAGATGGAGGTCAGGTGGCATTGGATTGGAAAATCAATGATACCAAGAATATTGTATTAGTCTTACATGGATTGACAGGTGGAGGAGATTGCAATTATATAAAAGATACATTAGAGAGACTTTATGATGCTGGTTATACGGCTGTTTGTTTTAATAACAGAGGAGTCGGATTTACAAAATTATCTGTATTATTTAAATTAAAAAGACACCTTAATACCATAATCATGGAGACCCCTCTGATATGATGGAAATTATAGATTTGATAAAACAAAGATATCCCGAGGCAACATTATAATGTGTAGCCATTTCAATTGGGGCGAATTTGGCAGCTAAATATGCAGGAATTACGAAGGAGAAATGTGCATTCAAATCTATTGTTTGTATAGCCAATCCATTTGATTTATTGGTGTATTTTATGTTCTATTGATTTAGGCTTGCTTTGAAAATTTGGATAGATGGTACAACTATTTATATATCTATTATCTCACTAAGCATTTCAAGTGGTTGCTGAATAAACATTTGGATGTAATGAATGCATGTTTTGATGAACATAATATTGACATCAAAAAGGTATTTGAAGCAAGAACCATTTACGATTTTGATCATTATTTTACAAGACATTTGTAAAAATACGAATCAGTTGAGTAAATGTATAGGGTAACGCTCTTTGTTAAACTAAGGCAAATTCTTCAATACAATATATTAAGGATATTACAGTACCCACTTTATTTGTTAATACCAAGAATGACCCACTAATACCATGGAAATTAGCCCCTATTTAATTACACAGACACATGCCAAATTTAATATTTGCTTTAACTTAAAAAGGGGGTCATATTGAATGGTTTAGTGAGACTAACTTAGTTACTGTTAAGAGAGTAAGTTGATAATCATTGTTTAATAGTGGGTAATGGATCCAACGTTAGACTACTTAAATTATTTCAGAGATCTACCAAATGATAAATGGCAACAATATCTTAAACCAACGAATAGTTGATGTGAATAAATTTATAAGTTATATAATTAATTATACAATCAATTTAAAAAATCTTTGAACTTCTACTGCATTTAACACCTTCTTCCCTATTATAAAAATCCATATTAATTTGAATCAAAAGAATTGTTAAACCCAATTTATGTTTTATTGAATCTTTAGGCTATATGAGAGTCCATCCTACTATAATTCAGTTATGGATTCATTTTCTTTCTCAATTAGTTGAGCTCTAATGATTCTTATACATACAATGAAAATATATTCCGATGAGCTACAAAACCTAATATTATAATTTTACTCTTAGGCTTCCTCCTATACTTGCGTTGAACAGACTAACACTTTTCGCCAGTTTACAACATTTGGCCTCCAACTATCTTTAATAATTAATCCTCACTTGTTAATTAGGACTCATCAGTGCAATGCTTAATAAAAATAAAGAGTTACATTGAATGGATCATGTTTGGCAGAATATAAATTAAGAGATCTATTTTATCTGACTCTCATTAATTTTTGTTATAATTTAATTCTCTCACTTGGTTTTGCATAGGCAGATAATTATGGACTTACAAGAGGAATATAATTATCTTTGTCAGACGGCACCATTTTATTTACTGATACATATCTAAACTATTTTTTTAAATCCTTTTTTTCTCTTTACTCATAATCGCTATTCGAACTTGTTTTTGGAATGTAATAATTAAAACTTTTATCAAACATAATATTAATAAAATTAAATTTTAGTAATTCTAAATAGTTCCAAGACTCCTTCATTTCAAACCAATAATTGATACTCCTTGATGAAATACCTCAAATTTAAAAAATTTTGAATATACTGTTAATGAAACTAATAGTCTTTCGCTATATATTTATAAAAAAATGAAAATATCTTTTTCAATATAATCCTGTTTCGATTTTCAGAAAAACTAGAGAGTACACAATTTAGAGTAGGTTTAATCTCATAATAAAAAAAATTTAAAAAGTTGCGTCTATCGGGACTCGAACCCGACCTAAATGCTTGGAAGGCATTCGTACGAACCTCTATACTATAGACGCTAGCCTATAAAATTTACAATCTTATTGGTTTTGTAACGATATAACAAAGTCCAATATATAAATAAATCTTATAGATTGGCAACTATTACCAAATTTAAATCTAAATTTATGTTATAATAAACACTGATTATTGGGTTTACCTATTGATCTTGTCATTAAAAATTTAAAAAAGTTGCGTCTATCGGGACTCGAACCCGACCTAAATGCTTGGAAGGCATTCGTACGAACCTCTATACTATAGACGCTAGACTATAAAATTTATAATCTCTAGGATTTTATAATAGATGAGATAGAGGGGGAAAACAAATGAATATTTAAAAACAACAATTAAAATATATAAGTTGAGTTGGTTCTACACATGATTGTAATTACTATTGATTTAAGGAGTAAAAATATTTGCGCCTATCGGGAATCGAACCCGATCCTAATGCTTGGAAGGAAATCGTGCTACCTTTACACTATAGACGCAATACAGATATTCTGAGGATCAATAGCAATTGAGAAAAAATTAGTAATTTAGTCTGAGATTTTTGGGATAAAACAATAGTAATAAAATTGCATTAATAAATATTAATTAAACCAAAGGTTGTATAAATTTAATATACACTCTATCATCTTGCTTCTATTATTTCTTCCTCTTCAAATTCTTCGCCTTCCTCATTATGGTTATTAACAAAATTCATTAGTTTCTTTTGATCATTAGAATTCAATGAGACTATTTTATAGGAATTCTAATTACCTGGCCTATTTCGATCTTCTGTGTGTAAATAGATGGCTATAATTAAGGAAACAGAAGCAAGTATTAAAAAGAATAGGACTACTGATACTTGGGAAGATGATTCTGCTGAAATGAAAGCTATGAATAATGGCATCACAAAAAAGGCGAAATTTTGAACAGAGTTCATAACGCCAAATGCTGTGCCCCTTTATATAATCAAATCTTACTAATTATTTTTATTTTACAACAAAGGCAATGCTGGTCCATATTGTACTGGCAAAGAGAGCATAGGCTAATCCCAAAGTGAGCATGCAAAATATAGGATAAAACAACAGCATCAAAACCAATCCTAAAAATACTAATGCACATCCAATCGCAAGAAACTTAATTCTTTAGCCAACTTTGTCCACCATCAATCCAACAAAAGGACTGAAAAATGTACAACACAAATAAGGTATTCCCATCAATTCACCAGCTACTTCTTAATTCTATTCTATAGGTGCATCTGAAGGCAACCATAATTTAATTATTATGCCACTTGAAAAGGAGATAAAAATTAAGACTGAAGTATAAAAAGTGGTCATTATTAAAGTCAAGATCCAAAAAATCTAAAAATTGATTCATTTGTGTATTTTACTTTAGGGAACATTCTAATATCTTCCAATATTTGTTTTACAAGCTCTCCAAAATCCATTACTTAAATGCTATTATCCAATAATCCTTCAGTTTTCTACAGATTTCGTTTTTATAAGATCTCTGTATAAGAATCAATGAAATTCATAATGAGTAATGCAGCCCCAGAAATCAGAGTAATACCAAAACCCACTCCAAAGGCTGTTGTCATACCTGATTTTTCAGCTATTCTTGGGGAAATATAAGTTCCCAACACTGTTGCACTTCTGATCAAACTCAAATTTAGTGCCTACTATTAAAGTATAGTTTACATTGGCAAATGACAACTCCTTTCCCACAAACCATTTATTAATGATAATCGAACTTGCTACACAAAGAGATTCCCCACCCAATCCAAACATAAATCTACCCAATATCATATATTAAAGGTTTGCTACCGAACTTCCAAAATATAAAAAGCCTTAACCCAGAATCACAAAGAACATGAATATCAATGACATTTTTCTATAGCCTTAAAATGATATAAGTTTATTTTACCAAACACATCACTCATAAACCCACCAACTAAAGGCAATATGATATTTGGAATGGAATAGAAGGAATACATAAAACTGAAATAAAAGCCTGTTAATTGCTCTCCATATATTGGACTATAGGTCTGCATTATTTGTTCCTTCAACAATGCAGGTTAATCGAATATAAACATATTTCCATACTATGGTATTCACATATTAATTACTAATGCTAAGCATGCAAGCAATAAAATTATGTATCTGAGAAAGCTTGAATTTGATTGGTCTTATCCCTTTTTCATTGTTTAATAATAAAAACGAATAAATCAGAATCAATCAAAACAAAATTTTTGTAATTTAAAATTTCTAAGTAGCATGCAAAACAATCTTAGCGAAATAAAAAAATATTAACAATAGAGGGAGGAAAGATTTCATTAAAGTCTGTTCAAAGATCAAATCTAAAATATTGATTCAACTATTCAAGATGATTCGAATAATCCTGATTTTGTTAAGGTCATTGTCATTTGCACCTTCATTAATGAAGTAACTATTCAACTTAAATTGATAGACTATAGCAACTAAAGAAAAAATAATATGCTCCGATAACGAAGCTTAATTTGTAGAAAAGGATGACGTAGTTGGTAAAGAATGAAAATAAAAAATAGAATAATAAGACCTTTCTGATTGTATCAAAAAAGAAATTATAACATATATAGAAAGGACATTTATTGAATGTTCTAAACTGCTAAAGTCGAATTATATTGAAAAGTCTGATGTGATAAAAGTATACTTCAATCGTATAAATTTAGTTGCCCATCTGTTCGGCTAATGGAATACGTATTCCAAACGAATATGACATCAGATAGTTTTTTAAGTTGTCTAAAATCAAAAATAATAGTGAAGAATTTGCCAAATCGCTTCGATCTATGGATAGTAAACATTTATTTGGTTTTCTTATTAGCAGTCTTGTATTCCAAGTATTTATTTCAATTATTATTTTGAGGATAGTCAAATTGAAGAAGCCATTTTTGAATTACTCTTTGAAAACATCACATTGGAAAATGCTATCAAATTGTTACTTATCACTGTTCAATATGAATCCAAAAAATAACACTATTTTTATAAGTATCGTTTATAATCATTAACTAGACTTATTAAGCACTTGTATTATTTTAGCAAAGGGTTATTGAAGGAAACCTATGACAATTATTTGCAAAAGATAGTTTAAAATGGAATGAAGCCAAAACAATTGTAAGTTGAAAAACCCAATTTTATTAAATTAATAACTCAATTGCACATTTTTAAAATTAACTCAACCATCCTTTATCCTATTTTTAAATAATAAGAATCAGCTCTATTTTAATATTACAAACCCATTAATGAAAAGAAATCATTCACTGTTTATAGAAATTTGGATTGTCCAGAAGGAAGAGAATAATCAGATTTCCCCCATATTTACTATCTCAAGAATAATGAGTAGTAAACTGTTTTAGTAGCAGTGTAATATGAGATTTCAGGGGATATTCTTATTTTCTAAGAGTACTAAGAGAAGTTCATAAAATATAATGATAATTACTTAGGACTGATTGAGTTTAAGAATTAAGGCAAGGAATTTATTGTTTTTGATGATGGCTATCCAGAGTACATGGAAAATAGCTTTCCTTAATGGGTGGGAAGGAAAAAAAGGAGAATGTTAATTTTTGATTACTTTTCAGATAAAAGATACGACAAACCAAGATTATTTGATGTGAAATGCTTCAACATCAATACAAATTAATATGATGGTAATAATTTTTGTATTATTCCTAAGAGATCATAACTTAAGAACCGCACTATGATGAGTAGAAAGGTTCCTTTAAATTGAAATTAAAAGATATTGCACTAACGCCGTCAACCAGAAATTTCGTATTACAAAAAAAGGAAGACAACAGTAAAGAATAACACATCTATCTGTGTCATGGAAAATTAAATAGACACACATTTCACTTAGAATTACATGAAGGGATCAGCGTATTCTAGGGATTCTGCATTTCTGTTGTATCAATTTGTTCTAAGGGCACTTGTTAATGAATACATAATAATTTGTATTTTAATTTAAAGGAATGTTATAGCACTCTGAATCAGATGATCATTCTCCGGTTAATGTAATCTAGTTTTAAGATAAGAATACTGAGATTGAGTCGGAAGCTTTATGGGATAAGGAAGATACCCAGCAAGAATATCACATTCAAATTAACTCAGATCGAATTTTAGACATTTTTTAATCAATTGAGACTTAAATTGATCCTTTTACTTGTGTTTTCAAAACAAACCAATAAATGATAGTGATGCATAAACAGAAATTGACACTGCTTAAAAAACTAGGCTATTTAATCTGTAAAAGCGAAAATAAATATTGCATAATTCTTATAAAATTAGAGAATCAGAACTCACTATTGATAAAGTCTTTAAAAGGAGTATAAAATCATTCATATAAAGGACTCTGAAATAAATGATAGTATTATGAAGAGGATAGGAAATGCAATTTATTAATTTTCAGATAAAAATTAACATCTTTCCCATATAGATGAAATTATGTAAGTATAAATTTACATTAGACATGAAGATTCAAGATTCAATCCTTTTCATTTAGATAGTTTAAGTGTTGCTATGATATATAAATATCTGTAAGATAAAATTGTAATACCAGATCAAATAACTATGAAATAAATTTATAATTTGATTGAAAAGGAGCATGAAAATATTAAGAGAGAACCATTATTAGTCAAATAACAATAAGTCAGTTAATTTCACATTTTTACTATTGAGAGATTCATCTTCAATAAAATTTATGATCAAATGATGAATCATTATATTGAAAAGTTTCAAGAAAGATAAAATTAAGTGGATTTAAAGAAAATGCAATTGAGAGAAAAATATTCGAAAGAAGATTTAATAAAATCATTAGAAATTAAAAACCATTATTTACCGAATGCTGATATACCATATTTTGAAGCAATAAATGAATTAAAATTGATTAATCTCTACAAAACTCCAACTGAAATGTTGAAATAATTTTAATATGTACTTGTTCTGATTAGAGGAGTTGCTTTTGAATGCAATTAAAAAGAAGAAATAATTGCTATGGATGACGAATTGCCAATATTAATTTGGGTAGCTTTGATGAGTGATATTACTAATCTCTATGCAAAAATATATTTTGTTGATGATTATATATAGGAAATTGAGAATGAAAAGAGAATCTTAACTAACCTAAGAGTTTCTTTAGATTATATTTCTAAAGAATGGAAATTATGAAATGATTATTTTTATCTTGCAATTAGTTTATCAATTCTTTAAATTATTGATATCTATCAAGCTATCTAATAAATGATACAAATTTAAATATTTTTGATCTAGAGTGCATTATTAATGTAAAGCTCTCAAGACTTGCTTTGAAAAATGTTTTATTTATATTAATTAATAATCTATTTGTTATAATAAATTTGAATAATATCATGAACTTTTATTAGCCAAATCAATCAGCAACTAATTTTAATGTGAGAAGACATTCACAATAGTATTTAAGAATATCCAGCTAAATAATATTAGATTTTATTAAAACCATTTTAATAATAGAAGAGATGATTTGAATTAGAATTAGAAACAAGTCAAAAAACCTTTTTAATTAAGTGAAGGAATTACAAATATTGATCAACAACACTTAATCAAATATAAAATTAGAATAATTGATTAATTCTGTCAAAAATAACAATTGGAATGCTTAAAATAGTGTACTTCAAGTTTCTCAATAAAATCTTTAATATTAGAAAATATGAAAATGAGATTTTTTGTCAAATAATCTATTATGATATTAAATGTAAATAAAAGAACTGATAAAAATACTTCAATTTAGATAGTTTCTTGAACTCAAAAAGCTAACAATTAAGTACCAAAGCAAATCAATATCAATAATTCTAGGTTTGTCAAATATTAAATAATATGAAAAATGAAATTCATAGGGTTTTACAATGTTAAAAGGATTGGAAGTGATCTAGGTATATAGAAATAGGCATTTAATATCAAGTAAATTTTGGAATAAACTAAGTAAATAATTGATCTTACTTAGACTTCGCATTCTATGAATCTCAAGGAACCAGAAAGTAGAAATTCTTTTTGGCAAATAAGATGAATTAATTTAATTCATGGACATCTTTTGATGAATGCTTAGATTATATAATTTTCTTAAAAATAATGTTATTTTCTTAGCGTTAATCAACATAATTTGAAGAGTTGGAATCTTTAATGAGCAGGATGCCTCAAGTATCTTCGCGTTCTCGAAATTTATCCAGTGATCGATAATTAAATAATGAGCGATCAATTAAACTGTCCATAGAAAACAGTAGGCAAAGACAATAAGCATAATCATATTCTGTGGAAAAATCAGTAAACACTTCTAAATTAATTTCGATAGTTGAATTTGAGTTCCCAGAATCAGAAGGTCGAAAATTTGGTGGCTTCATGGATACAGCAAAAAAATTCATCATCCCTCAATTCAAGTTCAAATAATGTTTAGCCAAGCAATTTGTTATAATCTAACCTGGTTTCTCAATTTGAAAGCCAAGGAAGGCAATCAAATCGGCCGCATATTATTATAGAAGAAGATCTGTTATTTACAGAAGAAGGAGATTAATAGCATGGGATTCAATCCAACAAAATCAATTAAAATAAAAATAAAACCCCAAGCACAACACGTCCTCATGCAAAGAGTATTAAAGAATAATGTATTCTATTTACTTATGAAGAAAGTTTTGATGTCAAAAAAATTGCTATAGACAAAAATGTTCCTAAAAAAAACCAGAATTCGTATGCTCTGCGTCCTCAAACGATGAAAATGCACACTTCTACTCAAGTGAAATCTTCGCCCATGGTTTACAAAGAGCAATCTCTACACAATCCAATGAAATCATCCCATATCGATTACACTAAATTTAGTAATCTAAATAGTGGGTCAAATAGTTATTGCAACAATATCAATAATAGAAATAAATAGAATAACTAACAAAAAATAGTTAAGAAGGCTAATTTAATCCAAAATTCAGAGTTCTAATTAGATAATTCATGTATTACTGATTTGATCAGATTAAAGGATTAGATCTTATCAACATATCTAAAATAGAATAGAGCTCTCATCAGTTCCCAAAATCAAATAGTTAAGTAATATTGAGATATTTATTTAGAAATTTTGATGAAATAGTAGCGATTTTAAAGCAAGATTTCCCACAACATTAATGAACAATGTATTTATGTTATTAAATATATATTAATCTAATGTAAATGTTTTGAAACTTCTTCAAAAAAGAAAAACCCTTAATCAAATAGTATTATTAAAACAGAGATTTGTACTTTTCTATTAATTTCCTTATTAAAAATATGTTGATTTTGTTTATATTCATTAAATTTTAATCAAAAAACTGTATCATATAAAACAAAAAAATTAAGTAATGAGCCAATAGTTTTCTTGAAGTGTGTAAATATTAGAAAATTGAATGATTTTTGGGATATGCAAAAAGTGTAATATAATAAGAGTACAATATTTTTATAAATGTCATACAAATGTCTTCAGTTGATCTAAGAACCCTTAATTAGGTTCAGCTCTGGCATGCTTTTATTTTACATAATTTAAGGCTCTTAACGAATTGAGTCTTAATTTTCTAATAATGTAGGCTGTTATGATTGTCACTGATCTGCTCTAACCACCATAACAATGAACTAAAATATTTTTATCTTGGGCAATAATTGAGTCAATATATTCGATACACTCTTCAAAGTGTAACCGTATGTTGGTTTCTGGTTTGTCCTCTATCGAAATGCATTTATAAGAATATTTGGAAGGAAAATACTCAGGCAAGTCTCCGATAATTAGAATATTTGAGATTTTGTTTTTGCTTAGCCAATTTTAATCTTTGGCATAAACAATTGATGACAAATACACGTGAGGGATTATTTCAGACATGAGTAAAATAAAATAATAATAATAATAATAATTTAATAAATTAAATGAGGCATTTATAAAATCTCTTAATGAATATTAGTAGTGGATATGAATATTAATTGATTTAATTAATGGAAATCTTTACTGAAAAAATATTTTGCTTGAAATTTTCATTTATAAATAGTTTAAGTGAGTAATTTCATTAAAAATGGAACAAATAATAAATTTTCAATTCCAATTTTGATGCATTGTAATAAGTAAAGATCTGGAGAGTAAAGATGGGGTGAGTTAATAATATAAATAAATAATTAATAATATTAATTCATGCAGACAGCCTCAATATTTAATGGAAAATATGTGGTATAGAAGAAGATATCGTCTGGCTCTTTTGGGGTGGTTCTATTTGGACATGATAAAGATAAAAATATCGATGTGGCAATAAAAATAGAGAAGGAAGAGAATGAGGATGTGCGTTCTTTGGAGAGGGAGGTTCAAGTTTTGGAGAGGTTAAATGGAATTGAAGGAGTTCCTAAAATATATTGGCATGGTGAGTAGGACGATTTTAATGTTATTGTTATGCAAATTTTGGGAAAGGACTTATCTCATTATGTGAAGAGCAAAAAGAAATTTTCATTTAAAACATCTATCCAATTAGGAATTTAAATTGTAAAGGTTTTGGAGAGAATTCACAATAAAGGAGTTGTTCATCGAGATTTGAAGCCTGAAAATGTGTTATTTGGAATTGATGATGAATCTTCTAAAATTTATGTGGTTGATTTTGGAATAAGTAAAATATTTCGAGATAAAAATGGAAATATTCAGTAAATTTGAATAATTTAATTAGTCCTTTTCGTGACAACACATCTTTCATTGGGACAACTCGATACGCTTCCATAGCAGCACATAAAGGCTTTGAGTTGAGTAGAAAAGATGATATTGAATCTCTGATCTATGTTTTGCTGTACTTCATAAAAGGGTAATGAATTGTGAATAATAAAAAGTCTAGGCAGTTACCATGGCAAAATATGTAGAATGTCAGCGATGAGGAGAGGACAGCAAAAGTTGGAGAAATGAAGATGTCCATCGATCCTAGGGAATTATGTAAGGATGCACCAATAGAATTTGCAATCATACTTGAGTATTGAAATTCAATAATGATTTAGGTATCTTAAACAATTACAATATTTGAGTGAGCCAAATTACAACTTGATTTAATAGTAGTTTGAAAAAGCAGCAGAAAATTTGGGTATTTAGTTGGACTACTCGTATGATTGGGATTAGTAATAGCCAATGAAAATTTCATAGAGTGTTCATTCTGACATCATGCAAAGATCCACTACTTTAAATTAATAATTATAACTTCCATCCACTACTGGTGAGATGAAAAAATCAATAGATAAACAAGGAAGCAACCTGATCAGATAGTATAAATCCATTTAAATCTGATTAGAATGAGTAATAATCAATTCTTAGCTCCTCCTCAATCAAATTAGTTACAAGTTCATGCTCTAAAAAGACAAGATTCGTCCTAATAGCCAAGTATCGTATCTGGCAGTTTAATGCTGAGTACATACAATTCGATAAGGCCAAAATATTAAGCATCTCAGTTGGGCATAGATGTTAAAGCGAGTATAGATAGTGCGCCTAAGGAATTTTTATAGGAGCAGAGGAAGACTTCGGAGTCAGCATAATAAAAAGCACAAAATTGCAATACTGAAACAATTGGATGGAGAGACTCAATCTTTGAGGAGAACTTTGATGATCTGCCATTATCTAAGAAATATGGACTTCTTTAATAAAAGGGAGTTGATATGTAACAATGCATTTCTAAAATTAATTTTAGGTATAGAAAGTAAATGAATTCTAGTGCTAGCCCAAACAGACCTAAGAAAAAACAATGAATTTTAATTTAATTTTAGATTATTCTAAATTTGCCAAATTTTATTCTTAAATAATTTCAACTATGGATATCAGGTTTGTACTTTTATGAGATTGCAATTTCAATGAGACATTTGCTTTGATTAATAATTGCTCACTAATTTAGTTTAATAAATTTGTTAAAATAAATGAATCCAAATACCCCTTTCAATGAGCGCTTCTTGAAAATTCAAGAGAAATTGAATTCCATTCCTCTTCAACATGATACTTCTAAAGCTCATAGAATTGATACAATTAATTCTAGAGTCACAGCAGTAGAGGAGAGAATTCAGGATACAATTACATCTTATAGTAGAAAACTAGTAATAGTTTATTAATGATTTTAAGCATTCTTTGAAAGATGAAATAGTGAGACTTCAAAAGCAAATTGAAGAAGAAAATAATGCTTTTGAAACATAGTTCGAGTAAAGAGTTCGTGAGATTGCTGCATTTGAAAGCAGAATAACAACTAAATTGGAATAAGAAATAGCTATAAGAAGAGATGGAAACCTAAAATTGCAAGGGTATTTGGATGAGAAAGTAATATGAGGAATTTATTAGAACATAGGTTGTCTACTTGAAATCTGATATTCAGACAGAGGGTAAAATCAGATCGGAATAAATTGAGAATATTACTACATCATTAGAAAATGATTTGCCTAAGTTGTATGATATGGTGAAAACTGAAGGATAAGATAGGGAAGATAATGATAATGGAACATTGAGGAGATCTGGAGAAGAGATCAGAAGATTGAATGAGGGTTTGACCAATCAAAAGAAGCTACGGTATAAATGATCATTGACTATCTATCATAGAGAAGAATCCGAGACGGCTATCTTTGAAATGCTTAAGGACTTAGTTTCTAGAGTGAAGAGTGAGATTGAAGAAGAAAAGAAACTAAGAGAAGAATCTCAAGAATCACTATTGGGTTTGTTGGAGGATGCAGCAAATAAAATTTATAGAGCAGCAAAAGATTGATAAATTATACAATCATATTAAAATAAATTTTATTTAATATTATATATTCATTTATTTTATTTATGTTTCCTATGATTTTTAGTCATAATCCTAAATAATCGAGCAATTTCATTAGCATTATTATGCCTCAGAAAATATTCGAAATTCCTAACTTTCTCAAACCCTTCAAAAATGTCTGAATACTACCATAACCTTTTCCCTGGATCTTCATCTAAAGTCTTATTTGTATATATGTGATCAATCGAGTACTCATTAACTTTTATTTGAGGCCCTACTTATTTGGTTAATTTCTATTGGTCTCCTCTTTCGACAATTTTCTTATCCGAATCTTAAATGCTCTTATTACTAAGTATAGTGTTTTATGGGTTTTAGAATCTAAAATTCGGTTACAATTGTTAGGGTCCTTGATTGAAGCGACTTAAATATTTATTAGATCTTTCTGCTCTCTAAATCTTATTAATTATTTCTAAGATTTTATCTCGCTATATAATTTAACAGTTATTTTACAATTTCATCATCCTTTAATGCATCTGTGCAAGCTTAAAATGATAGCTTCCTCTTCAGCTAACATTTTGATTACTATAAAAATGATGGATTAAGCAATGAATTTCTTTAGACATCTTTATTTAATTTAGAAGAATATTCAAGAATTTAGTCGTCAGCATCGTCAATACAACTGGTCCCTATTTAATAATTAATATAATTTAAATAATACCATCTCCACTTTCAGCAATATTATTTTACTCCTCAATTTAATCCTACAATATTTATGTTTTGCACATATACAGATAGATACTGTTTTGAATGTCTGATGATTCTCTTCTTGTTTGAATTTTTGGTTCCAATTTTCTCACATATTTAACTCTATCAGAAGGAATATATCTTCGATAATTTAGCAATACTTTGGATCGATTTGGATAACCACATACCATACTAATACACTATAAATTACAATAAATACGGGCATTCAAGAATAACATGTGTTGATTTATTGCAGGCTCTACATGTAACATCGACTAATTCTTACCTGTTCATAAATGAGATCTATTGAACCAATTCACAGTATTTATACTAATCTTATAAGTGAGTTATATTACATAATCATTTTGATGTTAAGATGCTAATTCTATAAATTGAGACCTTTCAATCTTTAATACATAGGAAAATTAGTTGGATTTACATGACATTTAATAAGCTTAAGATTAAAAGAATTCCAAAACACCAAAAGCTTATCCTTCATGTTTTACTGTTTCCAACACCTTTATCGTTTATTATTTGTTTTTCAATGTGATATAAAATGAGAGATCACCATTAGATAAAATATAGAGATATTAACTAGGGTCATTTTACTAAGGAATATTTAAAAATCATACTTTATATATGATTGATTCGGGTACAAATTTCTCTTCCACCATTGCTTTTGATAAGGAAATCAAAAATGCTTCGCTGAAATTGTTCACAAGGAAACTATTCTTCGATATCAATTTCATATTAGTATCTATTTTCATTTCTTCAGCCAATTATTTTGGAATCAATTCACTAAATTTGTAAACTTCTCTATCATTATCTTCCATTTGATCACTCCAAACGTATTCAAAATACTTTCTTATTTTCTCAGCCAAATGTTTATTTATCCCCTTAATCCTAATAAACTTTTTAAGGTTATTCATATCAGTTCTAATCTAAAAGCTTTATCTGCTCCATTCAGCATAGATTGAATTGATATTGCCAATGGAGTAACCAAAAACTCCCACTGCCGATAAAGCCATTCCTACTGCAAATACTCTTTCTCTCAGATTCTATGGAGTAATATCACCATAACCGATGGTAGTCATTGTAATGATACTCCAGTAAAAAGAATGCAAATATTGATTAAACCAGTCTTCATTTTCTATATTCTAAGCCTTGACCCAAGATACTTCATTGGGATTCCCAGTAGATCCAACTAAAAACCAAATGCAGGCTGAAAAATGAGCTGCTGCTAAAATTGTGTATACTAATTTGACTATGTCTACTATAACAATTTAAATTGCTGTCAATTCTAATCTATCGAAAAGGGTTCTTGAAAATTTGGTTATTTAAAACACTTTCAAAATTATAACTAGATCCAAGTATTCCAAATTGAATCGTAGACTTATAAAGTAGGGGATCACCACAAATATGTCAAAGAAGAATGCTATTATGATATAGGAATCAATTTTACATGATTGCAAATAGTTTTTTGCAATTTGATATCGATTTTCAATTACTGCTCCTTTATAGTAATAACAAGTATTGAATTTCAAAATGATTTCAAGCATAAATGAATAAGATGGTAAAACATCGAACATAATCTATCTGGCCTAATAAAAAACATCATTGGAGTGCTCATCGAATTTGAATGCAATTTTGGCTGATACGTAAAGTACGTTAATATTCAATATGGTGAGTATGTATATATTCCACCAAATTGAAGCCAAGGACTCAGGTCTCATTATTAGTTTCTGATTCCAACAGTAGATCTTCAGCATTTTAGTTCTACGTATTGGAACCAATATATTTTAATTCAGAAAGTGCTTTACTTTTTAAAATCCTGTGGGTTTCTAAAATTAGATTAAATCCATACATGTTACTTCGTATTTAAAGAAATTTTTTAATAAGTAATATGAAAAGTCAGCTGACACATCGCCTATTATTTCAAAAACATTTTTGTTGATTAATTTAAAACTGGTAGCAAAGTTCGATTTTGTGATAAAGCTTATGAACCTAAGAGTTAACATCAAGATCTCCAAGGCTTTTGCCTTCCAAATTTTATTGCTAAACCCAGGATGATCATTAGAAATTTGACTTTCAATAAGGATAGGGCTCTCCTCTTTGAGATTCATTACTGTTTTATTAGATTGTAAACTCGCATCTCTTAATCTAGGCCCTATATTACAGGCGTAATTAGGTCTATAAAATATGATTCCAAAAAGAACATACTTGTTTTTCTAGTCAAATAGAAGACTCATAACACCCTTTTGATCATTTTGTTTTGATTATCTAAAATTCTAAATATCGTGTAGGATGACTTCCTGATCTTAATCACAACTTTTCAAAAGAGATCTAACTGAATGCACCTGATTTTCAGTATCCAATTTTTCTTCTGTTCTATATAAACTAGAGTATTACAAATATCTGAATTTAGATGATTACTTTTCATAATTATTAATAAAAATAATAGTTTATCATCGATTGTATTTCATTAAAATTTCTAACATCTTTTTTTCAGTTGATTAGATTTTAGTTATCAAAGAAAATGTATTGGGATGGGGAAGTAGAATTGGATGCACTACTTATTATATCCTAATAATATTATTCAAAAATCTTAGGGAAATAAAAGTTTAATAATGATGTTAAGAGAGAATGATATCTACAATGGTTGTTATAATAAATAAGATTATTTGCAAACATCATGGGATTAATAAATTTGAGAAATTTTAATGTGAGTTTAAAAATCTATATTTTTATTTAAATATAAATTCTGAATGAAGCACAATCAACAACTTCCTAATGCTCACATGCGTAAACACTGGACAAGATTCGTGAAGACCTTCTACAATTAACCAGCTGCAAAAAGAAGAAGACAACAAAGAAGACAAGCAAATGCATTAAGTAATGATTTGATGTGAATTTTAGGGGCCTCACCAAGACCTGTTGAATTGCTTAGACCAGTAGTGAGAGGACAAACAATTAAATATAATGGAGTGTAAAAGTTAGGAAGAGGATTCTCATTGATTGAGCTTAAGGAAGCTGGACTCAATGCTTAATTTGCAAGAACAGTAGGAATCGCTGTGGATCATAGACGTAGAAATAACAGTTAAGAGGAATTGGCTGCCAATGTCAAAAGAGTCAAAGCATACTTGTCTAAATTAGTGCTCTTCCCAAGAGTAGCAGGCAAACCAAAGAATGGTGTTGTTAAAGATTCAGCAAACGAAGTTGTTGCTTAACCTGTTACTTAAAATACTAATCCTGAAGTATTACTTTATATTTTATGACTTCTAGGTTATCACTTTCTAAAGAACACCCAGAAGAGAGAAAGCAACAGTAATTTCTAAGGAGCTCAGAGCCAAGAACGTATATCGTAGACTTAGACAAGAATGGTACAATGCAAAATTCGTTGGAGTCAAAGAGAAGAGAAAGAATGCTAAAGAGTAGAAGAAATGAATAGTATAATACGTACATTTGGATATATTAAATATTATTAATTAATGAATTTTCCTGATATTATCAGAAGTGGGATCTTGGCCATTAAGAAAATCGCAGAGAATTAGGAAATAAACAAAATATGTGATCACTTGATGGACACTCTTCGATTGTAGGACTACCCAAAATATTTGGATAGGATAGTGCTTCAAGATGTTCGTGTATTGAATTTAGTAATGTTAGATAGAGCATTTATAAAATTAGTGCGATTTTCTGAAGAATCTTAAAAAAATCAATGAGAATGAGCAGGTCTTTAATATTTTGTTGAAAAATGAAGAAGAAACTTATCGGCTAAATAAATGTGTATAGGAATTATAACAGAACAACGAGAATTTGATGAAATAAATTTACACCTATGAAAGAATGCTAAACGTTTTGAATCAAAATTAGGACGATCAGATCTATCACTTAAATAAGATAAAGGTCTGGTAAGGATTACAAACTAATTTAGGAGCAGAGTATGGAAATCGTGCAGTTGAAAATGAAATTATAAGACCAAGAAAATATACTCTCGAATCCTTCGTAAATGAAGAAACAAATTAAATTATTAGAGAGCAAAAAGAAATGATTGCATATTATTAATTTTATTATTAAATGATAATTGAAGTTAAAAGAAATGAGGATCTTTTAGTAATTTGTAGAATTTGCGAGAAAAAAGTATCAATAAGTTAATGACGCCTTAGTTAGATGCTCATCTCATTACAAATCATCTCACCAATTGCTAATAAGTATACGAAACAAAGATGTTGTTATAAGAATTGAATTGTTAAATCCACTAATTAGCAGAATAGGCTTAAAACAAATTTCGTACAACCAACACTAAATATTAAATCCATAAGGCCAAGCAAACTAGACAAAACCTTTATGAAAACGGAAAGAGACAATCGGTTTCCCTCAATTAGCTTTAATTAGATGGCTCTATAAGTGATGGCACAGGATCAAAAACAAATAAGGCTTCTCATTAAAACACAGGAAAGTCTCGTTTTGCACTCATTGGAGCCCAGAATAAAGTTAAGATGCATGCGGAATCTGATTAAATCGTAGAAATGCAAAATAAAGATTAATCAATTTAAAATGGGTTATTTGATTAGAATCACGAAATTAATGTAAATTAAATTAAAGGCAAACAAAGGGCTAATTAATAATACATACACTCTCCTTAAAGAGAAATTCTGTAAGGAAGTTCACCAAGTTCAAATGGCTTCGATAGTCCTGCCTCATTTGAGTAAGAATTATTGCAAATATTTAAATTAGTGATAATGTTGACATCTTAAAAGACCTGAGACAATAATTAAATTGCCTTAAGATTATAATCAATTATACTGAAGAGACAATTAAAATCAATAGTGGCACTCAATCAATTTAATTTGATCTTCAAACTCAAGTTAACTTAATGAACACTAGGGATTTTTAAGATAGAGAACTACAAGACATAGTTAAATTAGCTTTGAAGTTAATTGAAGTAATTATTAATGTGATTATTATCCTTAGGAAAGAGTCCAATTTACTTAAAAAATATCTAGATTATAAAAATTAATATCAGAAGAAGATAAACAAGATAATATCAATTCTCCTTTGGGATTAAAATAAAATACAGAAGGCTTCAGCAGTAGATCCCCAAAAAGAAGCCCAATCTTATAGAATTGCGAGAAGTTGAAGTGGCTAAATAAATAAAATGTATTTTTCAATTATGATTAGAATAATACTATTCAAGAGAGCTCATTTAAGAAAAGTTCAAGTGAATTTGGAGATGAAGAGAACAATTCTTAATCCGATGAAAGTGTGGAAATAAAAAGACTCAATAGAAACAGTTCAGAAGAGTCATTAGAGATGGATAACTCATCTCAAAAATCTAAAAACAATATCATCTCATTCAAGGCATTAAACCTCGATGATTAAGTGGAAGAGAAGGATTTCGAAAATGCGGAAGAAAAGGATAAAGGATATTATAGTGATGGTGATATCAAAGTAATGAAGATAGCTAAAAATAAATAATTGTAATAATATAATAAATTGAGTTTTTAGGTTAAATGTAACATTATAAGACTTCGAATTTATATCTGTCTTAGGGGTAGGGGGTTTCGGTGCAGTTTGGTTGGTAAGCAAGAAAAAAACTAAGGATTATTATGCAATGAAGGTGATTGACTGTCGTAATAAAAATATGAGCGAAATCTAAAATTTAAGAGCAGAGAAAAACGTCTTTGAAATATTAGAAGGTGACTTTGTAGTCAAAGCTTTCTATTCATTTATCTAAGATCAATGTTTATTATTTCTTTTAGAATATATGATGGGTGGGGACTTTAGTTAAGTGTTGTTTTAATATGGTAGACTATCGGAATAGGTTGCAAAGTTCTATTTAGCAGAATTGCTTTTAGCTATTGAGTCATTGCATAAGAAAGGAATTATCCATAGAGACCTTAAACCTTAAAATATTTTACTTGACTCTTAAGGTCATATTAAATTGGCTGATTTTGGATTATCTGAGATAGCTTTAGTACAAAAGATAAAGGATGGGAAAGATGGAATTAATTTATCAATCGATCCTGAAGCTCTACCATAGAATGTTTCTAAAAGATAGATAAAAATCAAATGCAATTTAGAATTTCATATGCAAAATTATCCCAGCAAGAACAGTGTTTAAGATAAATCATCTTCAGGAAAAAGATAGAACAGAATTATAGGAACACCAGATTATATTCCCCCTGAAGTTATTATTGGATAGTCGATATCAAATTTTTCAATAGATTGGTGGGCTTTTGGAGTAATAATGTATGAGTTTTTGGTTGGTATACCTCCATTCAATGATAAAAGTATCCCCAAAGTATTTGAAAATATAACAATGAGGGCTATTGAATGGCCAGAAATTGGAGATGGGGAAGACATGATTTCTAATAATGCATATAATTTAATCAACAAATTATTAGAGCCAAACTATCACATCCGATTGGGTCATTAAGGAATAGATGAAATAAAACAGGATCCTTTTTTTAAGGACATAGATTGGGTTAATATAAGAAATGTAGAAGCTCCAATGATTCCAATTCGTGATCTAGAACATTTAGAAGAAGAGTAATGTAATATACTGCAAAAATAAAATGAAGAGAACAAAATGAAGGATAGACTACAATCAGTTTAGTATTCACACGATGGAAAATTTGATGAGGTTGCAAATCTTACAAGATTCGATCTTTTGGCTAAATTAAGTGAGTAGGATGCAAGGAATGTCATCAAAAAACAATCAAATCAAAAATTTCATGGAAAATGAAAATTCTATTGATCAAATAATCTTCTAATGTATAATTATACTTAAGAGATAAATAATATTATATTATAATATAAAATATTTACATTTTTTATTTATAAAGGTCAAATTGAATGATATATCAGTTTAGATATAATATATCATAGAAAATTTTGGGAAATCAGAAGTTTGAAATTAAATAATTAGACAAAGATATAGGACTGACTCATGAATTACACTATTAGAATCAAATTATAAGCAAATATATCCTAATCTTCTTAATCATCCTTTTTGATTGTAAACACCTATTCCAATTAAACTTTGAATAATTAATACTTCACTAATATTTTTCCACTTTTATTAAATGAATTCAAAAAAGAATAGCAATTAATCGATGCAGAAATTAAGAAAATAACACAATTAATGTATAATGTATAATGTACTTTTTCTTTCATCAATCGAATAAGCCACCCATGTCGACGTCTTCTTCTGGCTCTGGAGCCTTTTCAACTGGCTTTTCTTCAGCCTTTTTAGCTGGTTATGCTTAAGAAGCAACTGGAGCTGCTTTTGATGCTAAATTGTTAATATCTCTTTATTTACATCCTCCTCCTAAGGAAAGTGTTCCAACTTTCTTCAATCCTTCTGCTATGACTTCTTACAATGTCTTTCCTTTAAGAGAATCTACTAAAGTCTTAATTTCAGCATCTGATCCTGTTACACCAACTTCAGCCAATAGTCCCTTAACATCAGCCTCACCTAAGTATTTAATAGATTATCATACTGGGATTAGCTTTTCCGCCTAAAGTCAACAAAGCATATGCAGCAACGTATTACATTGAATTTTTTTTTAAAATTAATTTCAAATCCCATAAAACCTTAATAAACTCTAAATTTCACAAATTCATATGGAAATGAATCTACTCCTTATTAAATTTATGTTTGGATATCCAAATAATGAGTATACTATTAGAGGATAAGGTAGTGAATCAATAAAACAATTACAATAATTAATAGTATTTTAAATGTTTTATTGGAATAAAGAAATTCAATATATATTTAAAAAAGTTCCCTTTTTATTCTAATAAACCCAGAGAAAACAGACACCAGTCAGATATCTACTGACTAGGTTGACTTGATGGAAACTTTTTATAACTATGAGGGGGAGGAATGGAGAAATAATTTAGATGATTTTATTGCTTTCTTAAACATTTTAATTTAAAACCAAGCAGTCTCTTTGATTCTTCTTATGTACAAAGGTTATAATGAAATGATGTTAAATAAAGTATTTCGATAAAAATGAAGAGCGTTTACTTTTTAAATCAATGTACTTTTAATTAAGTATGCAGATCGATGTTTTTTATGTAATGAGAATGTAATTATTTTTGTCATCTTTTTAAAATCTTTGTCTACTAACTAATTATTTTGATCAAAACTTAGTCCTTAGTAAGAACCAGTATTTCAGTTTTATAAACTTGAAGTTTGAGACTTTCTTTTAAATTCTATCCACATTTAGATACCTAAAATTTAACTCCATAGAGGAGTATAAACAAGGAAAGCATTTAGCGCAAATTTCTTGGTTCTAAACTGAGGATTTAGTTTAATTAGATTAATTAGATAAATTAACATTAATTTTATAATTAATGGGAATTTAACACACTTGTTGTATGAGAGAGTGTTCGAACAGAGAATAGAATCCTGATTCTGAAGTGCAGGTGATCTAGAATTAATAGAATTTTAATATAAAACGACAGTTTTCAATTGAAAACTAGACTTTAAAGACAACATAGAAAGGAACAATTTAAATAAGTGAAATGGATAACACATTTGAAATGCTGGAGGAGAATTAATCGAGTAATTTGGAAAACAACCCAGTACCAGCATTTGTCTAAAATAAATAATTTCATTAATCTATGGTTCCAAGGAGAGAAAATCGATTTATGTAAGACATCGAGTGTGAAGTCAGAGAAAGAATTAAGCAAATGTAACTATTTCTATAAAGTTTAGATATATTTAGGATAAATTCGAAGCATTATAATCACATTATTCTGAATTAAATCATTAATAAAATCCATCAAAATCTAATGAGTGTTCCTCCAAAGTTCCTAATTATAATGAATCAAATAGTAACCTAAATTTTCCCTTTAATTCAAGTCTAGGCATTGAAAAATTGTAAAGCACACAATTAGAATGCATCACAGTTCCGCATAAGGAGATGAGAGGAATATTAAAAAGTGATTCGTCTTAAAAGTATTCTTAATCGTTAGATGCAAAAACTGAGAAAGCAATCAGTAATAAAAAAAGGGTTCACTTCTCTTAGGATACTAAATTCAAGACTTAAGATGCAACCCATTTGTTTAAATGGAGAAACTTAAGAAATATATGAGTTATTTATTTTATTCTCAACCGTATAACCATTTATGTATCAAATTAAAACTTAGCAAACATTGTTTTAGGTCAACCAATTGGACCAAATTCATAAGGAGTGATGAATGCAAGTCTACATTGATGGGTTTCTTGAGTTAGTAAAATGCAATTAGATTAAAATATAATAGAATAGATGAAAGTATTGAAAGTTGGGAACTTATTTGGGGGAGTTTTAAGAGAAGATCCAAAAAGGGTAGGAATCCGATTCAGCAAGTGAAATAGAGTATTGAGGGATTGTGGTTGTTTTGGAATAATACAATTTTCTATTTGAATAAGAATTTATCAGTAATATAGAAAGAGTTGATTAATAATGATTTAAGTGATTTCTTGAAATAAATATCTTTAAATAATATTTTAAATGCAATAACAGGAAACAAACTTTGACGAAAATTTATATTCAAGATAAGTGGCTGTGTTGGGAGCCGAGACTTAATCCAAACTGATCTAAATGAAGTGTTTCATTCATGGATTGAGAGGGGTATATAGATTTATTATGGCAAGTTGGGATTAGAGATAGCCAAGAATTTGATATTGGCTGGGCCAAAATCTGTAACCGTATATGATCCAACAGTGTTATCTATAGCTGATTTGGGTTCAAATTTTTATGCCACACTCGAACAAGTAGGAAAGGTCACAAGATAAGATGCAGCAATCAAATAATTGAAAGAATTGAACCCATATGTGAGTGTGGAAATATACAATGGGTAATTGAATGGAGCCAGTTTGAGTGAATATTCAGTCGTGGTTCTGACAGATGTTTGGGATTAGAAATTCATCACCGAAGTAAATGAGGCAGTCAGACAAAAAGGACATGGATTCATTTTGGCTCATTCTTCAGGATTATTTGGATCGACATTCATTGATTTCTCAGATGTATAATATTTGATTATATCTCTAATAGAAATTCTAAATTTTTGATCCAAATGGTGAAGAACCAAAGTAGGCAATTGTGGCTGGAATTACAAATGAAGTGGAAGGAATAGTGAGTACAATAGAAGAAAAGAGACATGGATTTTAGGATGGAGACAGTATCACATTCAGAGAAGTGGTTGGAATGGCAGAAGTGAATGATAAGATCTTTAAGATAAAGGTATGATTATGTATGTGAATATTCAAAGGTGAAATCCCCATTCATGTTCAGCATTGGAGATACAACAGGCTTCTCCTAATATTTGAGAGAGGGCATTGCATTGTAAGTGAAGGTTCCTGAAGATATTGCATTCAAATCATTCAATGCATCATTGAGTCATCCATTTGCACCAGGCAAGAATGAATTAGATTTGATGGATTGGGAAAAGATTGGAAGACCAGAACAATTACACATCTCATACAATGCATTATTATAATTCACATAATAAAATGGCAGATGGCCAGGATTATTGAATTAGGAGGATGCCTAAAAAGTGTGGGAATTAGCATAACAAATCAATAATTCAGACAGAGGAGAAGGAGCTTTAAAAGCAGAATTGGATGAGCAATTGGTAAAGAACACTGCATTGTATTTCTCAACTTAAATAACTCCCTTGACTTCATTCTGGGGTGGTATTGTGGCCTAAGAAATAGTCAAATACACAGGTAAATTCACTCCAATCAGACAATGGTTACACAGTGAATTCTTTGAAGCTTTGCCTGAAACTGAAGTCAACAGAACATTGTTGAATAATCAATATGATGATTATGTTGCAATCTTCGGAAGAGAAGCATTACACTAATTATAAAACTCAAATTTATTTATGGTTGGTGCAGGTGCTTTAGGATGTGAATACATCAAAATGTTTGCACTTATGGGATGTGGCAGTGGTGCTTCAGGTTAAAGTGACTGTTACTGACGGATGATAATATCGAGGTTTCCAATTTGAATAGGTAATTCTTATTTAGAAAAAATAATGTGGGATCTAACAAGGCAGCAACAGCATGCAAAGTAGGTGAATAAATGAATAAAGCATCCAAATTCAAGTCATATGCTCTCAGAGTTGGACAATAAAATGAACCAATCTTCAATGATCAATTTTGGGATGGATTAGATATTGCAATCAATGCAGTTGACAATGTTCATGCTAGAAAATATATTGATAATCAATGTTGCTATTATGGTAAGCCATTATTTGAAAGTGGAACTCTTGGTACTAAATGCAATTCCCAATTGATTCTCCCAAATAAAACACAATCTTACAGTGAATCATAGGATCCACCTGAGGAATCTATTCCTTTATGCACATTGAAGAACTTCCCCTATTAAATTGAGCATACCATCTAATGGGCCAGAGATTACTTTGCAGGATTCTTTGAAGATGGATCTCAAGATTGCATCAAATATCTAGAGAATCCAGAAAATTATCTTAAGAGAATTTTGAATGAACTTAAAACTCAACCAGGAGTGTTAAGACCAAAATTAGAATCAGTCAAGAAATTTACTGAAGTTGCTAAGAAGCCTTCATTACATTCTATTGTAACTTTGACTAAAAATATGTTCTAAGACATTTTCTGCAATTAAATCAAATAGTTACTTTACTGTTTCCCACCTGATCACAGAACATCAGAAGGTTAATTGTTTTGGACCAATCCTAAGAGACCACCAACACCAATTGAATTTGATCAAAATGATCCTCTTCATCAACTATTCATTCATAGTGCTGTTAACATTTTCTCATAGATATTTGGTTTACCCAAACAAGACAAATTCGATGAGATTGCTAAGATCTTGCCAACCGTCTAAGTCTAATAGTATGTCCCAAAATAAATGCAAATAAAAGAAAATGAGAAAGATCAAAAGGAAGAGAAATCTGAAGATGATGAAACACAAATCCAAGCCTTGACTCAAGAATTAGAGAAGTTGACTCTTGAGAATAAGGAAGTTACTAAGCAATTGCAAGAATGTGCATTTGAAAAGGATGATCCAACTAACTGGCATATTGAATTCTTATCTGCAGTCTCCAATTTGAGAGCCAGAAACTACAAGATCCCAGAAGTACAACCATTCCAAGTCAAATTAATTGCAGGCAAGATCATTCCTGCATTGGCCACAACAACAGCTATGATTGTGGGAGCAGTCGGACTCGAAATCTTTAAGTATATTCTCAAAAAGGATGTCACCAAGATGAGAAATGCCTTCATAAATTTGGCATTGCCACTTTTCTTGTTTTCAGAGCCATTGCCACCTGGAGAACATTTAGACTAAGAATACAATGTGCTCTTGTTGGGACCAACTAAAGCCATTCCAGAAAGTATTTATTAGATTTATTCTTAGAATGGACTGCTTGGGACAGAATCACAATTAATTAATAGATGACTCTAGGATAATTCTTAGACTTCTTCAAAGAAAAGTATCAGGTGACTGTGTCTAGCATCACTTTTGATAAATATATCATCTATAACAATTTCCCATAGCCACCATAGGAGAAGTACTTTATTTATCTAATTATTTAAGTTTCGAAAAAGATCTAAGTGTATTGTTTGTTTAAAATGCATTCCAGCAACTTCCTGCTCATAGAATCTATCTAGATTTCGGAGTTAGTGGAGAGTTAACAATCAACGGAGTCGAAGTTAGTGCCGATTTTGCCCCTGTTAAATATCAATATAAAAAATGAGTTATTCAATAAATAATAAAATTAATATTTAACAGACATTTATGAAAAATACATCTGCTAGCAAACAAGCAAACAAAACCAATGCACTCAGGAAATCTGCTGAAAACTTGCCTCCTTTTGCTCCTTCAACTGAAAAAGATAAGGAAACTTCCAAGTTAGCTCATCTTGAAAGTAAAAGCAACAAATATTAGTAGTTAACTTAAACAGAGTATGCTTATAACAAGACGCCTTGATGCCATTGTTGCAAATGATTGAATACATCCCAGCCATTCAAAGAACCGACAGTGTAGTCAAAGGATTGATGAGAAAGATTGAAGAAAATGAATAAAAGATCTTGAAATCAGAAAAACTACTTGAATCTAAAATCAAAAATCCAGATGGAAATCAAGACAAGGACTCCAAGAAACAATAAAAGTAACTCCAAGAACTTTAGGGCAAAGTCAAAGACATGGAATAACAAATGAATAATTTATAGAGGTATTTAGATAGTTAATATCATCAGGTGGTATGAGGCCAAATTAAAAGAAGAAAATCAAGCATTATAAAGAAACCTTGAACACAAAATAGAGAAATCCAAGACTGACACTTAGAAATCAGTTGGATCCGAAAAGAGAATCAGTACTGAGCAATCCAAAACTCATAGCAAATAAGTATCATAAGTTCAACAACCATAAGAGTCTTAATAACAATATTAATATAATGTACTATAAGCTGTCGAATAAATGGTGACAGCATCTTTGAATCAAGTTAGAAATCAAATCCAATCAGAAATAGATGAGTTAAGAGAACATGTTATTGCTTCTAAATAATGATACTTATTATCAAATATATATATATATATTTATATCATTGTGGCTCCTATTTTATTATTCCTGATCCTTCCCCAGGCTTCTTTACATTTTATTGCTATCCTTAGTAGAGTCCCATCAATGGATTAAAATTTGAAAAATTACCCATTCCCATTTATTATTGCATTTGTTATTAGAGGTATTATTGCTGTAATTGATTCAACCCCATTCCTTATCCTAATTGCTAGGGCAAAGCAGATTACATTCCCAATTAAGAATTCAATTGCGAAGCTAACAATTGTTATTATAATTATTAAAAGTTCTAATTTTATCCCATTAATTATTAGGGATTCACTTGTCCTTAAGGTAATCCCAATCCCCCTAAGCTCTACATGTAATTCAACAATTATGATTACATTGGATTACCCATCATGCCTGGCTGAGGAGGGTACTATTATTGACTTAGCTGTTATTACTACTGCATAAGCAGTTATTGGTAGATCTGGTTATATTACATGAATGATTACAAGGCATTCTGATCAATGGGTTATTAAAATTAGTAAGGGAATGCAGGGTTCATATGTTAAGGTGCTCCTTATAACCCTTAGGCAGGTATGTTGATTGGTTGGATTCCAGGAATGTGACTAGGTTTTTGATAGGCTTATTAATGTTGATTAGGTAGTTGTTATGGGAGTTATTGAACTGGTTACAAGGAAGGGGCAGTAAATGAAGATGCTTGTTACCATGCCTACTTTTTATTATTCTATTGTTATTGTTATGGAATTTAAGGGATTTGTGGTGGAACAGGTTTATTGATAACATCATTTGGCTTACTTTTAGGTGGTTATGGCTATTATTATACAGGTTTCTACTATTATTAGTTGAGTGCTTATTGAACTACAATATCATTTAACTATTATTGTTGCAATTATACAGGGATCTACTCAGGAGGATTTACAGGTTTTTTTACTTCTTGTTCTTATTTTTCCATTTTCTATGCAGATGGCTAATTTTAATATTCGTTTAGTTTGACCTTCTTTTATGCTGACTAAGGTTCAGAATCAGAATAATTATCATCTGATTCATTTGAGTCACTTTCACAAAATTTTTAAGTTAATTATTTAAAAATCTTCAACAATTAATCAAAGCATTATTTATAATTCTCTAAGATTTCTGCAGAGTCTCCTAATTTAACAAATTTAGAAGGAATTTAATCTTCCTTCCTAATAATTTCTAAACACCCAGTATTGAGGAAATCAATGGCTTCAGTCACCTTTTTATTCTTATTTTAATCATTGTTTTCCTCTATCAACAAATAAAATTATTTTTCGCCAGATGCTCCCAATTACTTGGTAATAATATCTTTGGTTAATTGACTTTAGAGTTTCTCCATTATAGTCTTGATATTTCCTTCCACAGTGACTGGATTGTAGTAGAGAGAAACACAGGTGGAAAATTTGATGATCAAAAATAGAGGGTGTTTCACCTTATGACGAATATTGGGGGCGGTTAAATAGTTGAACAGACTTTCAAAGTCATTTTCTATTTCTACATCCTGTTCTGTCTTCCTTTTGTTCTCTCTTTTGAAGTACTTTTTGTCGAGCAAATCAAATGTAAATGGTTCCGCATGCAAATACAATTTTTTTTATTCAGAATTACCTGCACTCTTTCTACTATCTACAAAAATTGGAGGAGAAATAGTGGAATTCAATATTTGAGGTTTTTCAGTGTCTGAATTTTGAATGTACACACTCATTAATAAATGAAATTTCACACCTTCATTGTTATACGAGGTTGATGCAAATCTCAAAGCCTATATTGAGTTTAAGCAATTAAATTACTGAAAAATAAGCTTGACCATCAATGAGTTCTAATTTGCTTGTTCCTCGCAATCCAACATCTTGAAGAATCACGCGACTCCCTTCTTGTACCTTTTTAACAGCATATAACTAAGCATATAAATTTTTAGGAGAAAGTAAAAGTTCTTACGTTTATGAATCTTTGATCTATTGATATGAAAAAGTCATTACTTCTAATCTGACCACAATGTTTGGCAAATTCCAGCTCTTGTGCCAATTCCATCCCAATTCCTCAGAATATTTTAATTGTTTCTCAGTGTCAATTACTAAAGTAACGTATGGTTCAGGATAAGCCTTGAGAAAGTCTATAATGTATTTTTACATCTCCTTCAGGATGAGTCAAAACAATTGAAGGCGTTGTTTCTATTTATACTTTATTCGAATTTATGGTAATCTCAAGTGTTTGAGTGGCAGGCACCCAATCCCATTTAGACGATTCTAAATCGATTTAAAATTAACATGTACCTGTGTTTTGGTTAATCATAGTAGGTGATTTAAAAACGATGTTATATTTAGAAAAGATTTTATATAATGATTAAAAATGATTTATTGATTCCTAGATTTGTAATACAGTAATGTGATGATAGTATACAAAGCTTAAATGACGTAAAATCCAAATTTTATACGAATTAACATAAATATTTTATGAACCATAAATATTCAAAAAACAAAGCCCAGCTTGTACTTACTTACAACATTACTAATGTTTCCATCAATCATTGACCACCTCCTGAAGTTAATGAAAATAATACTTGACCAACACCTGTCTATCCCTATCATGGAGACAAGCAGGACTTGGAGAGAAAGTAAATTGGGTTTAACTTCATTCACAAATAGTCATGAGATGATAGGATGCAATCATGAATAAAATAGAAGAGGATTTAAAAATAATCACCATATTCAAATAAAATTTTCATTATTTATTATCAATAATTTATGTGTGATAATTTAAAAATTTTTTCGTATATTCATTAATTTGTAGTTATTTAGCATAATAAGAAAATGTTTAATTAATATATGTTTGATAAAAAGAAATAAGAAAAATATTAGAATTAATCGAATTTTTGTATGAAAAACAAACGAACATTTACCTAAAGTTGTCATCTAATTGAGAAATATTGTAAATGGTAAAAAATGGAATAAAAATGTTATCATCTAATTTGAAATAGGATATAACTAAGATTCTGGATTGACTTTATTTAATAGCAGCTATACATTCTTAATAAATATAACTCCTATATTCTCATTTTAACAGTTTAAATTAAGATCCTCAATCGGATTATCGCAGAAAACAAGCTCTATTTAATTGGAATTAAAGGAGAATGAGTAGGGTTCCAATGGTGATTCAGAATCTGATGAAAATCAAGAGGTAGTTTGAGAGAAACCTAACGAAATAGGAAAGTGAAGCGTTATCTTGTTATCCAAATATTTAGATTCATAATGAAACAGATTCAGTTTGATGAGTAATTATATGGTGAGGGGAATGATTGAGGTCTAAGGATTCTCATTTACGCATTGTTTTTGATTTCAATGAGATTATTTTAATCTAATGTATTCTATAAAGAATTAGAAAATAAAATTGAGATTGTATATGAATAAATTTTATAATTTCTGCAATTTTTATTTATATCATGAAGCAGTATATTAATTAACTTGCAGATAAGCTATAAATTTCAACCTCTGATTCCGTTCTCATTATTTGGAAGGTGTTTATCAACTTTTGCTCTTTTGTTATATACATAGAAATTTCATTAGAATTATTCAATGTGGAAGAATTTCAAAAGGATAACAGGGGAGATATATTTTTTATTTGGAGAATATTCATCCTAGTACATATTAAATATATTTAAGTCCTTATTAATTATCGATATGATAATATCATTATTCATAGAATATATCAGCAACAATGGCATCATCATATAAAAGCCATACAAGAAAGTTAAATACTATTTCAGACACTATTTCGTGTTTGACTTAATCGTGATAGTCTATCTATTTGTCTCTACTTTTCAGCCATTACCATTTTGGGTGGGTTTTTTGGTGTTTTTTAGAATTCCATCCAATCTTTATTCTGACAAGATAACCGAGGAATATCTGATTCAATTTTAGTTTTTATTGTTGTGCTATCGAATTCTCAAGTTGCTGGTTACATTACTCTACATATTTGATATTTTTGCTTGTTCCTTTTACGCTATGGGTTTGTATTCAATTTCAATTTCAGAACCAACATGGTTGGAATACTCAAGCAGTGTGATTGGGAATATCGATAAGATGCATCACTTAACCTAATACATAATCAGCTATTTTTGGGCAGTTGAAACCCTCGTGTCGATGGGCTATGGTGAGATCACTCCCATGAATTAATATGAGATAATCATAGGAGATTTGGCACTAGTTGGATGCATGTTCGTTTGTTTGTATGTCATATCAACGATCCTCTCTTTATAGTCAGACAATTCGTCTTCCCTAGATGAGAGCATGTTATCAATCAAGCAATTTATGATAGCGAAGAAGATATCGAAAAAACTATACAATGAAGTTTCAATATTTTTGTCTTAATTCAGAATAGAATAATCCAAGAGAGATATCGCAGTAGAACAAGTAGTGATTTAGAGATTGCCAAACCAATTGAAATCTAAATTGTATTATGAGGCTAGTCTCAAAATGATGAAAAGAATCTTGTGGATTTCTAATAACTTTTCTAATGAATTTATTGAAGAACTGTCCAGTTTTGTGAGAGAAATCTACCTAAACTCCAATAGTGCAATTTCTGTTATAGACGACGACGATGACCCTAAAATATTTGTGATTGAAAAAGGCAAGGTGACAGTAGAATTCAAGGAAATGGAGATCAATTTACTTTATAGAGGATCCACTTTTGGCAACTATTCATTCTTCAAATAGGAAAAAGAACAATTCATTTCCTACAAAACTAAATCTATAGTGATTCTGCAATATATCAAATTAACAGACTTTTTAAAGACGATTTAAAATCATAAATAGGATCATGAGAAATTCCATTACATATTGGATTAAGTCCTTTTTGAAAAAAGATATTAATTAATTCAATATGGATGTTACATTTGTACATAAACTAATCATTTAACTGAAAATTGTTAAATTATTAGTATTAAAGATTAAGTCTATGAGGAGTTTTAAAAGAATCCACATGGAAGTAATCTGTAAAAAAGAAGAAGATTCGTACGTTAAAATAAGATACACAGTAAATGGATCTTACACAAGCATGCTGTTGAGATTCCACATGAGGCACCCGCTTCATTTGATATTGACAAAAGATATTATAGTAAGTTATTATTTCAGTGGCATCCTTTCGCAATACATCAACAAGAAAGAATGACTGTATTTTTAAAGGACATACTCAATGATAGTCTAAAATAGGAGGATCTCATTGTAATGTCTAATAAAATACCTAAGAGTAAGAAAAAATCAAGTGTATTTTCATCTTCAAATCAATATTTGTTTTATTGGTAATTGTTTATGATGTTTGTAAACGCAGCATTCTTCATTGCAATACCTTAGATAATATTTTTTTGGAATTACTACTAATAGTTTAGTGATTATGGAGCCTTCAAATTTATTAGAATAATAATTATTGTATAAACTGTTATATATATCTTATTAGATCTTATTCATCAGTGATTTCATTGTTCAATTGAATACTAATTTTTATCATGAAGGCATCCTAGTTAAAAACAGATTCAAAATAGCAGAAAAGTATCTAAAGAATGACTTAGTGTTTGATTTCATACCCATACTTGTTCTGTTTTACATTAGTCTATCAGACAAATATGTAATAGTTTATTTGCTTTGTTTGGTTAAACTAATACCATTCTATAGATTTCAAGTATACTTATCTGATAAATTGAAAATAATGCCCTAATTGAGACAATTCTATATGATTTGTGGGATGCTCGTAGAAATCCTTTACATAAATCACTTCTTCGGATGTATGTTTTTTGGAGGGAGTGTTTATATGTACACATATCATCCTAACTCTAAAACATGGGTGAATGATCCCACAATGAATTTTGGTGTTATAATTACTTAAAGTACAACTTCAAAGTATTTCATATAATTATTCTAAGGTACTTGTATTCTACTTACTGGGCGATAGATGCAATAACAAGAATCGGTTATGGTGACATTCTGCCATTGAATGATCTAGAATTCATGATCACCGATTTGACTGTGATAACTGCAGTGGCGATAGTAGCTGTAAATATCTCATTGATCGAAAATATGAGAAAGAATTCTAAACTGTAGAACTATTTCGTGGATAACTTATGGATTCAATAATACCTGAAAAAGAAAAACTGTTCTGATCAATTAAAGATTTAGATCTCCAATTACTTGCGTTATTACCATCGAATTGGACAAGATAGGAACATAGACATAGAACAAGAGTCACTGCAGTTGCTTCCGAGTAACTTGAAGTAGTAATTGATGTTTGAAGCTTATGGGATGATCTTTTATAAGCAACATTGGCTGAAGGATGAGGATGTGTTGTTTGAGTTATCTAATAAAGTAAAGGAGATCTATCTTGGAGACATGGAGAACATCTTTTTGGATAATACACCTGATTAAGGTCAAGCATTGTATTACGTAGAGAGAGGCTATGTTGAATTATTCATTAATACCCAAAATTCCTAAAGAAAAGATGTCACTATTGCTTAATTGAAAAAAGACACCTTCTTCGGACAATACTCTTTTATAACAGGATTACCACGGAAATGTATATATGTTGGATTCATAATATTTTAGCTTCTGCTAGGACGATGCAATTCGCCTCGTTGATTTATATTCAAAGGAAAGATTTTCATGAGGTTTTAGAATTGAATAAGAAATTTCATCATTAATTCTAGGCTCTAAGAGACAGTATTATTTATGAAAATTAATTTCAGCTTATTGGTTTGTAATGTTTTACTTGTTATGGAATTGATCATTTAAGTATTGATTGTCCCTTAACTTCTATCAAAAAGTAAGTGATGCTCAAATTTTATCATACCATTAGAGAGAAGAGTTAATCAGAACTCAATCTAAGGAAGTTATATAAGTAGAATATCAAATAGGAGAGGAGGTTTAAGAAGAGAAAGAAAGAGCAGAAATCAACAACAATAAGAACACATGACTTTGAATTCTTTTTTGATTATACGATTCCGAGAACCACAATCAATTATGTGATTGATAAGGATTTACATTTGATTTGATTAATAATTATGTGTAATTTTTAAGAACATCTATCGATTATATTCGGATAATTTATATTACTTGGTTAAAATTAAGAAATATTGATGATCAATAATTTAAACTCAAAGCTATTCAACTGGGATTTTCGCATACTCTAAAGCCTCAATAATCCATACGGGTATTTATCCTTCATTTTTAAACCATTTCTTAAGAAATTCATTGATAAACTCAATTAATTTGCCATCAATTATGGATTGACGCAAATTGAGCATCAATTGTATTAAATAGTTTAGATTATGAACAGAAATGAGATGACAAGCAACCTCTTCCCTTGCAATCAGATAATGTATATATGATTAGGTATAAGATTTGCAGGCTTAGCATTAACACCCCTTCTAAATTGGTTCAAACACATTTGCTGCTTCTTTGTTTTTTAGTTTGAGAAATCCATTATCTGTAAACGCAGTACCAAATCTAGCTGTTCTAGTAGAAAAAACACAATCAAACATATCAACACCTAAGCATGAACAAACCACAACGTCGACTGGATATCCAACACCCATCAAATAGCGAGGCTTATTCACAGGCAATGTAGCTGTGCATTACGCCACCGTTTTCCAAAAGTCAACCTTTGATATACAATTAATTTATATACTTTATCTTCTCCTCCTGCCAATCCTCCAATTGCATATCCATTGGCTTCCCTCTAAATTAAATCATTCAATGACTGCTCCCTTAATTTTGGATCTATACCTCCTTATACAATAGGAAACAAGTTTTAGTCATGCTTTCTTTTATGAGCTGCAATGTCTCTATCCAACCATCTGGTTGTTCTTTCACTTGCCTCTTGCATACGAGGACCAACAGTTGTAGTTCTAACAACATCATCCAAAGCCATAATTATATCTGCTCCTATTTAATTTTATGTGTGGATTGAATCTTCTGGTCTTAAATGCATTGTTGATTTATCATATGGTGATTCAAAGGTGACTCCTTCTTCAGTGACTTCACTGAGTTGAGACAATGAAACCATCTAAAATCCACCACTATCTGTTAAAATGTTATGCTTCCAATTAACAAAATTGTGCAATCCTCCAACCTTCTCCAATAAATTACCTCCAGGCTTATATGCCAAATGATAAGTATTTGCTAACAGTAATTTGCATCCCAAGTCGTCCATCTCAGAATAGGTCACTCCCTTCATTGCTCCTTTTGTTCCTACAGGCATATACACTGGGGTAAGCACTTCTCCATGAGGAAGTCTCATAATTGAAGCCCTAGAATTCTTGAATTATTCAATACCTGGCGAAATTGTGGGTTGCTAATACTGTAAACTCAAGTGGTGTTTCATTCGTTTTGACCTTTTTATGAGGTTAATTTTCGATATCTCCTAATTCTTACATAATTTATTAAATTAAATGATAAATCAGATTAAAAATATTAGAGAAAAATATGTTTTAAGTGGAAAAAATTGGAAAGTAAACTGAAGTATAAAATATTATAAATAATGTTAATCTAGAGACCTAGTTTTTGAATAAATCAAGTTTATTGAATTATAATTTTTAACAGTAGCTTTTATTCTCTAAATCAAATTTGTCGTTCACTAATTGAATGTTTGATAATCTCTTCTTAATTTTCCAATTGTAATTCCTCTCCATATCTTCAGTTAAAAAGAATGTGACATATGGGTCTCCTTTGGACAAATACCTAACGTTTGGGAATCGTATACAAAGATCAGCTTCATACACCTTAAGTTGTATTCTTTATCCAACCACACCTTCAATGTAAGTATCTGGAATCAAAATGAACTTAACTTTCAGAGATTCTAAATTAGGATTTCCCTTTTTATTAGGATCCTTAAAAGGTAGATTTTAAAGCATCACAGATACTGTTCGCTGCTGCACTTAGATTGTACATTTAATTGATTGCCAATTCTCCAAGGTGTGATACATATTCATTCCATTATACATCCAAATATCCAATCAAATCATCATTCAAGATGTTGAAATCCTTTACTAATACTTCTAAAAGGATCTTCCTAGTTTCCTTCTTTACTATAAATTAATTCCTAACTATTAATTGAAGATGGAATTTAAAAAAGAAGATATTGTCTCAGTCTTTAAATCCATGCCTCATGGAAAATTAACAATATCATATGGATCTGAGTTCTCCGTCATCAAACAATTTAATACTAGTGGCATATTGAATATTTTCTTTCTCCGATAGAATGTTACTACCTTTCCTAGCTATCCAATTGATATCAATTTTTGATCCTTTCATTTTTCCTTTGTTTTCACTTAAAACTAACCTACCTACCAATAAGGTCCTGTGTGCTTTTAAATAATTCCCAAAGTTTGGAATTATCAGTGCTGTGGCCACTTCCTTAAGAGGCAACCCATCAAACCCCTTCCTTTAGAATTTCAATATTACCCCTTTATTTGCTGATCTGAAATTTCATTTGGCCCTCCTGATTTATTTTCAAGAGCATTATTATAATTTATATTATAAATTAATTAATTTGATTATATTTTTGATTCTTACTCTTTTTATTTTAAATTTTGTCTTTTCTTCAAGGTGAAATATTAACAGTCTTTTCTTAAAGGTGACACTTTTTTAGTGCCTCACCTCAGACTTTTACAATAATTGGATTGCTACTGAAACCATAATTAATTTAATTTTTATTAATACAATAAATACTTTGTTCAATCCAAATGTATTTATTAATTTGCTCATGATATCATCATCAAATTAAGTATTTTAATTCTTTTGAAATAATATATCAATGTTGGGGAGTGTCTTAATAATCTGCCTTATTGTACTTTTAGTAGGAATAAGAGTCAGAATTTATTTTAGAGGCAAAAAGTGTGAAGCTTATAGGGATATATCAAATATGACTATCTTAATCACTGGGGGGAGCAAAGGACTTGGATAAGAGACAATCAAACAACTGGCAAAGTTCAATTGTAGAATAATATTTGGTTGTAGAAGCAACCCAAATGAATTCTTAGAACAATTACTGGAATCCTTCCCCTAATCCAAAATCTAATATTTTCCTTTGGATCTGTAGAGTTGGAATTCAATCAAGCAATTTGCTGCAAGAGTGAAACAAGAAGTAGATAGAATTGATGTAGTTATAAATAATGCTGGAATAATGGGAACATTGAAAAGAGAATTCACTCAATATGGCATTGAAGCTTAATTTGGAACCAATTACTTGGGTCCCTTCTTCTTGAATCATTTGTTGGTAATAAATAGAATACGATAAATTTAGCTCGATCTTCTGAAAAAGTCAAATTCACCAAGAATAATCAATGTCTCTTCGATAGCTCATGTATTTTAAAACCTTGATTTTGATGACTTGAATTGTGACAGGTGGGCAAACAGCTTGTTTTGGAGTAGAATATACACCTATAGAGCCTATGGGAACACAAAATTTGCATAGATACTGAATGCTTAAGAATATTCTGAGAGAACTGGTGTGAAGGCATGTGCCTTACATCCAGGAGTAGTGAGAACTGAGGTGCTGCAACATTAATTGTCTGCCTGGTGGTTCAATTTGATTATGTCGATTGCTTGGCCTATTTATAGTTTTTTCACAAAAGACAGTTATTACGGATGTCAAACTATTTTATTTTGTTTAATGATTAAAGACGAAGAGTTAGTTGATGGGGGATTCTATAAGGATTGCAAATTGGCAAAGGCTAGATTCACAAGCAGAGAGAAGGCCAAAATGTTGTGGGATGTGAGTTTGTAATTGATATCTAAGATTGATAATTTATATTGATATATATTATATATTTAAATATAATGAAGAGCACAAACAAAAAACTGTCAGCGTAGGATGGAAAATTGATATACGAAGGAGACATTATAACAGATGATAAATCCAAGTAGGTCTTGTATGATGGTCCAGGATATCTATTTAATAATGAAACGAAGTGTTTTTTCAAAGGGACATGGAAAAGGGGAGAGAAGGTGTGCGGAATAGAGACTTTCCCAAATGGAGATGTTTATGAGGGTTAATATAAAGATGGAACGTTTCATGGTAGAGGTTTGCTGTATAATAATGTTCAACTCTACTCGGACAAGAAAAGTTAATACTTGTATGATGGATAATTTGAGTAGGGACAAAAACATGGCTATGGTAAGGAATGTTACATCACAGGGGGATGTTATGAAGGGTAATTCAAATACAACTAAAAGCATGGACATGGCAAATTGGCCTTTTCTGATGGATCTAATTATGTAGGCGATTTTTAAAGAGGTATAAAGTATGTGCTTATCAAACCTAGGATTGCCAAATGGATTCGGAGTTTAGATAGCCTATTCGAAGGAAAGAATAGTGGCCACCTTCCCTCCTCCATATGATAACGAAAAGAGAAGGGAACTATAAAAGACTGAGGAAGTTCAAGAGGATGAAGCAGAAAAACAAAAATCAGAATTCTTGTATGAAGGTGATTTTGTAGACGGATATAAACATGGGATAGGTAGACTTTACTACCCCAATGGTTCCTACCTCTATGCTTATTGGGAATACAATAAACCTGCTCGCGATTTCATAGAGTATATTGCTGAAGGGCATAAGTGGAGAATCCTAAATGTCAAATAGTTATAGACTGAATAGAGTATTAATTTCTTTAAGATCATACGGGAATTTAAATCTGAATGGCAGGAGAAGTATCCCATAAAAGGCAACAGTTACCCTCCAGCTGAATTAGATGGCTATAAGAGTCTCATCGACGAAAAAGGGTTAAAACGAGAGAATTTCGAGGATCCAGAATTCGATTTCTCTGAGCAGTCCTTTAACATCAAGGATGAAAATGACTAGCCCATTGGAGCACCCATTGAATTTGAGAGGATATTCGCATCAAAATACTTTAAGAAGAAGGAATATAAACTCTTCACTAAAGAGATCGAACCTGGCTATCTGAAATATTAAGAATAGTATTGTTGCTAACAATTAACAGTTGTCTTAAATGCACTTACATTCCACTCATACTTGTTTGCTAAAGTATTTTCTAGAAAATATGAAGCTGAGTAAATATAATAATTTATAAATAGAATTGGATTTTACTTCATTAAACTCTTCTTGAAGAACGAGTGGAAGGAATATATTATCGATGATAGAATCCCTGTATTCAGAGCGGATAAAATGCCCATTTTCTCTAATTCTGAGGATTAGGAATTAGCGTGGGTCATTCTATTTAAGGCATTTGCAAAATACAATTAAGGTTTCCAATATTTTTCGAATGATAAATTAATGAGAGCAGTTGAATATTTAACCTTGCTTACAGGGATGCCAACTGTACAGTTAACAGTCCCTAATGTCTTTGGTGATAATCAAGAATACTCTGAATAAGTATTTGTTAATTCATATGTTCAAGTAAAAAAAAATCTGGAGAACCATGTCTTAGAAATATCAAAGTACCAAAGTCAGAATATGCTATCTCTACAAAGACATAGAAGATCGATTAAAGTTACCCAAAAATACAGCTTATCAAATTGTGGACATGCAAGAGACCTCTTAAGGCAAGCGAGATGAATCCTATTACCTACTTATACTGGCATCAAATTAAAAGTTAGCTCTCAAATAAGACATTACCAATTAATTTTCCCTGGCTAGATAGAAATTGTAGGAACGTAATCCTCAAGCCAGAGGCAATGATTATTACTTCTATATGGAATATAAAGATTTCATCAAGCATTTTCAATACGTTGTAATGCTTTGTGCCACCAGATATCCGATATAAAATTAATAATTGATAGAGCCAGAAGAAAAAGATAAGCATAATCATGAACTAAGATTCTTTTGCAAATTTAAAACTAATTTAGCTCAAGATTGCTTGATATGTATTACTCAGGACCATTAAGAAAAATAGGATGAGTATACTCTTTAAGAAAGTAAAGTTATTATGTCGATTATGCTTTAGAAGCATTTCCTGTGAGAATTGTGCTAGCAAAGGAAAAGGACATGTTTACAAATAAGAATTAAGTGAAGAAGAAGATCGTAACAAGATGGTCGGAGCAAGTCAATCGTTCAAAATCAGAAAAGGAAAAGGATAAAAAAGAGGAAACTAACAAAGCTGACATGAAATATGCTTCCATATTTGAATAAAACTCTGAAAAAAAATAAATTAAACCATACAAATATTGTTTTGGAAGAGGTTAATCTACAGATAAGATGCTGTTTAAGGATGCCTCTCTGGAAAGCGGCGATTACGTATTGTTTGTGTAGGTCGAAACAGGGGATAGTAAAGAATAATTCGACTTAAAGAAGATGAAGTTTTGGGTGACAATTCACAGTCAGAAACTCATACAGATTCAAAGACTTGATCAATAGATTCAGGGATTCCAAAAGGCAGTGTATGAGAGTGCTATAGCAATCGCAGATAAGCATTCCCAGGATTCTCAAAAAATCAAATATTTCCATAAGGGAGATCTGAGTGAGTAGGAGAATGGCAGTAGTGATCTTGTTATTACGCAATATTTCATTAAGAAGGAAGGAACTTATTTGCAGCATTTGAATAATAGAAGCACAAATAAAATTTGGAGATAGAAGTTGTATTTCAAGTTGGATAACATGCAAATTATTGATCATAGAGAATCTCAAAAATTGGACATTTGTTTATCCAAGAAACAGACAGCTCTGATTGTAATCTAATAGGTGGGGGCTAAGAAATATAATTTGGAAGGAGGAGAGGGAATTTGCATTGTGGACTTATTGAATGACCAGAATGTAGAGGAGGAGCAGGAAGTGAAGAACCAAGATGCAGGTAGTCTTCATGAGGATACTTAGCCAAACTTTCAATAGACTTCGTCGAAGCCCAGATTTGGAAGTCTACTTTTTAAAAAGTGATGGTGAATAAATATATTACATTTTTATACAAAAGTTTTAAAATAAAATTTAAAGAATTAGTTTAGCGCTAAATTTTAGAATTAATTTAAATTTCGAAATTTGACATAAAACACCTTTGGAATGGACCTATTTCCTTCAAGGAATCTTTTTTCAAACCCCAGTTCGCCTTAAACGTTTGAACCAAACCCATGTAAGAAGTTATTTGTGAATCCTCCATTTACCCCTGAGTTTGGAAATTAGATTAAACAACCAATTAAACTATAAGTAACAGATGGGATTGGGATTAACTAAAAAAATTAATTAGCAATGAAAATTTAATAATAGAAATCAATAGCATTTTAATACAATTAGATGGGTTCGCCAAGCACTCCTAAACGTAGGGAGAAAAAATTAGAACAATCGACTGGAGAGAAGAGTAAACAAAACCAACTAAATAGGATGAATAATAAGAAGAAGGTAATTCGAAATTTGAATAAACAATTTGAGGGAGAAACGGGGGTTCCAAAAAGCAGATACCACGAGGAATACATTTAAGTTGATGTATTGGGAAGTGGTTATTTTGGATAAGTCTATAAATGTAAAAATAGATTTACAAATTAAATTTGTGCAATTAAATGCACAAAAATCAAATAAAACAAATTAAATATAGATTTGGCCAATGAATCTCAAGCTTTGGCTTATTTAAATGCTAAAGGAGCTTGTAAGAATCTCGTTAGATACTTTACTTCATGGCAAGAGGGAAACATGCTCTACTTATTAATGGAGTATTGCGATTACAGTGTGAGTTCCAGATAGGACTATGAGGAATTCGAGATTAAAAAGATACTTAAAGACATAACCAATGGATTGATTTTCTTGCATGAGCAACAAATATCACATCTTGATATCAAACCAGAGAATATTCTGTATAGTAGGAAGGATGGTCAATATAAGTTGGCAGATTTGGGTTTGTCAAAGAAAATACAACAACGTTAGGAAGACGTGAGTGTTGGTGATTTTAGATACATCGCAAAGGAATTGTTGAATCAGACTGACAAGTTGGATCTCTGCAAAACTGATATATTCTCTTTGGGTGCCACTCTATATTAATTAATGACGAGAAAGCAATTACCTTCAAATGGAGAGGAATGGCGTCGTATCAGAGAGGGCATCCAAATAACAGATTTCCCTGAAAATATGTATTCTCTTAGGTTGAGGAAGTTAATTTGTAGAATGATGGATCCTGATCCGTTCTCGAGAGTTAGTGCTAAGGAAATCTTGGAAGATGAATATATATATGTCAAGAAAGAGAATTATATCAAATGGGAAAAAATACGTGGTTTGATGCTTAGAAGACAGTTGGATGAATGTTTAATTAAGCAAAGATAACACAGTATTTGATGGGATGTTCCATTATTTGATATTTTTGTAAAATTTTGTTTTATAAATTTTTGTAATTTTTATGAAAACTCATACGAAATCATAATTATATTAAGAAGAAAACATCCCAATCAAAATTTAGCAGTAGGAACAAATCCAAGCTCCAGAATAGAAACAAGAAAACAATAGGATAACAGCCTCAATACCAGTTTATGAGAAAACTAGACTCCCTGAATCCCGAATCTATATGAATAAGAGCAAAATTCCATAGTTTTAAGAAGTTTAAATTCATTGGTCACAACGAGCTCCGTATCAATAAATAGTAGCTTAATAAATTGTTTCTGAAGTCCGCTAATCAGCTGTGGAGCAAATAAATAACTAATAAATTGCATAGCCTATAAGTAGACCATATTAACCTGGATCTGGCTTTCCAACTCGCTAAAATTTGCCATAGATTCCCAAGATGAAGCACTCATAGTATCTATAATGCAAATGGTGTAATTAAGAAGTACATTCCCAAGTTGAATATAGAATCGGACTTTCATAATTATTGCTTTGTCTCCTTTTGTCACCTGCTTTTGGGATTGGTATTATTTTTGTATGTTGTAACGTAAGAATTAATATATTTGCATAGACGTATAAAGACTGTTATCACTTCTGCACTAATTGTTGGTGCGAAATAGGAATAGTAAAATTGATTGATTTTAATTCTTGATATTAAATTTATAATATTTATTATGTTGGCTCCTTAATACATATTAACTAAGTTTCAGGAATTCTTGGAAATATAATTAGAGAACAAACCAAACAAAAATGAAGTAATAAAGAAATTAAGAGACTTTAATAGATATTTTGCTGGGAACAATTACAATATTGGCAAAGGGTTTGAATATTTTTAGAACAATCAAAACAACTTGCAATAACTAGTGCCAATACCAAAGATAATCATTGATAAGCTTCAAATACCAGAAAGTACAATGCAATTAACTGGATAAGGATTGCAGGGTTTGTATAATGCAATAATGATCGGATTACTAAACAAGAAGGGATAATTTATTGCTGATGGAACACCTTATTCATAGTTGAATTAATTGATTAAAACCAATTCAATCAACCAGAGTATGGGATTGTGGTGTTTTACAGAAATTGCAACCATTCTATTGAAAAATAGCATAAATCTTAATTTGAGTAACCATCTGCTTGAAAATGGAATATAAGTTAGCGATTAGGTGGATGTAAGAAATTTGTCTATTGGACAGAGTGCACTTTTAGTTGATAATCTTAAATATGTTATAAATGTTGATATACAATAAATACTTTATTACAAACCGAATAAAACGCTACATAGATTGGTGTTACTGAATTCTAGTCTTCCTAATAGTATCAAGATAATGATAGAAAATGATATATACTAAAATGTACTGTTGTTTTCTTTATTCTAAGAGGAGTAGAATAATCAAAGAAGTCAATAACAAAACCCCCAACAACAATTCAGTTCAGTGTAGAATAATAAGTCAATATCTCTTCAATAATAGGTTAAATTTCTTTTGGAAGAGATGAATCAATAGACAGATATACTTATAGAATAAAACAAATTGAAGACGCTACCTGAATTTAAAGCCTAACAATATGTTAAGTAAATGAAGAACCAAATAATATCTGAGGAAAAGAAGAAGAAGTGTCTTAAATGCTAATAGGAGTTTAGTAGTGATATTGGAGGCATAGCAGGTTAAATTACGAACTTTTGTATGAAATGTTATAAAGAGTTTTCAATTTGAAATATTTTAATAGGCTATATTATTTGTATTTTATGGTTATTTTAAGTAATTTGATTAATAAATACAATTAACTTTATTGTAATTAATTGGGAATTTTAGTGTATGGACATCGATTAAGAGAAAGAATTTAACGAAGAAAATAATGAAATAATAGAAGAAGACATCAATTAAATCTAGAATGAGGTGCAAGATATCCAATTCTAATAAGTGAATGAGAATTAGGAGAGTGTATTAGAAATAAATAAACATTTAGAATAAAAAGGGAGAGATAAGAAGAGTGCCAGTGCCTCCTCATAGAGTAACTCCATTGAAAAACAATTGGGACAAGATATTGACAACGATAGTGGTATTTGTTTAAATGAAATGCAAAGGAAAACATGAAGTTGTAAATAAGAATGAACACAAAAAAGAAGTGTGTTGAAATAAAGACATCTCAATTCACTGAAGACAAGACTTCATTGCAAAGAGGAGTCGATTTTTTGAAGGCATTCATGATGGGTAATGAATTTAATAATTCTTAGGATTTGATATCGATGATTCAGTGGCTTTGTTGAGATTAGATGATTTGTATGTGGAATCATTTGAAGTTAAAGATGGTACTACGTGATGTAATGTTATTAGTTAAGACCTTACATGGTGATCATTTGTCAAGATGTATTGGACGTATTTCTGGTGAAAAAGGCAAGACTAAGTTTGCAATTGAAAATGCTACGAGAACAAGAATAGTTTTAGCAGATTAAAGAATACATATACTAGGGAGTTATTCTAATATCAAAGCTGCCAGAGATGCAATTTGTGCTTTGATTTTGGGAAGTCCTCCTGGAAAGGTCTATTCTTAATTGAAGTCTCTCTGTAGAAAATATGTAGAGAAAAGTTGAATTATATTCGTTTATCATAATCATGATTATTATTTATACATTTTATCGCAAATGGAGGAATCTGGTATAGTGTTTGGTTGGACAGTGTGTCTTTACCAAAATTTGGATTCGTCCTTCTTTTCCCAGAAGTGATTGATAGGTGCACTTGATTCAGGGCCAACTTTGCCATTCATACAGAAGGAAAGCCAAACGAGCAAATCAGGAGTAGTATCGATTTCAGCCGACAGAGTATGAGGCATCTCATGAATGTGTGGATAAGGGTTCTTCTTTGAATAAATTGAGACTTTGGGTTACGCTTTCTAAAACTCCTCTATTTCTGATTATAGTTCTGCTTGTAATTTGGCCACTAGAGATAACCCCTTATTGTTTACGACTTCAATAATATCAGAATTGATGGGGATATGTCGAACAAAGAAGAGGTAAGTGAATTGTATTATCTTCTCTAGAGTGATAACTCTCGAAACTTGACTTTGGCTTTTGGGATGAGAAGTGAATTTCATGAAGGAGCATTCCGAAAAGAAAAAGCCAACACTACATTGTTGATTCTTGTCTAAAAGTACATTGGCACCCAATTCCAAATTCAACTTAGGATTCTGATGCCAAAGTAGAACCTTCATCTCCTATTGATCAGTGAGTGATTTCACTAGTGGGACGTGGAAGATATTCTATTTGAAAGGCTTTAGATGATCAGACTAAATATAAATTTATTGTTAGTACAATTAAGCAATTGAACATATAGCCATCCTATCTAATAACAAGATTGAAAGTTTGTCTTTTGTCTTTCATCTAAACATTGTAGATGCTAATCATTCCTGTAGAATTGGTTTGAGCTATTCGAATGGGATAATATAAATTTTGATTCAACTCCTAACATTTATCCACATCTTGGTACATAGTGACAGTTGCTCCAACAAGTGGTTCAAATGTTTCAGCATCACTTACTATTATAGTGACTGTTGTGTACTATCCTAAACTTTCCTCTTCTCCTGTGTCACCAAGATCCTTATGATTTCTTTTTTGATGAGAAAGTCTAGGCAATTTAACAGTTCTGATTATATCAAACTCTTCCTCTTAATATTGAATCATTTATTCAAAAATAATTTCCTTTTCCTTTGTTGAAAACTTGACAGTCGCTTCCTTATCTGGAGGATGACATACATACACTTTAGAATTCAGCAATTGATTTATAGGTCCTTCCAAACCTTCAAAACACAGTTTGTCAGCAGCTTCTTCACCATGTAATGCCTATTAAAGGACATATGGATCATACGCATGACTTCCAAAGATTGCTATTTCTTAATCTTGAAATGTAGGTAGCAACTAGAATATTCCATTTTATGATTCTAAACAACCATAAAATCCCATTCTAGAACATTTAGCTTAACCTGCACATGCATTATGATCAAAATGGACTTTGAATGCTTTATTGTGTTGATCTCTCACTTCCTAACATTAAGGAATTGAGGATAATGGGGTTAGATGAGTGAAATATTTAGGTTCTAAATTGATTTAATCCTTATAATTAAATTCTGGCATTTTAATTGGCACTTTCTGATTGTATTTGATAGACAAGTATATTCCAAGAATTATTGAAAATAATGCCAGAACTATCTATACAATATATTAGGTCTATGAATAGACTGATGGTCCTGCCTTTATTACATTTGGTTCTTGCAGAGCTATATCAAAACAATGACCTGCTGCTATGAATCCTAAGAATGCAGTCAAAATTGAATAGAAAAAATATTACTTATAAAATAGAGTTCTTTCTTCACTTACTAAATAACAACAAGACAAATTCATACAAGCTAGTTGATTCCTTTTTTCAGAATTCGGTTTGTCCACTTCATTTTCCCATACTATACCAACCTCATCTTATTAACAATACATGTCAAAGTAATTGCTGCCTTATATATTCACTGTCTTGTATTTTGCTGGACATCCGATAGAATCTATGTAGGTTTAGGAGAAGGTCTGTATTGTTGATTTGCAATCCTTCTTCAATTCTTATATTGACTGACTTGAAGCATACAAGAAATTTAAGGAGTTCGATATTAAAAATACACTAGCCACCATGATCAAAAGGAATGGTAAGAAATAGAATTTCACTTTTGGGAATACTTCTTATTGTATTGATCTTTGTTCAAACAACGTGAATAAAGAAAATATTAAACCAATCAAACAAGTCCAAAATATTGAAGTGTGAGCTCCCTTTGCTTTCTCCATACTTTCTTAATCCACTATCCCACCTAACTTGGATGGCAAATAATTGGTGTCACCTATCGTTATACAACACATAAAGATGAATCTTATAATCAACAATAATTGTACATTGTCAAAAACCAACCCAATAAGGATGGCAAATTCATTGGTTAAAATTCTAGATGGTATGATACTTTAGCATAATAGGCCAGAAGAACCAGATCCACTAAAATTAGTATCAATTGGGACAACACAATAATAAATGCCTCTTTTTGAGCTGTATTCACTGGAACTCCTTGAGCTGCCATCAAAGCCCATGAGTATCCTTCGTTTTCTAAAATGCCAAAGAAGCAACTTGCATATAATGCGATTAAAATGAAACTAATTACGTAGATCAAGCCTTCAATATGCCAAGCTTACAGAGGCATTTATTCATCATTCTTATCCTACAAATTTAAATTTTCACACTATACTTTCTTATAAAAATTGTATCCCTTGTGACTCCAATACAAAACCACCAAGCTGATCAGGAGAAAAAAGATACTCGTGATTCCCAATATCAATTATGGTTTATTCAAAGAAAAGAGTGTAAACGGTATTATTATTTGCCAAATTGACACTAAAGTAGCACCTGCAGAGGCCCAGGATAACATATCAAAATGATAAATCTATTCATTTAATATCTGCATTTGTTTACTTTATCCTACTTGGTGAGCTGAATCCCTTTCTAAATGATCGGAGCTTCCTCCTGTTGTTTTGATAAATTCATTTTATATATAATTCAAATAATAAAAGTTAATTTTTCAAACAATCTCATTTTTATTCATATTTAACTTTGATAATAATGCAATCATCTCAACACTTCCGATTCCATTTTGAAAACAACCCTTTAATACATTTCCTTCATAAATTGATAAATAAATGTTTGATGTAAATATAATTTTTATTAAATTTTGTAATTAACAGTTAATTTTTTTAATGGATTAGATTTGGAAAATCACCATAACCCATTTAAAAGAACCTTAAAAAACCAGACAACTTAGAAATACTCACTTTGCTAGACAATTGCACATGTAATTATTCTACTAAAAATTAGTAATTTTCAAGGATGATAGGATAGCATTAAGAAACATGGTTAAAGAAGGTAATCAAGATGTCATTGCAATATTGAATCACTATAAAAAGGGCAATAATCTAAAAGACTTGTCAACTGATTTAAGGAAATACCTTAGAAGAAAGGGAGACAAAGAAAACGATAAGGTTCTCACTTGTCAATCTCCTACATCCAACAGAATGTAAAAAGTCTAACAATTGCAACTTCAACCTTTACAAAACAGTTAAAAGAAATCTTGTCCTGATTTATGGAAACCAGTTGAATAGCAATCTCCAAAAACAATTAACTTAGGTAAAATTAATTAATTTGTCAATGATGTCCAGTTTTCAGAAATTGTACTTTCAGATAGAAATCAAAATGAATCTAAAGACATTGAATAAACCTATTTCTAAACTAATGTCTCTTAATAATATGCATTTCATCAACCAGCCCATAATTAACTAGACCATTCCTAAACAATTCAATAGAGCAGTTAATTATAAAACTAGTTCACAACATTAATTATAGGATTAAGAAATTGATATCAATCAAGACGATGACATCCAATCTGAATCTTCAAACGAAAGCATTTTAAATTAGATCACCTAGCCTCCTCCTCAAATCTAAGACATTACTCCGAAAAATGAAGTCAAACCATCCCAATTATTTCAAAGTGGCCATTCCACCTATATACAAATTAACACCGCCTAATCTTATCTTTAGCCTCTATTATCCATCTAAGATAAAACAACAAATCCCCATAAATCACAAGAAACTGAAAATAAAATTATCGTTAATGATTCTCAAAAATACTACAGTTTTTACAATTATTAAGATTATTAAAAAGCAGCTCAACCATAATACAAGCATTTATTCACTCATTGGCCATCCCTACTACATAAATTAGATCAGCCTGAATACGTTTCAAGTTGTAGAGTTGTTCCATATATTAATGCCACTCCAGAACAAATATTTACCGTTCTCTTTCCGAATTCAAGCAGAGTCAAAATTAGTTATTATGCTTTTGAGAACTAGTTAAAACACAACTTATTATAAATTGATAGAGACTCTCTGTTCAAGGAATTAGATAAAGATCAAGACGATTGGATAAATTACAGCGAAACTGGTGTTATTCTAGAAGGTTTGTGTTTATAAGTAGAATAACCAAAGAATTGCGTGAAGGTCATTTTCGAAACTTTGAAATCCACATCGACTACTCCAAACACTTTAAGTCTTTCAGATCTTGAACAATTTGAATAAAAAACTGATTTTCAGTTCGCAAGATAGTATATATTATTTATTAATAATCAAGATTAATGCAAGAGGTAGATGGTAATCAAAAAGGGTATCTAACTTATTGGGATTTATATATGCATCGTGACATATTTCTAATGGAAAGATTATGCTAAATAGTTTCATCAATTACAGGGGCCACTCATACACATTATTGACTTTTAAATTATTATTATTAATATTTATAATTTGATGGATTATTGGACACTCAGTGGAGGTGTAGCTTGCAGAAATGGGTGGTCTTGTCGTGCCTGCAAATAAAATATTTACAAGGGACAAGAGATCTTAGTAAGAGAGGGCAGAAAGTTGAGGTTCCATTTTCATAAAGGCTGTTTTCAAGGAAATGGAGATCCAAGAACACAAAATGAATCTTCCTACTTTAATTAATAAAGATATGGTAAAATATCTGAAAAAGCACCTGAAGTAAAAGGGTATGGTAAATGGAGTGTTGGTAGTTATGGCTATTAACCAAGCTTTAAATGATAATATTAGTTTATTAGATATTCATTTTAAATAACTTGGAACTTGTAGGTGTTTCCCTTCGATACTTGGTTCTATTCTTCTTTTTTAATAATTCTACATCTTAACTCCCTAATCCTTGACTATTGTGTAATTTTTTAATTGCAATTTTTATTTTTCCTTAAATAATTCCTAATAAAACTAAAGTGGACTAGTAGGTAAAAACCCAAAGCCTAAACCTTATTACATTTGTTATTGTTCTGAATAAATTGTTTTATTTTAAGTCTTCAATTTGGATGCCTAATACAGAGTTAGATTTTGATTATTAATAAATTAATTAGGAATGTTAAATTATTGTTTTTTATTGTTTTAGCTAAGACTTCTTCGTTTTGTGACTGAAGTAGCCCTTGAATCTACTTCATCTCTCAATATTACTAAGACATCTTATTAAATGGAGTTTTGATCATTATCCTTAAATTGAACATTCAGACTTGTTTTGTGCCGAGATGATTGATAATCTGAATCAACTTGAATTCCCTTGTCCACATAATTTATTTCTTGTATCATAAGATGATCTCTCTTTCTTACCTTCTCAACCTATTTCTGAAATCCGCTCGAAGTTGTATCTAATAATTATTATTAACTCTTTTTTTCCCTTTTAGCTGCGAAACTTTCAATTTATCTATCTCTCTTTTAACTAATCTTAGGCGTATTGATCTATTGAAACTAATTTTGAACTCTATTCGATTTTGGAGATTAATTTGTGTGATTTGATGTTTTTTGAGTTCCTTTAATTTGGAATTTGTTTTCAATATAGGAATTATTTAATTGATCTTTTGGACTGATAGCTTAATCTGTGATTTAAAATTAAATGAGAGGAACATCAGGGGACTATAATCGATATGATTATAAGTTAGCATCCTCATTCAACTCCTATGACATTGCATATCTAATCTAAATTAACAATAGAATAATACATCAAAAAACTCAGTAATTGTTTCAGCTTCTCTCTTTGGATTACTTTGATGAATTAATTATGATGAAATTGCTAATTAAAAAAATGTTATCAAACTAGACTGAACTTCTGGATCTTCACTCTGCAAAAACTCTAAACTTATCCCGCTTTTTAAAATTGATAGCAAATTCAGTTTTGATGGATACCCTAATCTTTATAATATTGAACAAAAAGGCTTTGATATTAATTTTATAGTAGATTCACAATTTTAGAGTTCCTACTTAAGGACTTGGATTGTTTATGACAACATTTATATTGTATTCTTATGCTTCTGTACTTCTAGTTATTGCTATTTGCATTTTTATTCAAAAATATTCTTTTCTTGTTCCACTTTTATTATATTATATTGAGCTTACTAATAATTTTAAATCAATTTTTCATAATCTTTTATTGTAAATTCATCATTGACCTATTTTAAAAATCGATTGATTCTTATTTTTAATTCATACAAACTATCTTCATCCTATTCTTATTCAAAAAGCTGATAGAACTAAGAAAAATTAACCCATCTTGCAAAAGCACACCTTAGAGTGATTTTTCTTATTAATTAAGGATCTGCCAATTCTTTTTATTGCATTTTCAGTTTCCTATCAAATTCTTAACTCAGATTATGTTGTTGTTCCTTCAGTTTCTACTCTATCTATTCATTAAATTATTCCTGAATTTTTATTGTGTTCTCCTCATTAGATAACTGAAGTTCCTCAATAATCTATTCTTTATTCTATAGGTCTTATTTTAAAGTGGATATAATTTGGATATTATCATCGATCATAATTTTTAATTATTCCTCGTATAATTATTTTTATCTGCAAAACATCCTACCTCCAGCTGAATTTTTAGAAATAAGTTCATCAATCTCTCTATAATTGATTCCATAACCTCCTATTTAAGTTTCAAACACTTAAAAAATTATCTTGTTACCAACCTAATCTTATATTTGTTTCCAAATCTTATATGGATCCTTTTCTATCAGAAACAGCATTTTAATAATGGAATGCAGGGTATTATTTTATAATAAAACTTAAATAGTTCGCTTATGAGATTCACACTCAGTGCTTAATGCAGTTAATTCAATTTTATATCTTTAAACTGTCTATTAGCATTGTTTCTATAGCTATTGAAATTTCTCCTGAATGTAATTCTATAATTCAGGTTCCAATGCCTATTTGATATCAAAGTAATTAACCTCATAAAATTCAGTTCCTGGATTTTCCAGTTACCTCAAAAACTTCAATAAGAGGAAATATTTACCATTGATTTGAGATGTTAAATATCTTTTAAATAGTTTGTGGTCATCTGTAAAATTTACTCATCCCTCTTAGTAACTTTGAGGTTGGTTTCATAGAGTAACTGCTGCAGAGTATTTAACTGAGCTAGATCATTTTCATTATTTGGAATGCCACTTGTTTTATCTTCTAGGGAAAGAGTCTTATGTATTTTAGGTTTAGGTTTGATAATGGAATCAAATTCATCACTTGAACTTTATTCTCCTGATTAAAAACCTTCGTTCATAAATATGTTCTTAAAGTGGTTCTTATGTTAGATTGAATTCAAATATTATTGAATGTTGAACATAGTTTTATCGATTTCTGTAAGTGTAAAATATTATTCAATATCGTACTCTATTGGAATATGAAATATGTAATGAATACAATCTTTTACAAACCTTGCAATATTGGTTTCTAAAATACCCTATTGTTAATTTCAATTCCATACATTCTTCAGAGAACTTTGCTCTAACTGCTATCTCAGACTATTACAAAGTTTTTCAATGAATTTCAACATTTAATTGTTTATATATTAAAAAGTAAATGGAAACAGTACTTTAAGAGAGTATACTTGCATTAACTTTTAATCACGAGAGAAGCAGCATTATCTACTTGGCTCAACCGAGTTTCTAAGGAGAAAACCCAATAAATGAATTGATTGAATTGGATTTGCACAATCAGACTGTATTGGAGAGGTAGATAATAATAATTGATCTTAGATATATTATCTCAAAGTAATTACCAAATCAACCTCCATTCATGCTTATCACTTCAAGAAGGAAAGGGTATTTAATTTTGGCATTTCAACCTTCCTTAATGGAAATATGGTAATTGGGAAATAGTGCACAAGGATTCAATCAATCAATATGGTCAGGTGAGACCAAGGGAAGAGGTATATACGAAATTTAACATGCTGATGTTAGCAATCTGGATGTAAGTTTTGCATTTTACTACTTAAAAAGGGCATTCTCTTCTTCAGTGCTATTGATTAGCGAAATATTTATTGCGCCAATATTGACGACACAATCAAATCAAATGGACCGGAATTAATTTTAAGTAAATTAAGATTGCCTGAACGAGTTAACGTCAATGATCTAAAATGCCATCCTACTGATTATAAAATATGTAGTGCATGTTCTGATGGATTATTGAGAGTGTGGAATCAAACTACTTACACTTAATTAAAAAGCATACAAGATGAAAATAATATTATTATATCGCTTTCCTTCTAGTAGGATGGTTAAAAGTTGTTATGTGGGTGTGATAATGGAAAGGTAATATTGATTGTTCTTAATAAAATAGATTTTATGCTACGATGCAAAAACCTTAGGAGATAGAAATATATTGTTAGCCATCTACTAATTAGAGTAGAGCCACAATAATGGCATATTGTGTTTACATTGGGTTAATTACAATGGAGCCATTAATTGTAATTAATTTTTGGCTTATCTCTACGATGGAAATATCAAATTATTGAATATCAAATTACTTGTACCTTAAGATATGATCAGAGATTAGAAGGTATCCAAATCAAAAAAGCAAGAACTCTTTGGCAGCATTAAAGAAATTTAAAATCTATTAGCGGTTAAAAATGATCTAAAATACAATGCCTAGAGACAGTTACCAAATGTTGGATTATCTAAATTCATATAAATCCATCCTTATGCCAATTTTATCAGTCTTAATACCATAAAAACATTGCCAGATTAAACTCTTCAAAGCTAGATATTCTATTAATACAAAACTTAGATCATTCTGCTTAATGATAATACTAATCTATTGGCTGAGTATCCAGTGTGTTCACAACAGTATTAATATTCCTTTAAAGAACTTTTCCCAGATGAAAAAAATAGAATACTAACTCAAAGATATCTCTATTACATTGATTAACACACTATGGAAATCAAATAGTATTGTTTAGCCAAAGGAATTTTGAAATCTATTGCTAATTTGAGATAGATGATATTAGTAGAAAACCCTATCTTCCACTAATTGAGTGTGAGACCTAACTCTCTGAATTTCGCTCCTAGAACTCAGTTTCTTTTAAGTTATAAGATAGAAACAACCTATAGATGTTGTACTGTTATGTCTAATAATGGAGTATTGTCAGATAATCTAAAGGAATATCCTGCTCGATTTTCGATGTTTCTAGGTTAAGAATGTTGGGCTAATCCTCCATTATTTTTGTTGTATGATGATAGGTCAAGTTATAGTATAATATTTGAGGACACTCTACCTCAAGAGGAAGACATGTTAAAATTATTGAATAAACAAGATAAGGACAAATTACAAAATTAAATGAAATAGTCATTAAACCTAAAAGTGTAACGAATGTTTTGGACACCTTTGAGATCAGGCTTTGTAGTAATTTATCAACCAATGAATGAGAACATCTTAAAATTTAGTCGAAACAGAAATTCAGATAATAACCTCTTAGATCTATTAATGTAAAGTGGTTCTGAAATGAGCTTCAAATTTGGAAGTGATGAATAAGTAACAGACCTAGTTTGGCAGAAGGATCAGAATATTGGAGCTGTGGTTACAATCCATAATGTTTACATAGTTGATGATAGTTTGAATACTCTCAAATTAATTTCGCTCCAACCACAAGTTAATAAAAAGTAAATTAATATGATAAAATAGAAATCGAATACTACTAACTTATTGGATGGCCTAGACTTTAATTCTGTAAACAAAATTTCATATTCTATATGTGTTGCTCAATGGAACTTGTGCTTCAATATAATCAATTGATAATTATGAGGAAAAGAATGTGCTTTCTGCTTTGTTGTGGGATAGGATGATTTTATTATGTTAAAGGTAACTGAAAATTGTATGAATAGTCATTCCAAAAAATAAAATAATATTGAAATCAAAACTAAATGGATCAATATCCTATAGCCTATTCTTCAAGGATATATACACAATAAACGATTCTTTAATTAAGAGGTTGATGAATCTATTGTTACTAAATTGTTATTGACTTTTGCAAATCCAAATATTGATTATTCACTTATTAAAGACTTAGAATAGTAAAAATAACACATTATCATAAAGATTCATCTCATGCGCAAAATATATTATTTAACTGGATGATTGCAATTAATTTACTAAGCATCAAAAAGCTAAATTTTTCATGAATACCTTGGATCATGAGAACTTAAATGAAATATTATTTGGTAGTGGAGGAATCATTAATAATGATGACTTGTAATAGCAATTAATCAAAAAAATTAAAGACAGAAGATTCGAATACTTGCAAATCCTTCTGGAATAAGCAAAATAATTCTATCTAATGACGTTTTAATATAGGATTTCTGCCGAAATTGATGCCATCCTTAACAAACAGCCTAATTTCATTATATAAATCTTAAAAAGGTAGAAGTAGATTGATAAAATTGATTAATATTTGACTAAGGAATATAAAACTCATGATGAAGCCATTTAATTGGCACATAAAGTCTAAAATCAAGGGAACATGTTCTTTCGGGATAATATCAAGCAATTAATAGAGTTTTTGACTCGCTAATAGCAATAGATTAATGATAACTAAGATATGCAAAATATGACACCTTCTTATTACTTTACTGATTATTTACTGGATAAGTTAAATTAGTTATAAAATATGAAATCTTTACAAAGCAAAGTTGAATTCGGAAAGGATAAATTCAATTTAACCTATGATGATATAAGAAATGATGAAGACGAAGAGGAATCAGTTGTTGATAATAAAGTTATCAGAATGTTTGATAGATTGACTTACGATTCTATTGGATTCTTTTTAGGCTTAGGTGGACAACCTCAATCTTAACAAGTAAATAACATCTTTGATGGCAAAAATGATGATGATAAGTAGAAATAAGATTAATAATATGATTTCAATGATAACAGCACTAAAGAGTTTTAAGAACTACTTATATATTGGAGAATAGATGAAGGAAAGGGCAGTAAAATAGGAGATTATGGCAATTATAATTGTGTTGGAGATATTTATGTAAATAAAGAAATTAGTTCAGAAACTGAGCATTTGTGGGAGAAGTTAGAAGAAAGTGATCCTATGGATTATTAAGATCTTTGGGGAAATGTGTGTAATGCATAGTAGGGCTTTGAATTAGGTCCTTAAGCAGGAATTCAAACAAGAAAAAAGAATTATTGGAAAAAGAACAAGCTCTCAGATTTTACAATTGAGATGTGGATCAAACCCTTACAGCCATCTGGGCAGATATTATAAGTTGATCAAAATTTTATACTGAATATTAATGAATTGAATATTGAAGTTATCATTGATGGTTAAATTGTGTAATTCAACATAGATGAAAATGATGAATATAACCCAATAAATCAACCATAAATTAGGGATAATTTTTGGAATCACATTTGCTTATCATACGAATAGTCAGCAAGTGTGTTGTATTTATATATTGCAGCCAAATATTAATTTAGTTGTCAAGAACTTGAAATTTCTAATGAACTCTTTAAGAACAAAAATTTAATTTTGGGTCAAAGTACATAAGAGCCGAACATAAAATTTCCTATTATGAAGTGTATGATAACAGAATTTAGATTTTGGAAATAAAAATTTCAACTCAAAGAGGTCCGTGATGGTTATAGATAACCTCTACCTATTGTTAACGAAAAACAAAAAGAAATTAAAATAGATATTAAATAAGAATCGAAACCTAAACCTTCTGCTGGATTAAATGCTTTTCAAGGATTGAAATTAGATTTCGCACTAGAACCTATTTAGGAGAAGCCAATCAAAGAAGTTTTACAAGAAGATGATGGATAAAATATTTAACAAATAGAACAACCCAACTCTGACTTTGGTTGGTTTGGAGGATAGTAACCGAATTAAACTTAAAATCCTAATAATTTTGAATTTGATAGCAATTTTAACGCATTTGCTTAAGCGGCAGTTCCATAGGTTTAGTAAGGAGAGTGGGGAAGTGACTTTAACGAATTTGCAAATTTTGATTAAACCTAATCTAAATCTGCAAATAATGCTTTGAATAATGATTTTTCTTCTATCTCTAATGAAACTCCATAACTCCAATAAGCAGAGCCACAGCAGAAAATTAAAGAAGAAACAAAACCATAATTATAATAAAAATAGAAATAAGAGCAATCCACTGTTGAATAATAATAATAATAATAAATTGCTCAATAAACCAATAAATAATAATAAATTCCTCAAAAAAATTCGATTCAAGAAATTTAACAAATCGTTGATCAAGCTGTAAAACAATTTGGATAAAAATAAACCAAAGAAGGAGTTGAGAATCTAACTAAGGCCTTTCAAAAGTTGAATGAATATTTGCAGGGGAATAAAGAAAAACTTTAAAGAGTATAAAATTAATCTGATAATTTAGATATAAAAATTTATCGTCCATTGTGCTTAATATAGATTTGCTTTTTAGTTGCTTATTGGAATAAATCAAATGCGTGAGAAAGGTAATTCAAAGAAAGAGATCTATATGCATTTGATCTTGATACATTAAAATATTATTCCAAGTCACAAACTTCATTGGATTATTTAATCAATATTTCTTTGCATTGAATATGAAAATATTGCCCTTGCAGAAACATTACTCATTTAATTGAAGTAGAGCTTAGATAAAGTTAAATTGACAGAGGAAGATGATTAATTACTTAAGGAGTGTGAATAAAAACTGGCCAAAATACAAGACAAAAAGAATTCTGGATTATATAAATTGTCTTGTCCAAATTGTAAAAGCCACTTTCCTTTTAAAGGGGTAAAGAAATGCAACAAATGTAATAAAGACTTTTTAATTTGCCAATTTAAATTGCTTTGCATATCTAAGGTTGATTGCCTGAGATGTAAAGCTTGCGAATCTATTTTCAGCTAAGAATCATGTTAAGTTGGCTAAAAGTGCCCATATTGCGATATCGATATATTGAATATAGCTGGTGCTTGATTTTGGTTTTTTTATTAATTATATAATAATGCCTCTTATAATTTAAATTAATTTAATAAATATTAGTTAAGAGAAATCAAATTTAATATTAATGGATAATAAATTGAGAAGTGTGGTTTAATTTGCTCTCTACACTCTATTATTTTCAGTTCAGAATACTATGGATTTTGGTTAAAGAATAGAATATTCCCTATATGTATAAATTTGAATTTGATTAGGCCATTTATTTAGTAAGTTGTTTATTCTCATATTATTATCTATCAAAGTTCATTAAAACATATTGTAAAAAATCTAATTAAATGTATTAATATATTTAAAGCATGAAGATAAACATTAACCAAGGTACTGTTAATGACTTTAATGTTAAATTGTTTACCATTAGAAAATTTATTAGGTGACAAATATCAATAAGTATATCGAGAATTAACCGAATTAATAAATCAAACAATTTTATTTTACACATGGTTAGTTATGTTTGAGCAAAATTTAAAAAAAGAAAATGTAGATTAATAAGCTATCAAGCCGATTTCAGTATTTAAAGTTCTCTTTTGTTTTGGTTACCCAATTAATTCAGCCTTAGAGATCATAAATAGAATAGTAAATCAATTTCAAACTATTTTTTAGATATTCTAAAAGGAAAGAGAATATCAAGTACTTTTGGGACTGGAATTAATTTATGGAATAGTATTTCTTGTCTAATATGGCCTCTATATAAAGTAGTATTAAATTAGAAATGTGAAGACTAGTGTCAATTATAAATAGCATGATCCCTTTGATGATGAATTGGCAGACACAATTTAAAATGAAAATGATAATGAAACTGTGATATACGACTATTTCAGATTTTCTGTTATTGCATGCTTAGGTCTTATTATAAACACTATAGTCAAAGTTTATTAGTATGAACGCTCAAGTATGAGTTTTATAAAATAAACCGGAATCATTGTAGTTTATGCAATATTCATTTCAAATTTGATAAAAATTGCTGAAGAAAAATAAATAGAACACAAAACCTTTTTGGAGTTGAGTAACAGACAAACTAGAAGCGATGATCCCTTATAGGTTTGATATTTTTTGCATTATTATATAAATTAATAAAATATGAACGTTTAATAAACTAAAACATCCTCACTTAAGGACTTTTAAGTAATTTAAGAGTTGGGGAAGGGATCATTTAGCACAGTATATAAGGTATTTTTGAATATTTAAAATCCAGGTTAAAAGAATAGCAGATGGTTAGGAATATGCATTAAAGAAAGTGAAATTAGGATCCTTAAAATACAAAGAAAAAGAGAATGCGCTAAATGAAGTCAGACTGTTGGCTTCGATTAATAGCAAGTACATCGTAGCCTATAAAGTAACATAAATAATGATGAAATAGGAAGCCTTTTTCGATGATGAATGTAAATGCTTATGTACTGTAATGGAACTTTTATCTGGAGGTGATGTCTATCGCAGAATCACTTAAGCTCAAAAGGGAGGACCACAATTTTCAGAATAGGATATATGGATAGCCTTGATTCATATGATCTTGGGGTAAGAATTTGTAGTTAAATAAGATTGAAAACTCTTCATGATTAGAAGATAGTGCATAGAGATTTAAAATCAGCAAATGTTTTCCTTTCTAGTGATGGAACTTTCAAATTGGGAGATCTAAATGTGTCAAAAGTAGCTAAATAGGGATTTGTTTATACTTAAACTGGAACACCATATTATGCTAGTCCAGAGGTGTGGAGAGATGAACCTTACGATTTGAAAAGTGATATATGGTATAGAAATTTTTTCATATTTAAGGTCATTAGGCTGTGTTCTTTATGAAATGTGTTGTTTGCAAACTCCATTCAGAGCGAAAGAAATGGATGTTCTTTTTTAAAAGGTTTAAAAAGGGCTATATGATTAAATACCAGCCAAATATTCTAAAGATCTTGCTTAAATTATCTCTTTACTATTGAAAACGTAATCTTCATAAAGACCTAATTGTGAAGAATTATTAAAAAATCCCATCATTCAAAATAGAATGAGGGATATTGAAACTCATATCAATCCTTAGCCATAAAATTAGGAACTGTTAAAAACTATATAAATCCCAAGGACTACTGATTAATTAAATTCTCAATTTCCTAAATCGAAATATGAAAACGAGATTATGAGCATTGAAAGAAACATAGAGAATAAATCTACAGAAAACTCATCTAGTCCTTTCAGATCTCCATAATAAATCATTAAAACATAATAAGATTCGAGATTAAGTTAAGTTAAAGATAGATAAATCACTGATATAACCAAGAGCATAGCTTATTTGGAGAGAAAAAACAAGCATCCTTTGTTAATTGAAGGACCTAGGCCATCTGCATCGAGAAAATTGGAAAAACCGAAATCTGCCTAACCTCAATAGCGTTACAACAATTATGATAAAGAATCTTAATTAGGAGATTCGTATGTTAGGAATTCATAAATTAATAAAATCAAAGAATTTGAAAATCTAAGAATCAAAAGGGAAAATGAACTGAAGGCTATTTAAGAATTAAGAAAATAAGAAATCCAAGATTCTAAAATTAGAGAACTAAGAAACTTAAAATAAATTAGAGATGCCTCCAAAGAATTAATTGCTGAAAATAGAAGAATATCTCCAATTTCCTAAGCAAAATAAAATGGATAATATGGAGAGTATTAACACTAATATGGAATTTAAAAGCACTCCTACTCTCCCATAACTAGAAAAGTCGAACTACCTTAATATAATAACAAGTATGTAGATTAATTAGTTTTTGTAGTAATAGAGTAGTATAAAGTCAAATATAATGTAGACCTTAAATAAGTTAATCAATTAATATCAGCAATCCAAGTCAATAGATTCGACAACCAATACTTTATCAAGAAGCTATTACAAGCAAGAGATAATAAGTTCCATAATCTGCAGCGCCCGTCTCTTAAATTTATTCATCAAACTAATAATAACTACCAAAATCCGATAGATATCAACACCCCTAATCGGCATTGCCAGCAAGGGTATAGTCACAGAAGCTAGAAAGATCATAAGTATTTCCAGTTTAAGCAAGAGTTGTCAAAACAAAACCGAATGATTCTAATGCAATTAATAAAAATTAATCAACAACGAAATAGACAAGGCCTTTATCTTCAAATTTAATTTCTAATGAAAGACTTTCAAAATAGGAATACTAGCCTTAAAGTAATTAAATTCATGTAAACTACAACCATTATTACCCAATCGAAACCTATTAGAGGCATGCATCAGATTAAAATTTAATTAAATATTAGTATATAACATTACTCTATAATTTAGGTAAAGATAATAAAACAGATAACTAAAATAAAATTTAGAGAGCAGAAAAATATGATAATTTTTATTGTATAAATATTTTTTCTTAATTTGATTGTTCTATAATTATTAAAGGAAATTTGGAAATTTTAAACAAATTAACTTTCATTAATATAATAATTATTGATCAAATATATTCTGGTCTTAGGAAATTGATGTTAGTGCTTTAGATACTGCTTATAAATAATATCCATTTAAGCTTAATAATCCAGTGAAAAAGTTAAATTATTTGATCAGTGGAGTATATTCTGTATCATAATCTAGATCTTAAGTAAATAAAGCATATGTTGTCTTACTATAAGGGAATGGATTATACACTTCTTAAAATTAGGCTATACTTAAAACACACTTTGTATCTTTTGGGTAAGCAGAAGAGCCACCTTTAACCTTAAAAAATATTGAAATTTCTTACTCCCACGTGTTTGTATGTTTTAACAAGGAATGGATTCTTCATTGATACATACCCAATTAGAGGATAGAAAATATCATAAAATTTAGTATTGAACGTTTCCTATTTATTGAGTTTATCTAATAAATTGACATAAGCTGAAGTGGATGCTTTTGTAAAGTATTATGCTTATATGCCTAGTATTTCTCCATCAAGCACTTCTTTTCCTCTATCTAATAAGTCTTATGCTTATTGACCTCCTTGCTCTAAAATTTAATGAATTTTATTTGTCTCTTCTAAGACATATTCAGGAGGAAATGAGGAAATTTATTTTATGTAGTCTTCCCTTTCCTTATTATCATAATTTAAAAACACTAAAAAGAATGATGATAAGTAAAATGATGGAGTTTGCTCTAGTTACAATGATGAGATAGTTTATTGGATAGACTCCATAGTTAAGAGTGCTTACAAGTATTCTGTATTACAATTAGAGCTCAGAGCTATCATACCATTCGCTATTTCGATCAATTAGATCTTACCATCTTAAATCTTACCCATTTTATCCCAAAGATCCAAAAACTAAGCATGAGATGTATCAACATCTTTCAAGTAGTATTTATTAACATCATCTAGTGATACCCATTTTTCAGGATCAATTATACCACTTGCAGATTATCTTGAAAATTCTATTGCTACCGTAATTTTGAACACACTCATTAAATCTTATTGTCTATTTCCTTGATAATTGAGAATCTCAACATCATCTGTTTTTATTGATAAGGAAGTTCGACTTGGATTTTATTTTAGGAACTCAACAAATGTTGGTTACACGAATTCATTTAATAAGAAAACTTTAAATTTTGTTTCTTAATATTCCCATTCAATTGATCCAACTGCCAAATTCTTTTGGAATCCAAGGATGAAGATTGGATGCTAAGGAACTGGAGAAGAGTATGACCAGTATTCAATTCGTCCTGTTTTACCTTTTTTAGCTACAAGAATTTCTTCAAATTATTTTAAAGTTAATGCCTTCTAGATTTCATCATCCAATTATTGATATATAAGTGCAAAATTATCTATTGTTAATACATTGAATACATACCACCATTATAAGCTTATTTTATGACGTCAAATACAGCTAAGTTTGCTTCATCTGTTGGAACGAATTCGCATCGAACAAAAACCAATAAAATAAAACTAAGGAAGATAGCAGATCCTTTTGTCATTGATATATATTATTTAATTTATTCTATATATTTTTTAGACAATAAAAGGAATAAATTATAGAAAAATATACATAATTTCTTGTTGTGCATAAATCATTATATTTTTTCTTTATATACACATTTAACCCATAAATTAAATTAATTCGTCAATTATGATCCCTCTTAGTGTATAAAATCAATCAAGCTTCCTTTACATATTAGATATCCTGTTTCTTTTTTACTAATTTCGAGGAGATGGAGACAGAATACTACTTAAAATCAAATACAGCAACTTCTTAACAATTATTTTTTGGAAATTCATCATTCTATATAAAGAAAATGTATTTTGGAGAATAAATGAAATCCTTATCATTTATTAAATTATTTCGATCCTATATGTAGTTATTAAACATGAAGCTTTATTAATGGAAATAGCTGCTTCATTTCTTAATACATTCCATATTTTTGATAAAAAAATATATAAATGATTTATATTTAGATAATCGTTATTAACACTATTAATATAATGCTTGATGTCAATTATTTACCATTTAATTTTTAGTCTAAATTTAAGCTTTTATATTTGATCTTTTGAAAAAATTGTGGCATTATTTTAATATATGAAATAATATATTTTAAATAAAAATTATCAAAATTAAAATATAAGATCATATACCTTAGTATTTAAGAGTATAATCCATAATCGGAAATATTTATATATATCATATAAATTTTATATTATCCTTTGCAAAACTATTTTTGGTCTTAAAAATAATCAATTATCTTCTCTTCATTTTCCGTAAAGAAACTTAGAATCAATTATATTGTTTTAATTTAAAGATTACTTCTCCAATTAACCTCAGGTTTACTAAGAGGCTTTAATTAACATTCTTTTAAGAATTTAAACTATCAGTAAAAAATAAACTATTTATTGATTTGATATAAATAAAATAGATAATTTAGCAATTCAATCAAAATATTCAATTTTTATATATTTTATTATCTCTTCCGAAGAATTAAATTAAAAATTTTCATATTCCTCTCCTCCATAATGTTTAGAGACGATGATATAAAATTAACTTAGCAACGATAAGGAATTCTAGATAATTTCTGTAATGTAAATCTAAATAAATGTTAAATTCTACTTATATCTAATCAAAAGTGCTTTTTTCTAGATAGTTATTCAGCTTAAGATTTATCTCCTAAATGAAATCAATTATGTTTTCATAAAATAGCGAATAAGACCTTTTAATTTAACTTTGCGATATTAGTAAATTGAAATCCTTTTCTGCTTATCCTAATTTCTATTCATCCTTTTCTATCAATTATAATTAGAATGATTACCTTCTACTAATTTATGCTATAAATATTAATAATTTCTAATGTATTAAATTAAAGTTTTCGCAACTATAAAAGTCATGTCTTTAACAAATTAAAAGAGCATCAAATTCTTTTGATTCATAAGATTATTCTTCCAATCAACTTCATATTAATTTATTTTAGGCATCCCTTTATAGACAAATTAAAAGAAATTAGTAATGTAAGTCCATAATTTTTCAGGTGATGTTAATTCAACCCACTAAATTTCTGGCCTTAATTATCCTGTAATTAATTAAAGTAAAACTGCCTTTGTTTCACTAAAATCAAGTTCACTTTCTTTTACTATATAGTCTCCACCTTATTATGCCAAACCATCACATAAATAGATGATATTCTTTAAGTAAAAAATGTAACTATCAAATTTTACCTAAGATACCACAATTAAATACGTCAAATTGTTCTGCTACTAGCTTCAATTGAGAATTGATTTCTCTAAGCGTTTCTCCAGCTAATTATCTAAAAATAACTTAATCTACTGATCTTTGCATTTTAGTTATGAGATCTAAACCGAATATCACTGCGGGATAAAGATCACTTCTTTAAATCTCGTATCCTTTTGGAATTGGTTAAGTTTTTAAGAATTTATGAATTGTTAATTTTTACTTTTGTCTTATGTAATCTTTTGGAGAATATTAATATATTTTCTATTGAATTTGAACCTATGATGATTATATTGATTTGTGAATAATATCTAAATTAATTTTCTCTAAAAATAAGTTTGTAAAAATATTTAAGTAATTCTAAAAGCATTCTACAATTTATGATTGATCCTAGAATATAAATAGATTAAATACTTTTCCTTATGAGATTATTTGAAATATTGGGAATAAATAATCTTTTTCATCTAATGAGTTCTCTTTTATTTTCTAAAATACTTTTGCAGTGTGATTTTTCAATTATTATAATGATTCACTAATCATGACTAATTAATCTAAATTATAGATTTTCTACAAAAACATTCTTACTGTTTAATAATAGTTATCAAGTATTCTTGATAAATGTTATTTATCGTTCTCCTTAACGATTCTTAAATTTAATCTGAAAAATATTCTTGAATAAAATGCTTCAATTACAGTAGTTTCAAATATTATCCCACATAATGCTTCAAATAAAAGTATTTCTTATTATTTCTATAGGTGCTATTTACTAACTAATTTTTATTAAATTAGACTTTGATTAATTTTATAGAGAATCTAACCTGTTTAATTGAGATTATTGGATTATTTATTAATTAATTCATTTATTTATTGATGTAAATTTAATCTATTGTAAAAGTTGTACTATAAAAAGACATCATTATACAAAGAATAAAGGTCCTAATCCCCTTAAATTTGAGACTCGATGTAAAGAAAAAGATCTTTCATTTATTCTGTTATGCTGAATTTCAAAAATTCATCTTCGTACTAATAATTGTTTTTCTGTTAAACATCCTTCAATTTCAATTAAGGGATCAATTATGGGAAAATGATCTATAAAAATTATAGTTTTAATGGGTTTGGTTAAAGGATATCATTCTCCTCCTCATTAAATTCAGAATAACCAAAGAACCTTGGAGGATAAAACACACAAACTAAGTCTTTCAATTGGGAAAACTTTTAATTGATAAATTACGATTCTTTATTTAAAAGTTTCATTAAGGAGCTTTTGCAAGTACCTAATAACCTTTTCTTCAATTATTAATATTGTATGATGCATTTGTCGCTCTGGTAGTAATTAGGTTTTGAGGAAAAGAAAATTATGCCTTCTTGAATTTCACTAATTAATACTTAATAATTAATTTCCTTTCTATCATCACTCTCTAAGTCCCTTGAAATTTTCTAAATATTGTAGTAATATTGTATGTTTTCTTGTATTTGAAATTGATATTCTAATAATTCTTTTTATTTATTTATATGAATATTGGCTTCTTGATGAAATTAACTAATTTTCTATACAATCTTGTCTTTGTCATCATTCAATTTCTTCAACTAATCACATATTATCTCTAAATTCTTTGTTATGCTTTAAAGGGAGGATAATTTCTATTAATATTAACCTTATATTATTTCTAATCGAAAAAAGTCGTCATTTTTCTTGTCGTGTTTCTTATAAAATTTAAAATTAGTGGGTTTATCTTTCTCTAAAGATGCCTTTTGCTGCAAATTTTCTATTTAATCAATAATAGCTTATTCTTGAAGAGTTAAAGCATTGCTTTATTCCCACTATACAATATTGATTTACATATATAATTTAAGAATATTTTATATATATATTCTCAATAAACTATTGAAAATTAGAACAATATTGAACCAGTGGTTGAGGATGCATAAGAAAAACAAGAAATAAGTAAAACTTTAATTTCAACAAGGATTCTACTATACACTATTATATAGAATATTAATTTATTAGATATTTTAATATATTGATTCACTTTGTTCATTATGATAACTTTTATTAGACAGATCTTGGAGTAGTAAGAGTTTTAAATGATATAGGTTTGGATTGCATTTTTGATTTGATATTATTGCTTATCTAATGGCAAGTCTTTGCTCCAATGTTCCTAGTTGATAGTAAGTTGTTATTAAACTTTCTTATACATAATAATTGAAAACTTACCTTGATGAGCTATCATGAAAAGTTTGGGTCTTGCCTACTTTGCAATTGGACTTAGGTGTCATCTTGGATGTACATTAAGTTTTTACATTTCTGGGGGATTTGAAAAAGTTTTCTTTTTTATCTTCCCCAAAATGTACACTTTTTATTTCTCTAGACGGATCTTTATTCTATATTTATGTTCTTTTCTTTAATTGGAGCTTTTCATTTACTCTTTTGTGTACTTCATTAATTTATACAAATTACATTATTCTAAAATTTGCTGATGTTTTAGTTTTGGTTTTGGCAGATCCAATTAACCACATTAATCTGGGTGAATGATTTTTAACTGTCTTTTTTAGGAGGTTATTAATAATTTAATATTTTTGATTTTATCATTTGTAAGAAGTTATGATAATTTGAACTCTTTTATTATATTATTATTATCTTATTATCTTTCAGTCTTTAATTTTTCAATTTTTAAAAGTTATTGGTGAATATTATTGTTGTTATTTATTTTACGACCTATTTTATCTTAATCAAGCTTTGAATAAGAGGGCGTATTTTGTAATTCATCAAGTACGTTTCCAACGATGATTCCACTTTCAATGGTGTGAGAAGGGGGAGTGCTTTCGGTTTAGATTGGCTCATCACCGACTATGCCTTTTGGAGGTTTTTCTGGATTATTTTTGTTTTCCTCATCTATTATCTTCTGAATTTTGTAATATTCGAGTTTTCTTTTTTAATTGTAATATTCATTCAAGATATTTACAATAGAACTGGAGACAGCCCATCTCGGTAAATCATTATGAAACTTGAACTTTTTATTAAATTTTTACTTTGTAAAATTCTGTTAAGACTTCCATTTTATTGTCTAAACAATGTGGTTAATATATTTTTTTCATGTATTCAACATCCTCATCCAAAAGGGCTAAGTCCTAATTTTAATATTATAGATATTTACTTTGAACACGATATTTGGTTTTGTTGGTTGGTCCAATATGATTTCATTGATATCCTTGGTAAAGTAGTAATTTTGCGATTCAGCATATTTATTATAAAGTGAATTAGTGATCCTTTCTGGTAAGGATACTTTCTTGATAATTAATTTAATTTCAGTCTACCTTTAAACTGCATTTCTTCAAAGTTATTGCCATATAAAGTCTTCCGAATCGGCTAACAGAAAAGACATTTCATTTAATTAAAAATATATTAATAATAATTAAAAGTAAAATAATATATCTTCATTTTCTCAACGCAATGCTGTTACTTTTTAACTACTTTTAATTAACAATTTTTCCAGGTTGCCTTAAAATCATTGTGATTGATCTTTCTCTAGTTTATTAGACAATAGAAATTTCCTCTTAGGAACTTTACTTATTAAATGATTATCGAACAATGCAGCCCTGTTTTTGTGGTATCTAAGGTCTAGCTAACATATATAAAAGAAATATTACTTAGTGTTTGAATTGTAAAACAAACTATTATTATGGTTGTGAAAACTATTATTATTTACTCTTCTTTTTTTAGTAAGTTATGAAATAAGCGCAGGTAAATCTAATTCCAATAATTCTTGTGCCATAGATTAATTCTAAAAGTTATCAATCGACGAATAGTTTCCATTAGTAGCTCTTTTTGGCTATTAAGCTTTTTTGTCTACATGTTTATTAATAACAACTATTTACATTGATTGGACTTAATTTATTATTGTTAATAAGATTTCTGTTATTATAAATACTCTACACTTTCATTAGCATGTCTTTTATTACTGGCTCTAGCTTTTTCTGTTAATTCTGTTGTGTTTGTGCAAGTATTGCGATTTCTATTTTCTTTTTCTTATTAATTCCATTTATTTAACTATTTTCTTTCCCCTTCACTTGTATTTAGTGTATCAAAAGTAACTGTGTGCTGTTTCCTCATGGAATGTGTTGTTTCTGGGATTTTTTGAAACTATTAAGGTGTATCACTGTCAAATAAATTGGGAGCTCTTACACTTAAGATCTATGAGGATTTTATTTATATCTTACTGAGCTGTTTTATTGATCAATTTTTATGAACTCATCTTCATCTGACGATGAGCTATTCTCTGGAGAGATATCAAACACTATATTTTGTGACATTTTAAATTAAATATTTATAAAATAGCAGTTAATCCAATTAATTTTAATCTTATTGAATCGATCATTTAATTCCATTGATTTTCTTGAACCAAATCTATTTTTTCTAAATTCATAGTTTTAACAATATCAAAATAAAAGCTATGTAAATTAAATCTTAGGATTTCAAAATACAAAATTAAATTAGTATTTCTCTGGTTAAATTCTATATATAATTCAGATAATTTATTTTATTTCATAATGTATTTTATTAATTTCATGTTGTAATGAGAGTTAATAGGAAAAGTTATGACATAATTTTTCTTTCTTTTTTTTGATTTCTTCTGTTATTGATTCATTTATTAATAATTATTTCATATGGAAATGTTTGATGATACAATACGAGAGTTGCTTAATAAAAACACAGATATAGCAAAAATTGTAGATTTAGAAAAACTTTCATAACAACCTGGATTTAAGATTGAATAAACTAATAGTTATATTTACATCGGCTAAGTTTAAAACGGGTTAAAGCATGGAACAGGTAATTTGAGAGATATTAACATAGGCATATTGAAACTTTTAGACTCATTTAGAATTTATGTAGGAGAATGGCAAAATGATAAAAAGTGTGGGCTTGCATATGAAAAATTTTAAAGTGGAGCTGAATATTTCGGCAACTATGATAACAATAAGTAAAATGGTTATGGAGAATATGTTTGGGCAAATGGAGAGAGCTATAAAGGGAACTGGATAGATGGCAAGAAAAGCGGGTATGGTGAATGGTTTGGATAAAATACTTCGTATAAGGGTGAATGGAATAATGGTTTTGTTGAAGGAAAGGGAGTTTATCAATCTGAAAATGGTATTTTTTGAGCTCATAAGTAAGGGGATTAGTATACAGGAGACTTTTTATAATCCATGAAGCATGGATTGGGAGAAGAATAATTTGCAAATGGAGACAAGTACGTGGGTAGTTTTAAGAGTGGTAAGCCAGATGGTTATGGGGAATACTACTGGAAAAATGGAAGTTTATATCAAGGTGAAGATAGAGTTAATTTTAGGTTTCTTTATGGATGGCATGAGGCATGGCCATGGCGTCTGGCAATCTAATACTCAAGGTAAAATAGATAGGTACGAGGGAGCATATTCTAATGATAAAAAATGTGGATACGGAGAATTCGTATGGTCAAATGGGACAGTATATAAAGGGAATTATTTTGATGATTATAGGTAGGGTTATGGAGAGATGTATTAAAATGGAGTTATTTTTTACAAAGGAGAGTGGGATAGAGGAATATAAGTAGAAAAATCTAACACAAGATTTAAATTTTAATAGAAAATGAAAACTCAAGAAACCACTGCTAGAAAGTGGAAGTTCAATAATATTGATGAAATCTAAGAATTAGAAGAAGAAACAGTAACATCAGGGGCGGAAGGAAAAAATGAGAATAATCAAAAAATACCCTAAAAAAATCCTCAATAATGTCGGATGAAAACCTTAAATGTTGAGAGCAAACCATAAAACATCGATTTTACACCTATGAAAAGGAGTCTTTAATTGTAGAAAAAAGCTACCCCTGCAATTCAAACCAGAAGCAGAACCTAATCAATGGGTAATTGTAAAATACCTCTTTTATAATAAAAATAAAGATCAAATTCGAATTAAATTACTAACAACTAAAAACTTGAGCAACTGGTTAAATTTTCCCCTTATAAGCAAACGCTTAGAATTGGAAGATTTAAATTATAGAAAATATAACTATGAAATCAAATCTGATATCATCTTTTGTGAATATAGTAATAAAGTGTTAACTAATCATTATTATGATAATCTTTATCTACAAACAGGACATGTATCATTTATTTCAGCCCATGGCCGAATACAGTCTGAATGAAATATATGATTTGGATTACAAGATAATTTGACTATCAGATCATCTTAATCATAATTTTATAAACAAATATAGCAAGGTTAAAATGTTTGACCATTTAATTCTGAGTATTTGAATTAAGTTCCAATCAACCGAAGTGCTTGCTCTTATCTTCTTCTTTCTTCTTCTAATCTTTAGCGATAGACTCGATATAGTAAAAAGGGCAAAATCAAACATATTGCAAATAAGCCAAGAACTATTGTAGCTAGTACAACCCATCCAAATATCAATTGAACAACTAAAATCCATTTACTGAGCAATAGAGTATTTTGCAACAACACCACATTCCCTAAGCCGAACATTATTATATAAACAAATTAATTGCATTTGCTTAGCGTTCCATGATTTCCCTTTACTGCTGCCCAAACATCAATTTAATCATTCAATGATTCTATAAATTATCTTGAACTTTCAGAAATTATTTCAACAGTTTATTTTATTTAGATTACACTAAAGAGGTGAAATGAATATTGCAATAATCTACAAATCAAATAAAAAATTGATGCCTTTTAATATTCATAATACCAAGGTAATGAAATATAACTTATGACAATTATTAATTATATATTTAAGTACAATTATATAGAATTTAGTGAGCTTTTGATCTTTTTACACTATTCTTCTGTCTCTATTAGCCTTTCTAAAAGAGTTTAATCATCCATTTTATTAAAATATATAAATGAAATAAACTAAAAATATAAGAGCTAATAATTATATTATCAAAGACATTTGATTTCTTTTGCCTTATAATCGATAGAAAAGTGTAATAAATCAAATAGGAGAGAGCTACCTTCTAAATGAAATAATATTTTCCTCATATTCAAAGTAATTCTAATCATCTATTAACTGTTTTATTTATTTATTTATTGTTGGTTATAGATAAGAAATAGAGTAAAAGTTTACAAATTCGTTCACTTTCCCTAAAATTTGACGATTCTAAGATTTAATCAAACCTACACAAAATTTTATAGAGTTTTTCTAGTTTATATTTTTGTTTGTGGCTTTGTTATTTTTATAAAATTTTTTCATTTTAATTCATCATTTACTTCTCTTATCCTGGCTTATTCATTTTTAATAATAATAAAAAATTATTCTTGATCATTTCTAATTATTTTATTTGTGAATAGTTTATAAAATTATTTATTTTTGAAATAATCGATTTTTATGATAAAACAGGAGGAGGATTTTATTAAAAGAATGAAGTTATATGAAAACAAATTCATTTTTATAACAGAACAAAGTAAAGTAATATTAAAGGAAACGGATTCATAATTCGAGTAATAAATTAATTTTCCCAATCCAGTGTATGATGCGATGGTTTATAAAGACATGTTAATTACATCAATCAGAAATATGCCTGTAACGATATAGAAATAAATTAAGATAGATTGCTATTTATCAAAAAGAGGATGGAGAATGGAAACAGTAAATGAGACTACATGATATCAAACCTAATTCTGAGATGTTTTTAGCTCCATTAGAAATGAAAAGACTGACTGTAAGAATGATGATTATGATATTTTAGGAAAGTAATAACTTAATTGGATGTGGAAAAGGATTCTTACATGAATATGACTTATAGAAATTTTAGATCATAAATTACAAATGCATTAACAATTATGATTATATTTCATGTTTAGATTGTTGTGAATAAAATGAAAATTACGGGATAGCAAAAAATATTTTGTTATTGGGTCAATTCAATAAAGTTATTAAAATTGTTGATACTTAATAAGATAAATAAATTGGTGAAGCAAGAGTACACATTGGGGGAATAACCCATTTGAAATTTGATAAGGTGGATTCGTTATTTTTTTATTCTTGCGCTCGATTCGATGATTATATTTATTAATGGGTATTTTTTAGACTAATAAATTAAGGATTTGAGAAATACGAGTACATTTTTATAATACTTTGAAAGGAAGAATCAGTCAAACTAAAGAATGAATTTCGATATTAATCATAATAGAGAATTGTTAATAGGGAATGATGATGGAACTGCCTACGTATATAAAAGTGATTTGAAAAGAGTCGAATATTAAATATCAAACTCATGTGTCCATTCTAGTATCATTTAAGATAATGGCTAATGTTATGTGAGCTACGGATAAAGAAAGTTTGATGAGGAAGAAACTTTTTTAACAGGGATATAAAATTTCACAATCAACTCATGATATTTGATATTTGTTTTAACATAAAAGTAATTAATTCACAAACATATAATTTGCCCATCTTGAGGCGTTGCATCTAATTCTAAGTCGAAACTAATTTAGATTCTTCTAAAATAGGTACAATTGAACTTATTGTAAGAAGATTTGGTAATGAGATTGGTAGTAAATATAACCTTGCACTATGCTTTCTAAAATGAATAAAAAAATTATTTTAAACCTAATGATATTTATATAATTAATTATGAAAAACCTTTATGTTTATTTTATCATCTCTATTCTATGCATAATTTCATAAGGTGAATAATTTAAATATTAAGAATAGTTTGCTGCTTACTAAATATAATTGCTTTAAAGATTGATAAACTTGTGTTAGATGGACTAGCCATTAATAAGGTTATATTGCTTTTTAATTGGAATGTTTTCTCAACAAAATGAAACAATCATTTAATATATCCTTGACTATCCTTTTGTTCAGACATATTTCAATAATAAAATACTAATACTCCTATGGAAGTCATCAGTGGGTTGGCTTCTACATTATTAGTCAGTTTGAAATATAGAAACGATGATTTGAACTCACTCCTAGCAACAATACTTATACCATTATGTATTTCCTACCATCATCATAAAAACTTTTTGAAGAATACTTTTCCTCCAGATATTAAAAAGAAAAACTTTTTTCAAGTCCGAGACCCCCTATTGCTAAAGAGTACTTTCGTATCCGCTCTTAATAATTAAAGGAAGATATTTTTTTATTATAGGGTATTATTGTAAGTAATAAAATATCGATTGTGATAATTCAGGATGGTACAAAATAAAATGAGTTATCGAAATTGGAAAAAAACAATAAGTTTAAAACTAAGATTGTTTTATCATATTCATAAGAATTAAGTAAGAACTCCTTTAAACAGTGCTAAATATTTTTATAAACAGCAATAAGAGATACCAAATTGGATGGATTAATCAAGGACTAGTATTTATAAACATGTTTATCAGTATTTAAATTATAAAATCATTTAATAAATGACATCATAGACTTCAGCTAAATAAATGCAAAGTTATTAGACCTTTTATTCAGTTAATTTAAACTTTAGAAAATAATAAATGAAATAACTGAATAATTTAGATTCCAATTTCAATTTAAGAATCTAAGTCTTGCCTTCGAAACTAGCCGACCAATGTCTCTATTGACTCAAATTAAAACAGATTACTGAGGTTACTTTAAGTCCTAACTAATATCATTCAAAAAACTCTTACTTACTCAGAAACTGGGTATGTATTAGTAAAGTTGGATAGCTGGGATCTAAATGAGATTGAATTTCAACAAAAGATGAACTAATAGGTTTGACAAGAAAATAACTTACTTCAATTAGATCGATAATAAATTAAGAATAACATACTACTACAAGAACATAATAATTGCAAGGATTTGGCTTAATAATTTGCTAAATGTTTTTGAGCTACTTATCATCAATTAAAAGAAACAGTATTAAAATTGAATCAGATGGCGGATGCAGGTATGACTGTTCATTTCATATTTAAATCATATTTCTGCTTAAACTTAAGTATAAACTTATGGTTAGCACTCAAAAAAATCAATTCCTTGAATGAGAAGTATGCCCACTTTGAGAGCTGAATTTGGGTTACTAATTAATATCAAATTAAAATCTACAAGTAAGATTCTAGTCAAAAACGAGTGAATAAGACGAATGCAATTTGATCAGTGTCTCAATCAGAGATATCTCAAGAAAAATACTTCGTTTTGAATTGAAACATTGTTCGATTGAACTATTGAATTAAAGAAAGCCTTCATGTAATACTCCACTTCAAACTAACCACAATAATAAAAATAAAATAACAAATCAATTAAACATTAGATAATCTTCCTATAATTATCATTAAAGGAAACTGGATTAACGTTACTTTGTTGTAATACAAATTTAAGTGTTGATGATGAAGTTTTTAATTAAATATCTCTATAATTGCTCTTGGTTTAGCAAGGAATGAATGTGGATATAGTATAAATATTATTATGTTAAGATAGGTATTTGATGGCAGATAAGCAATCGAGAAAGTTTAAAATCCTTCAAAATGTTGCCCAAAATGTATGGGTTATAGGATACTTATGGATAGTTAAATGCATATCATGGACTGATGGAAAACAAAGAAGAAATTAAGAGAAATGATGTAAAATCAATAATTACCAAAAATTCCCATTATTGGTTTAACTGCATTTACTAGCGATGAAGAAGTGGAAAAATACAAAGAAGTTGGAATGCTGCAAATACTTCATAAGCCTCTTGACATCTAAAAATTATCTGATTTTTAATAATGTTAATTATGAGTATAGTAAATATAAGTACATGTAAAATAACTTTCTTAGATAAAATAACAAGCTATCTGATATTAATAGTTACTTAGAAATGTAAGAATTAATATTCATAAAGAAAATAATTAGAATTATGTAATGTTTTTCAAATGTAATTTAGTTATTTATATAATTTTTATATCCATATTATAAGTTTCAGTTATTTTTAAGCATTAAAAAAATATCGTTTTTATTAATTAATAATAAATTATGAAATTGGGTTTAGTTTTTGCCATTTTATTGGCATTTAGTAATTGTGCTTCATTCTTGGAAGAACAACAGCTAATGGAAAATAAAATTTATAAGATAAAGCTTGATAGGACAGAATCCTAAGCAAAAAAGTCATTGTTTGATTTCATCACTACCAGCCAATAATACAGGAATTCAGCTGATCTATTAGATGGGTCTGATATAGCTATGACATAAACAAAATAAAAAGAATCTATAAAGTTATATAATTTTAAGAATACCTAATACACAGGAGAAATAGGATTAGGTGCTTAAGATAATAAATTTAAGGTAAACCATTTTATTTATTCAGGTAATCTTCGATACAGGTTCGGCAAACATTTGGTTGAATTCTGCTAGATGTAATGATTATGGGTGTAAAAATCATAAACAATATGATGGTTCAAAAAGTTCAACATATGAGCATTTGGGATATGATTTAGACGTTCAGTTTGGTACTGGTGAATTAATGGGTGAAGTATTAAATTTACTACTATAATAGATTAATGCAGATACTGCCTTTGTTGGTGGAGTGAAAATAGCAAAATAAGAATTTGCTGAGATTGTAAAAGAAAATGGAGATGTATTCGCTTAATCTGATTTTGACGGTATTGTTGGATTAGCATATCCTTCAATGGCTGCCTACAACTTTAACCCATTTTTTGATAATGTCATGTCATAAAAATTGTTGGACAGAAATGTGTTTTCATTCTATTTTTCAAGATAAGAAGGCTCAAGATCATCAGAGTTAACATTGGGAGGATGGGATACTGATCATTACTAAGGAGAATTACATTTCCATAATGTTGTTAATAAATATTATTGGTTATTGGATGCTGATAATATTTTAGTTAATGGACAAGATATAGGACTGTGTAAAAAAGGCTGCAAAGTAGTCGCTGATACAGGTACTTCACTATTAACAGGACCATCAGATGATTTATATGATTTGTTAGGTAAAATTGAACAATAATATTTATTTAGATACTTTGAATATTGATGAAAATTGCAAAAACGCTAAAGAATTGCCAAAATTGACATTTGTATTGGATGGAATCAACTATGATTTGGAAGCTAATGATTACGTGATGAAAATTGATTCTTAAGGAAATGAAATCGCTTATGATACTTTTGCAAGTATTGATAGTTTCGTGGAAATGGGTGGTAATTGTCAATGTGTAGGATCATTCATGCCTCTAGACATCCCAGATCCTTAAGGGCCAGCTTGGATTTTGGGAGATACATTTCTAAGCAAATATTATTCAGTCTATGATAGAGATAATGATAGAGTTGGCTTTGCAAAGGCTAAATGATATATATATTGTTATCAAAAATATTAGCATTCTATTTCATGATTTTTTATAATCATACCATAAGTTATTATAAATGTTGGACTTTTACTCCTATTCTCTTCTACCAAGAATGGTTATTGACAATAAAATGACTGCCTTCGCTCAGCTGTAAACCAGATAAGTATTCTTATCACCACATAGTTTAATATTTTTAATCGTTGCTGTATTAGTTCAAAGTTGGTTGTCCAATTATTTAGGATTTTAGAAACATGTTTATGAGATCTAGCAACCTTATACAGGTTAATTTGGGTTATAAAAAAAATTTATTCTAAAAAATTTCAGCAATTATTCTTATTAGTAATATGAGGCTTGGCTTTATTAACAGTTAGTTATGAAGAATGAGTATTCTTCTTATTTAATGTATTTTTAGTTTTCCACTCTACTCCACTATCAATTATTTAAAATTACATCTCTACAATTTAATTAAATGATAAATTCTTATTTCTATTTAGTCCTTTACTAAATGTTGACCTCAGCTGAAATTACTAATGTGGCTCGCCATTTTGCTGTTAATAATTAGAGATTTTTTAAGATAATTTCCTCCTTAATTTTGATCTGGTTTCTTAAATTGGAGAGTAAACAATGAACACTCAGAATCACATTTTGCAAAAGGTTACTATGATTTGTCAGAATGATTACAATTTTGGATAGAAATCCAACATTTATTAAAGAAAAACCATTTTGAGAGAGCAAAATTGTTTAAATAAAGTTTCAGAATTGCTGAGCAAAGAAAAATATATCATTATAGTTCAAAAATCACAATTGGATTTATGAGTAATGTATAATAAAGAAATTTAATCAAACAACACACATCCACTATTTTCGATAAATTTTAACAATATTTTGTTTTAGAAACATAATATTGATTAAATAATTTATGTTTTCTTTTCTCTTAACAGGGTAGAATAATAATAATAACTTTATATTATGATTCAAAATTATTATATTATTTATTTGATTAAAGGCTGAAATCTAATCCAAATGATATCGCTCTTTGTTAATAAAGCTCTTTTTCTTATAGCTCCTATCAATGAATAAAAAGTGAAAATAAATATTCCTCTTGCTATCACCTGAGTATACATTAAATAATAATAAATGTAGTTTAATAATTATTCAAGCTAATACATGAGATTGGAAATACAGTAAAAAAATTTTCAGATCATTCACATTCGATTCCTTCACTTTATTTTTCTAAAATTTTTCAATTTTTCTTTGTTCTTTTATTGTTATTATCTTCTTCTCAAAATTACTTTACTTTTATTGTCTCCTCTGAAACTTTAATTAACAACTTATAAATAAAGATCAATATATATATTAAAAAAAATGCCTAAACCAATATAATAATTTGTTTAATTTGGACCCATCTAATTACCTTATTCACAGTTATTTATCTTAAGAAGACATGTATTCGCTACAGTAAATTTAAAACCAGTGGCGCCAGGTATTTTTTTATTCAAAAATGAAAAGGTCATGTATTAGTGTGTTCAAAAAGACCTGTAAAAAGACTCTATGATATGACAGAAGTAGAAGCTGTAGAATTTTGGATAACTGTCCAAGAAGTTGCAAAAGTGATGTCTGATATCTACAAAGTAAATATTTTCACAATTTTAAGACTAATTGCCATGTTTCCATTTAAGATGGAATGCATGCTGGTTAAACTATACCAAGTGTTCATTGCCATATAATACCTTATTAAGGAAAAGATTTTGATATCTTAAGCTGAAAATTAAAAAACGGAGAGAAGTGAGGAAGATATGAATTAAGAAGCCTAAAAATTAAGAGCTCACTTTGAATAGAGCTTATTATGATTGAATTAATTAATTATAAATGAATAAATTGGAATAAATATGCATAAAATATATTTATATTACTTCAAATAATAAATAAATATAGACTATAAAATCTTAAAGAAATTTGAGAAAAAACATATTAATTTGATGACTATTATGATATTTGAAAGAGTAATTTTACTTTAAAATCTTCTTTTATATTATTCTTTCATTATTTATTCACTAATGGAAATTCTTACTCTATTTTATTTTTGTTGAGATCAAACACTATACATTTGAATTTTGATTGCAAATAGAGAAAAATCTTTATTATATTTTTGTTCTGCAGAAATTCTGAAAATAGGTTTGGTTTGTTTCCTGAACTAGACGGGGTTTTCCAATTGGGGTTTGGGTTTGGGTTTGGGTTTGGGGTTGGGGTAGGGTTTGGG